AATATAATGAGCAACAATGAGATTATTAGAGAAGTTATACAACAAGAAAAAAAAAGAAAGTACCAAGGAAATAAGACGTGAGCATGCTTTCCATCATTTCACCAGAATTGCTCGACGGCTCTTCATTTCCTCTCCATTTCATTTTTTCTTTTTTCTTCTTCTTCTTACCCTCATCATTTGCAGTCTTTTTTTTCCTCTCATCATCTTCATCTTCCATCACACTCAGTCTCTCCAACAATATATCTCTTAAAAGGGATTCATCCGTTAAGTATACTGTATTTTTTGTGTTTTATGGGTGATGAGGGGGGGACCACCACAAGTATATCGTTTTCGCTAAGTTCAAAGTGTAACGCATGTGTTTTGTGAACCAATTTCAGTTGGAGAATTTCAAATGACCAATTCTTGAAGCAAAAAAAATGAAAATTTGAAAGTTAGTTCATCATGTTTCGAGCATCTGTCTTCAATACAATTTGGTGAATTGAAGTGAATGAGAGAGATGCAAAGTGTGAGTGGAGAAAAAGAAAAAAAAACAATAAAATCGGAAGAGTTAAAGCCATTCTTTTTGATTTTAAAATATCTCTGGGGTGGTTAAGCGGCTCGTTTATAAATTGAAATTAACAAAATACTATACCGTACACGCATAACAGGAAGACAGCCGTCGGGACCATCAGCCGAGCTGTCCAATCATTTGTTTGTTCGATTCTGTTGTTGCAGCTTCTTGTCCATATATACCTTACCAGGTATAGAAGGGAATTGAGGTAAGATGAAGGTATAAGAGTAGAGATGTTAGGAAAGAAAGAGAATGAGACTAAGAGAAGAAGAGAGGAAAAGAAATCATTGAGAGGATAAAGAGAATAGAAGATGAAAGAATAATGAGAGTATGATGGCATGAAGTGAGTACATATTTGGGCAAACTGCCGATCGGCCAGTTTTCTGTATGTATTTGTGTGTATTTCGTTGATTTGTGTGTGTCAGGTTATAATAAGTGAAAAAGAAAGACACACGATGCTCCGAAGAAGAAGCTTGACCCTTTCTATCTCTTCTAAAGAATCTCTATTGAGTGGTTAACAAGTAAAAGTTACATAGATATCGTTTTCTACTACATGAATGATGAGAGAGAATAGAGATAAAGATGAAATGATGCCAACACGTACAGAAGCCAAGGTAATGAGATGGGCCATGGTCGCATTGAGTTACAACCTTTACATGGTATACATAAAGAAAGAGGCTTTTCATAGTATTTCTTTGACGTCTTTAAGATGTTCTTCACCGGCTTCTTGTGCCATCATGGCTCATGTTTGCTATGTATGAGTGTTATCCAGTGTAAGCTTCTCGATATATAACGATGTAGCTGAAAATACTTCCGATTTGATTCCTCTTTTTTGTTGCTCAATCGAAGCGAATTGGTCCTTCTCCAAAAGAAAATCATGGCTATCACATCTTCTGTTTATATAAAGTGATGAGTTTATGTCATTTAACATACATACAGATTGAATGTCATCTGGTGATATTGGCAACAGATTCTCTGCGAACGGCAAAAGTGCCCATCATAACAGATGAAAAACTTATGCAAGTGGACAGAAGAAGAAAAACTTTCTTTTTTCCTCCACAAGCAGACTTTCTCTCTCAGAACTTCATAATGACCATTGGAGCAGATTTGACCCTCATATTCACTTTGATCCATCCATTTTTCTCTCAGCCTCTCACTTTTCTCTCTTCTCACACCATCATAGTCTCTTTTAGGCAACAGATACGTCATATTTTTGTCATTTCTTAGACCCCCCCTTGTAAAGTTCCGTAATGATCATGACGTCTGCTCGTCCCAACAGAAAAAGGAAAATAAAAACTTTTCAACTCATTTACAGCTTATTCGCTTAGTGAGCCACGCATTTTGTCGTTGTTTTAATCGTCCCTCCTCCCATTTTTTCGGACGTCAAGTTTTCTGTCCTTTGACTTTTCCTTTTTTTGACTACAGCTCGAGCTTCCGCTTGATCACGAGAAGTTTCGCTGCTCTCTACTACCTTTCTAATGTTTTTTTCTTCTCTCTCCCTCCTTAACTGTGTATCTACCTACGTCTCTAACAATTCTGTTGACGCCAGACGGTTGCTGGACGCATCAGAATCGCCGTCAACCCTCGTTTGACGTCCTGCTCTCCATTAATCGCTACCGTAATCCGTGAAGCATGAATCACTTGCGTGACGTGGCCGTCTTAGTTTTCTCAACTTTATCGGATGTCTCCCTATCTTTAACTCTCTTCTCTATTTCATACATTCAACAAACGATAAAAGAACAGTCAAAAGAAGACAAACCGTTTTTCCGTGAGCTAATGCCTTCTGTGCATATTGATTAAAACTCAAAAGCTTCCTCTTTCATTCACGTTTACTAAGATAGACAACTTCAAACTTCTCTATTGCTATAGAAGAAGAATTTTTTGTATGATAAGCATCTACCCTGAAACCCGTCGGGCATACGGCGCACGATAACTGGGTCTTTCGGCTGTCATCAACATCTACAAGCGCATGATGACAACTTTATTTCGTGAACAATATTGAGCGTAATTAGTTACTATCTCTGACGCTTACACAAGAACTTTGATACATCATTCAGTTGAATGTTTTTATTGGGAAGATTGATAGTGAGAATGAAGTAAGCGATGCAGGCTAGAATGACCATAGGGCATATTGTGGGAATTTAGTGTATGGCACCTGGTCGGAAAGTGTATGAGTTGTTTACGAGATCAGTAATACGGAGGCTCTATTTACAGCTTCTTTCATTTGCAACATTTGTGCTTTTAGTTGATATGACTGACCTACAGCTTTTTCTCTAATTTTATAAATCTCTGCGATTGTTATAATCTTTCATCTTTTATGCCGCTTAGAAACAATGTGGGTCGTGATGGAACTTCTTACTCTCTAGAATATATCTTTGTCTATTGGAAGGTTAAGCAAGAAGATAGGGGAAATAGTAAAAGATCTTGCGCATATCCTTAGTTTAACAGAACACGACCTCTCTATCTAACCCTTAGGGGTCACATACCACATTTGCTCTCACACATTCTTCCACATACACTCACATACACACATTAAGATGATGAAGATTTTAAGAGAGCAACAGGCAGAAGCAACGCGTAAACAACCTTCATATTAATCTCAGATGATGCTAATGATTTGAACTTTGAATTGAATATGAAGTTGTTTGTCTATTTGTAAGCGGAAGCAGTATCATTTGCATAATTCTCACGCGAATTTTACGTGAGATTCACGTGAGGGGCGCGAAATTCATTTTATGCTGTGCAAACGCACAGAACGGTCGATTTCCTCTTCGCTCTCCATTTACTTACTTTTGTCCTTCTCATTCACCGTTTTTCTCATTTTCTCGAATCTCTCAGCACCCATTTTTGCCTCATATTTGCGTGCTGTCGCTTCATCTCTCACATTTCTCTAAGCTTCTTGACCATTCCTTTACTATTACTGCTGCCAGCGGATTTGACCTAGAAAGCTACCGAAGCAAGGAGGGGTTGGGCTAACAGAACTCTCAAACGACTCCTCCTCCGCCTGCTCAGTCTGCTTGTAAGTCCGTCCCGCCTCCTGATGCCGACTGCTGACCAGACGTACGACACACCTACCGTACATGGTTCAGTTCTTAAGCTCATGAACAGTCAGTATAACTTACATATCTTGTAGGAGATGGTGATGATGCTAACTATCTCCTCATTTCTTCTTTAGCTTTCTTTTTTTTGTTCATCTTATTTTTTCTGCTTGTTGTGAATGTTCTTCCTCATTTTCTATCTTTTCTCTTTCTTTGTATGATCATTTTGAGTAAGTGTGAGTGAGGTTTGTGTGTATCTCTTTGCTAGTGATTTAGTGGGTGGGGTTAAGCTGAAAGAAATGAAAATGACAAGAAAAGAAAGCGAAATTTTAGAGAAAATGAGAAAGAAAGTTAAAGATTTTGTGCGAAAGGTTAAGAGAGTGAAAAGGGAGAGAGAGAGGGAGAGAAGAAAGAAAAGTTTATTTGTAGGCATGATCTTCCTCTTCTTTCAGACTTTTTCATTTCAAAAGTTTCTCGTCTTTCTCTCGTCTTTTCTCTAAATCTCTCCATTATTCTCTTTTCGATGAAGTGAGCAAACCGCATGGCATGAAGCTTCTCGTTCTGCTTCATCTTGCAATGCCTGTCTTACCTCATAGGATAAATGGATTGAATGATTTTCACGTTTGAAACATGCAGCTTCACTTTGCAATCTTTTTTTTTCTGCTCTCCAGTACTTGCCCGACCAATTGTTCTTTTCTGAAACATAAGAAAAAAAATCTTTTTTCTTTTCTTCTGCCTCTTGCAATTAACCTTATTAAAGCTTCTATTGCCATAAGCGCTTCCACATTTTTATAAATATTTGAAATTTTTGTGAAGAACCATGACTTAAAGAGACAAAAAGCGTTAAGACGGAAGAAGATAGAATGAGAGAAGGAGAGAGGAAGACAAAAAAATGAACAAGAGACGATAGTTATTGCTTCGCAAAGTGCACATGCTTCCAGCATATGTTCCAACTAAACTTCGCTTTGCCATTTCTACACGGCTTACCATTTTTTTTTATAATTAACTGTATTTTGATCATTGAGGTGAAAGTGCTTATCAACCTTCTCCATCAAGCTGCAAGCCCTTTCCTATGCGAACAGCTCCGTGGAGTAGGCTTTACCTGTTCTCTTCTTACTGTTTGCTCAGTTACTCTTCTTCTTCCTCCACATTTTTCACTGATTTCATCAGCTTTTTTTTCCATTTGTTTAAAAAACATTTAATGAATATTCATCGATTAGCATTATTCTCATCTGAATTCCGTCTCTGAACCATGATTTTCTCTATCCCTACTACTTGTCTTTTCATGCAATTCGTGATTTGACAGATGTGACGTACAAGTTTTTCTTTTCTCTTGATTTTCTTTTTTCTCTCTTTGAATTTTTCTGTGAAATTCTCTTTTCACACTTTCTCAATTCATTGTTTTTTCCAGGATGTCCTCCATGGCTGTGGACAGCACAACTTCAACCGTTTCGACTTCATCTGCTTCGGAATGCTGCTATGTCTGTACTGAATGCCCTAACTCCTTTTCTTCCTTAAATGAACTGGAAAAACATTTGCTCAGACACAATAAAAACAACAACGAAGAGCATGAAGAGGTAAGAGCTTCCTCTCTTCTGTTTCGTGAATTTATCAGCTGAATGACCAAAGATGGCGTTTTCTTTGTACAAAAAAAGAGCTTATGATGATATTGGATGTGAAAAGTATCCGATGGTCTTCCGGTCACACAGCTGTCTTTCTTTCATTTCAATTGCTCTTTAGATGGGTGGAAGCAAAGTTGGAGAAAAAAGAGAGAGAAAGTTAGAGAGGTAAAACAGACGGAGACCTGGAATGGGATCTTGATTGAAAGCAAAAGATGAGATCCGAGCAGCCGCCACCAATCACAAAAAGTTTTTGTGCCCCATGTAGTTCTGGCATCTAAGAGAGGGAGGATGAAGAAGAGATAGAGAGATAGCGAGAGAGTGAGACAGAGAGAAAAGGAAGAAGAAAGAATGAGAGCAAAGAAGGACCAGATAGAAGTAGCCGATGGCACACGGTCATCCCGAAATCCATCAGCTTTCCCTTACTTTGGTCATTTTTCTTCTTTTTTTTCTTCGAAACCGCATGCCAATTGTGACATCGGCCCTGTTTCAACACTTTTAGAAGTTGTAAATGATGTCTTATTGCTCTACCGTACCTTAAGAGCGAGTGTTCGGCTCATAAAATGATTTAGAAAGCCCAAAACATAGTCTGAAAATCATTCTTTCCTCGTCTTGGTCATTTTCTAATTTATTATGTTAATGCCAGAAGTTTTTGTTGTACAGAAACAGCCGGTCAAAAAATTATTTTATTTGCTGTCTTCCGGATTGCCCAGCATCTGAAAATTGGAAGAATTATAGTCAATTCAGCTGTTATCTTCTTAAAAATTTTTGTTTGCTTAATATTTAAAGTCGTAGAAGATTCAAATTAACTTCATTTTTTTCAGGAAGAAATGGGTCAGCATAGCCCAAGTAGTTCTGAATCTGCTCGCGGTGGTGACGATGAAATCATGTTAGATGTCGATATGGAAGATAGCATGATGGATTTGAAGCCTGGATATCATTGTCGATTCTGCCGTCAATCCTTCGATGACCAAAGTCAATTGAATGTTCACTATACTCACACACATCGTGATAAGCCACAGTATGAATGTGAGATTTGTCATACTGTTTTCGCTGTAAAGAGAGAGCTATCAACTCATATGAGGATACACAGTGGAGAACAGCCACACAAGGTGAGCTATAAACCCGCCTCATCATAATATTTGAATTCTATTTTGTAGTGTACGCAATGCGGAAAAGAGTTTGGTACTCGGCAGCTTCTGAAAAAACATTGGATGTGGCATACAGGAGAAAGAAACCATGTTTGCAAGCATTGTAACAAAGCATTCTTCCAGGTAGGCTTTTCATATATTGTGTTTACATTTCATTCTAATTATAGAAAGGGCATTTGACCCAACATTTGATGATTCACTCCGGTGGTCGTCCCCACCAATGCGAACTATGCCAGAAAACCTTCATTTTCAAGGTAATTTCTGAAATACTATTTGGTTATCATAATCGTTTTTTTTTTCAGTTCGATCTCAATCGCCATATGAAAATTCACGCTGAGCGTGGCTTCTCTTGCACTCAGTGTGGACGCTCTTTCCAGCGTCAGAATTCTCTTGATGAACACATGATGAAATGCAAAGGAAAATCCATTGCTGTTCGTTCTTCGCCTATCCGAACGCCACCTGGCTCATATTCTCCTTCACCTTTCCGATTCCCTCCTACTGCAGCAACTACTAAACCCAAAAACTCAATGAGCCCATCTCAAGAATCTCTTTTCCCACTTCTTAATCAATCAGTTCTGAACTTCACCACTGATCAAATGGCTAAGATGGCTCAGAGTCTTTTGGCTCAACAGAACCAGCAACGAGCTCTGTCAGCTCTTTTCTTATCTGCATCAAATGTACCACAAGTTCAAAACTTGGTGAATTATTCGTCTGCTTCATCAACGTCGGTAGACTTCCCTGATTCGCCTACAACAAGCTCTCAACCTGTTGCTCCAACCCCCTCCCCATACATGTGCATGGTGTGCAACAAACAGTTCCCCAATCAACAATTTTACACTCTTCACATGTACACATCACATTTTCAAACAAACTCCACGTGCAAAGATGATCTAGAGGTAAAACTTAAGCTACTTTTCTTCTTTTAAAACTAGTGTTCAGAATACAACTCCTCTTCTTGCTTCATCCTTGTTTGGGCCTGTTAATCCTATCAAGACTGAGGATGAAGAGCAAATGATAAACGTTCACAGCGAAACAGCAACTAATTCGTCCTGTGCCTCAAGGTGACTAATAATCTGAAAAAACAACCTAATACTTTTCGTTTCAGTCCCTTGAAAGCTTCTCCTGTGTCATCACACTCGCCTGCAACATTCATGGCGTCTTCACCTTTATCGCCAAAGAAGGCTACCTTAGACGATATGAAGCACGACCAATGTTCTGACTGTGATGTCCATAAGAACAGAACAGAGGAGTTAGAGAATGCTTTGAGATTGAAATCAGATGAGCTCCAGAAGTACAAGGATATGATGAAAGCCGTAAGTTGATACAAAACCTTGAATCGTATATTAATCACCAATCTTTCAGGTCGTTACTACAGCTGGTCATCTCTTAAACCAATGTTCAACAGAGAATGTGTACATCGCCCATACAAAAAACATTTTCAATCAGCTCCAATCAACTCTGTTGACGTCTGAATGATTCATTAAACAGTTTTGCGAGTAAGTGCTCCGACTAGGCATGTCGGAGTGGAGACCCGGGTGGTGACGTGTAGTTGCGCGGACCCAGAAAATGCCATTTCTGGTTTCGGATGTTGCCAAATTTAATTTATCATTGTTAAATTCTCGTTATATGTTTAATCACTCCTGATTACCCTATCTTCGGTCTCTGTATAATTGATCTACGAAAATTGAGCGTTTTTTTCCGTTCTAGGAGAGTTTTGCATTTTTTTTGCTCTCAATTCTTTCTTCTCCCAATATCAATGCACCCTTCATAATCCGCCCTAGGATTCAATTTTTGATAGTTTGGATTCCGTTTTAGGAAATAATGACCATATTGACACACTTTGTCCTTTGCTATGACTCCCAAGTCCCCACACCTTCTCTTCAAGTTGAAATTCAACAATTCCATATGTGCTCAATTCAAACACATTCGTGTATTCTAATGACTAGTTAAGGTCAAAAAAAGCTTTCAAGTCTTATCCTTGGAAAGCATCTGAGAACTTTTCCATTTTGAAGCTTTAGTTTATCAAAATACTCTCCTTTCCGTTAAACTGTTCTTCTATATTAAACTATGTTGATAGAAAGCACTTATACATTGTACTTTGAAATCAACAATCAACCACCTATTTCTGCCTCAACACATTCACCTTCCGTGCCTTATTTGTACAGTTTTGTTTCTATTTTACTCTTTTAGGTATTAAATTAATGTTTTAGTTAATAATCACTCTTTGCCTTATTTATCTGTGTTTACAGTGCCTTCTTCTCCTTTATTTATTGATTAGGAAACGTAGCTGTTAAAGCATCTTGTTAGATCCTTGCATAGCTCATGCTTCCAACTGATTTTCCCAATTCGAACAGTCTGAATGTGAATCTGGTCATGAGTTGAATGGCTTTTATGTCTTTTGCTCCATATAGTCCGCGAAAGGACGAAAAGCTCCTCCAATTAGTATGTTGTATTGTATTTTCTCTCCCTAGAACACCCCTATGATTACATGTTCAGAAGCTACGGACATTCTCGTTGAGTATTAACATATTTTAACTATTTTCATATTAATATAAATATATATATATATATATAAATATTATGACAAAGACAAGTTACATTTCTCAATACCTTGCCGCAACTTTAACTTCAAACGTCGCTGTGGTATGCGCACTTTGGTCATTTGACTTTCATTTTTTTAACAATTAGAGTAATGGCTCACTATTGATCTTGATCTTTCCGTTCTTAAATTTGCTCGTGACAAATGCTTGTTTTCTTCAGTTCGAACTTCATGCGAGCGAAGAAAAAGGTAAACATCTGTATGAACTTCCGCACGGAACTCAAAAAAAAGGGAGCTCAAATAGAGACGGACAGGCCAAACGTCCTTTACTTTCACTTGTTCAATCTTGAAAAGTGTCAGAGGAGAGTTAAAGCTTGCATCGAAATGGAATGAAATGGTTTGTCTCTAACTATAAAAAAGTGAACATGAAGCTTTAAGAGATTTCCCAAATCTGAGGTGTCGATGTCGATGTTTCAAGTTGTCTCCAATAGTTTGTGGTTGATAGTTTGAATGATTCGAGGGAGCAAATTGTGAAATTGGAAAACAAGGTCAGTTGGATGTCAGAAATCAAAAGTCAGAGTGAAGTAACCGTTGACCACTTGTTGTTGTTGTTGAAACATTCATCTATCTCTCAAATGTTGCCAAAATGTTTCATTGAAACTTGTGATTCTTACTTAAAATCAGAGGTTAGATAGAGGACAGTTGTTGTTTGGTCATAAGCCAATCGAACAAAGAAGACAAGCAGATGCTTCATCTCATCTGATGCTTTTGTCTGCGTGATAAAGGGAGTTTCGAATGACCTCTCCTTTCTCCCTCTCTATGTCGTAGTTGTTGGATACTGCTGGACAGACGTGCAAAACAGAATCACACATTCTCTTGCAACGTCCAGATGAAAGAACCACCACAGACCTCCTGTTGTTGCTCATCTTGTGCTCCTTTACTATCATCATCATCATTTCTTCTTTTTCCATCTAATAGCATTAGATCTCCGAGCACATTTCTGCCATATTACAACGTGTGCGTGCCGGCACAGTCGGGGTCAATGAGATTTGGATGTCGAGCTCTGTCCGGTGCCAGTCACGGTAATACATCGTCAGTTTTTCTGATGTTCTTAGCCTCTATCCCACCTCCTCATCCTTCTCCTTTATCTTCTCATCATCCATCCAGCATATCCAAGTTTCAAGGAATTTGAATAAAAACACGTCAATGAACATTCGCAAGATGACAGACGTTCGTTCTCCAGGTTCATAAGGGGAGAGGTCAAATGAAAAATGTTTATTTTTCCTGAAATTGTTTGGTTGCAAATGATTATTCTTGCATTGTCAGTGCTCATGGCCTCTGGGAACGTCATATCCGATTTCAAGAGTGTGACGCAGAACCAAGTGAGAAATACCGACGTGTCAAGGCAATAAGCGACATATGCAACGTGGAAGTGCTCGGGAAAATTAAGCTCATTTTCAAATGGCAGGGAGAAATGACCGGTTGTTCTGCTTGTGCACTAATTGACTAACAGATAATGTTTATTTAAATATAAGACAATCAAAGAAGTTGATATTCATCGTGATAAATGACGTAGACGTCGTTTACTTTTCTCCAGATTTGGATGTAAGAGCCCTTAAGAACACCCGCCTAAACCAGTTGGGTCATTGAAATATGTTTTATCTACCCTACCTTTTCAGTATGGAACTCAAAATCGGTGAACATGTTGATGTAATCTCCTACACCTTCATACTTGGAGTTGGAGATCTTAAAATCATGTTTTAATTAAGATAATTATCAAAATACAACTTTCATAACAGTTTTTCCGCAGTCGGTAGCCAATTGCTCAAGGGATTTGGCAATATCTTCAATAATGAGATTTCATAATATCGATATTGCATAGTAACAGACCTTTCTTTCCAAACAAAACGCTTTTGTCTTTCTCAACCATTACAGAGTTGGCGTCGTAAAAATCTTCCATTTTGCCAAAACTGCCAGAATTGAAAGTTTCGACATAACTATCAACAAATGGTTTCAGAATAGCAGCAGCGTCTAAAACATATGGTAAATGTGAACACATATTGCTATAAGCAATTTGTAGTTTTATAATGAGAACTTACGTTCATTAGTTAGAGAAGACATGTTGGACAATGCTCAGAAGAAGAAGAAGAAGAAGATGATTGCAATTGTCTGGAAAATGTCAAGTTGGATGTGACATGCCATGCTTGAAAAAAAGAGTAATTGATTGAAAGGCATACAGATAAAAGTAAACTGCTTTAACTGCTATCGTTGGCCATTTGTTGATAAGTGGATGACAGGGGGTGCATTAATTCTAAAATTTGTATCAATCGAAGAAGAAGAAATAGCAGCACGTGTTCGACAGTTGCCCATGCTTTGACTCTTAAGTATATGGAAAAATGGGAAAGGTGGAAAAGCTTCATCAGTGCCGCAATGCTTGAGTGACGCATAAAATTCACATACGAAAGATGAAACAGCCCGCGGAATATTTTCATGGCGTTGTTGATTCATATGGTAGCTTCGAGAAGCTATGATGAAAGTAACACACGTGTTATTTCGAATGGGAGCTGGGTGCTCATCAGCATTAACTCAGATTTCGCAACTACAACTGGAAGACAGTATAAGCTTTTGTGAATTTTGAATCAGTGTAATAATCGAAAGTTCGATGTTTCGAGAATATGTCCGATAATATGATACACAAAAAGTTTTTTCGTTGTCGTTCTTGTTATACCGCATACATACTAGTTATTCCGTCATTGCAGGAACGATGTTGTATTTGAATACAACCCAAGAGCTAGCCATTCTCCAATTATATTCAGAAGAAATAACCAAGCTATTAGAAAGTATATATGAAAACGAATCATTGGTCTGTAGTTTATCAGATAATGTTCATCTGGAATGTCATTTCAGGGAAAAGGATTCTGTTCATTATTGCAAGCCGGTCATATAAACAATTTACGAACTTTGTCGGATACTAAACAGTTGTTTTCTACTCAGTTATGGGGTGACTTGTTTGGAAGTCCTCTTTTGAAAGTTCTGTATGAAACTGTGTTGAACTTTCTGAAAGATGTCAATGAAAACCTGCACAGATGCATCAGCTTAACTTCTGAGAATGTGCGAACTTGTTCGTTCGGGTTGTTCAGCATATTTCGTTCCTTTAATTGTTCTCATGATTGCAGGTTAGTATTACAGCATATAGATAAGATAATGGATCTATTGGACGTTACATATGTGCTTAACCATTTGAAAAAGATAAACAAGAGTTATGAACATATATGTTCAAAGTTGACTGAGTCCCTAAAAGGTTCGAGGGAGGATGACAGAGTTTTACTTCGAAGAATCGTTACAGATGTCGAGAAGATTTCATTGAAAAAGAAAATAGTGATTAGAACAATACCCTTCTTCGGTAAAATGGCTTGCATGGATGTATTGAAAGCTTTGTACGATTCATCCGGCTCTGAGTTTGTCGAAAGCATTCAACCAGGGTTTCTACGCATTTATGGTAAATGGTTAAAAGTATTCTCCATATATGGCGGCTTGTTGTCAGAGTACCAAGACGCGGAAAGGGAAGCTCCTCAATCGGTCGTGAAGTTTTATCCGATATCAGTATCAGCGTGTTTGAACGACATCACAGAGTAGTTTTCCCTTTCAATTTCGGTAATTTGTTTCTGTAGAGGAGTCATTGATGTCGACCTAGCTTGGGAAGACTTACCCGCGACAGGAATGAAGAAGTGTCTGTGGGATATATTAGATCAGAGGTCTTTCAATGGTTCGAATGAATTAATACTTTGTTTGTTCAATTGGAGTTCATTGTTCAGAAAACCCAATTGTGCTGAGGAGCTATCAGAAAGAACTCGCCAGAGACGCCGTAAGCGGAAAGAACTGTGTAGTTTCCGCTCCGACCGGCTCCGGAAAAACTATTATAGCAGCCCATATTGTTAAAGAACATATCCTCAAACGATATGGAAAGAGCTATTATAAGGTTATCAACGCTCTAAACTGATTGAATTCCTTTTCTTCTTCTAGGTGTTGTTCCTTGTCAATTCCACTCCAATCCTAGTACAACAAACTTCAGTCATCAACCGGTTTCTGGAGCATAAATTCCAAGTGAGATTTCATGATCAAGCTGATAACAGTATCATAGGTTGGATATACATCTGGTATCCAGAACGATCCTGTTCATATACTGTTAGAAACAAAAGATGTACTGGTCTGCACTCCTCAAATCATAGTGTAACTGTGTCATGATCATCTTAACTGAAATCATGCTTTAGAAATTTGCTATGGGACGCTGAGAACGGTTTGAACGAAGGCCGTGAACCGTTTTCCCTCTCTAAATTCTCTTTGATCATTTTTGACGAATGTCATAACACCAAAAAGCTCTCCCCCTACGCAGGTTTTTTATTTAAACGTTTCAATTTGAAAATGAAAGTTACAGAGCTAATGCAACGGTATCATTCTATGAAGTTTACTGGCCGTCATAATAATTTGCCCCAGGTATGCGTGAATGACATGAAATATCAAAGTTTATTCGAATAGATTGTTGGCTTAACTGCTTCGTTAGGTGTTGGAGCTAAATCCAAGAACTTAGAGGAAGCGGTTGATCATATAGTAACAACCTGTGCAAAGTTAGACTGTCGGATTATCAGTCAAGTAAAACAAAACAAAAGCGAAATGAAAGATTTCGTAACACAAGCTACCGACCGTTCGTTCAAGACTTTCTTTGTTATCGTTAATATCACTCCAGGCATTCATAAGATGGAAGACTCTTGTCATACTCGTCAACAATTCCTCACGATTATCAAAAACTTCATGATCCTTGTTGAGGCTAAAAGTAGAAAGCTGCTCGGTGAGAATGTTTCAAAAACTCAAATCATTTTATTTTTCAGAAGAGAATGATATCGATAGAAATTCTTTGTGCGTAGCACGATTGACCGATTCTCAACCTTTCAGAATACGTGAAGTTCCCTGTCCAACTTCAGAAGTGTATGAGAATTTTATCAGTTGTCATCTTGGTTTGAATATCCCTGAAAGTTCTATACCCGGCTCAGTCAAGAAACTGATTACTCTATATTTCGAAGTTCTACAGGTGTTTACCATTTCAATCTGTAAATTAACATGGTTCATAGAGTTGTTGCCGGGCTATGGATATTCATAGGAACTTTAGTTCGTCGATTGCTTTGGAAGCTTTGGAGAGCGATATGGAAGAATTGCTATTATCTCCAGAATTGGAAACTTTATGGAAAAGTTTGTAACAACTTCTCATCGAATTAAAAACTTCATTCTAGTTACTTCGTTGAATCTGAAGTCGAGCAGTACTAGTTCCAGCCAAATGATTGATAGGGTTGTACAGTTAGTTTGATAACATACCGTAATCACTTCAGTCTTGTGTATAGGCTCTTAGAATCGAAAAGTAAGCAATCTGCCGATTTCCGCGCTATTATCTTTGTGAAAACACGAGCAGGAACCATGTTCCTAGCTAATATACTAAACAATCGAGCTGAGCTCAAAAATAATGGAATTGTTTCATCTGCTTTGATTGGTAGTTTCTTTTGCTTAGAATATCTTGATGCGTTATTCAAGGTACCAACCGACAGGGTACAAGTGAGAAGATTAACAAAAGTGAGCAATCAGAGATAATAGAGAAGTGAGAGATTTCAACATGGTCCTTTCACAAGATTTTTTTGAGGTTCACTAACGGAACTTCGAAAGTCCTCGTTGCGACGTCAACTGCCGAAGAAGGATTGGATATACTGAAATGCAATCTTGTCATAAAGTATAATTATGTCACCAATGAGATTGCTCATGTCCAACGGAGAGGTTGATTCTTTATCTTTAGAGATACAGAAGATTAACTTTAACTTTACAGGACGTGGAAGAGCTGCTGATGCGGAATGTGTTTTCATAACTACTTGCCCACTTCAACAAAGTAGGGAGGAATCGAACTGCATGAAGGAGCAATTGATGTCTGAAGCTCTAGAATATCTACAACCACATATTCTAGAAAGAAAGGTTGTTCTTTTCTCACCTTTTCATCTTATTAGAGTTTCTGTAGGTGGCCATCGCAGTAGAGGATGAAATCGATAGTATCAGAAGGAGAAGAGCTCTGAAGGCTCAACGGCAAAAAAGAAATCCATCTGAGATATATACGTTGTGCTGCAGGTTGTTCGGCTGCCTCACTTGTTTATGATTAAGAGTCTTTACAGCAAGTGTGATAAAGAACTATGCAAGAGCGTGGATGTTAAAGTTTACAGAGAGAATTTGTACGTTGTCATCAATCCTGCAATTTTACCTAATGTAAGTATAAGTAAGCTGGCTGTGTTATCAGGTAATTGTGTTAAGATCAAGAGATCAGAAATACCAGAGGATGTGATAAACGAAAACAGATATGCGGGTATCGCAAATATTTATTGTAAAGGTTCCGCCTGTGGTAACGAGCTGGGTAAAATTCATAGAATAGAAGAAGTGGACTTTCCGAGTTTATCGGCTAAAGGTAGCATTCTCAAAATATATCTTCGGTACACAGTCATTTTCAGCTATTATAATTAAATACGTGTATGCTAATATGGAAAAACGGGAGAAAAAGAAAAAGTGGTCATTGGTATGATCTTCCTCTTCCTCCTTTCTTTGGCTACACTATTATCTATTTTCAGATCTGTGATTTGTTTCAGCCATCCCCTTTAGCAACTTATGATTTCGCGAACATGAGGAAGGAAGCGGAAAAACTTTCTTTCAATAGCCGTTCTTTAAATGATTTAGTAAAATTCGTTTCGATGTCTTAATAAATACTTTTTGATTTAACTGGTTCATGTCATGCGGGCGTCTCAGTTCATGCTGAAGTTAAGTAAGTGAATTCAGCATTCGCGTTATGTATTTCACAAGAATCTGCTGTTCCGCTGTTATTTGAGAACAAAAGTCGCTTGGTAAACGCAGGTACGTCTTTATTAATATTCTTCCAATAATAACATAAAGTATTGTGCGTATTCTGTTTTCGAATGTAATTAGATAAGGATATGAAGTAAGGCGCTAGGTTGAGGTGGAAGTAGTTCTAGGCATATATATACAATTGCTACACTCGAGTGAGATTGAGGAAAGAGCTTGGAGAACTGGATAATACATAAACTTACAGTTACACCGTTTCATTCAAATGCTTGATGTTTACATTTTTCCATGACTAGATAATCTTTCCTTCAGTCACTCACTTGTTGTAGTTTCACTCTGGTTTTTGAACAAGTGTGGGATTGAGCTGATTTATGTCGAGAACATAGGGTTTTCCCACATCTTAATTGTATTTTCTTCTATTTCTCAAGATGTACACATACCGACAATAGAATCCATTACTTAATCGAAATGCACATATGCTGCACCGTGATGTTGTTCCTCTCATATTGATTCCGCGAACAGGCTTCGAAAAGTTACGTCGAGCAGGAAGCTTAGATAATCATATGAGAAAATTGTGATGTTGTAGAATGAACCTGTACGCTCGAAACTGGGGGCATTTCTACGCTAGCATCATTATCTTCTGACGAAGACACATCATGTGTTTCTCGAGTTCTACTCCTATTTCTCTGTTTATTAGAATTGACCACGGGCGGATGCCGATGTCGGCGAACCTAAAAATCTGTTAATAATTTGCGAACCCCTTTTCATACCTTTAATTTTCTGAATTCATTAGTGAGATCACATACAATAATTCCAGAAGAGACTTCTGATCCTTCTTCCGATATACCATTTTCAGACATAGAGGGCTCGTCCAAATTGTCATCCTATCGACCATAAATAATTCATCACATCTGATAGAAGATCTTACTTTATCCGATTCTTCTTTGCTATTATCTTTTTCCAAAACTCCTTTGTCACTGAATCCCGTCATTTCACTACCATGTACGGAAGACTCTTAAACAGTCATTAAGTTTGTTAATTCTACTGCCGTTTACCATCTCCATCTGAATCATCAGCTTTATTAACATTGTTTTGCCCTCTGCTGTTAGTTCTGAGCCTTCGAGGATGTCTGCCAGTTGAATTAGTTTCTGCCACTCGAACAAGTCGTCGTCCGACTTCGTCATCTCCCTCTCTTTCAGTTTCACCAGCACTACTCTCTTTTGCTGAAGTATCTTCAGGAGCGCTGATTCCTCTGGAAGAATCTGGATTTTAAAAAATGCTTCTAAATATCAATAACCCGAAATATTTTCTTCTAGTGTACTCTCTATCACTTGGGTCATCACTTAAAGGAATCATATCTTCTTTACCATTCGGTCCAGATCTCGTCATGACTACGAGCTTTAAAATACTATTCTCTCGAATACCGACTACGTCCAGCTCTATTGTGTCGGCGAGCGCCCTTCCGCAATGAACCTAAAAATAATAAATTTTCAAAAAAACAACAACAAAAGTTCACCAGAGCTTGTCTAGAAGGCGGAATTCGTTTCCGTTTCCAAATACAGCTTTTGAGCTCAGCAACGGTTTGAAAGAGACGAATTCTCTCTTGCCACCGTTCTCCTGTAACAGCTTCTATCCAAATAGTAACCGGAAGAAGGTTAAGCATTCGCTTTCCTTCTGAAAACCTAATAGAATAGAAGTTTCATACAGAGCAATCAATCAATATTAGAACGAGCATGTACGTCCATAATGAGAACCAGAAAACAACTTTTAAACTAGTTTTTATAAAACAAAATCTGTAGAAAAAAAAATAAAAGATTCCACTGACGATGATGAACACGATAAAGGAATGAGCAATAGTTGGTGTACAATATATGTATTCAAGAAGATTGATGTGAACCCGACTCTAATAACACGCAAGGAGCTCACGGCTTTTAAGGAATGAAAGACTAGAGGATAAGTCACAAAGACAATTCACAACCAGAAAACAAAATGATATCGAAAAGTGAAGTTTCTGAGATAAAATGAAAATAACGCTAAGTTGTTGGAAGATTTCAAGCATATCAACTAAAAAGTATCATCTCCTTCCCCCATTGATTGTGAGGATTTTCGTGCTGAAAGGTCTGAAAGTGCCTTTTGTGTTGGAATCGTTGAAAACATACTTACGTGAGAGATTTTGCTTCGATTCATCTTCAGGGAGACTGAAGTAGTATAACAGCATTATACAATCCGTGATGTTCTCATCATCAATGCCGCAACAAATCGGTAAACGTCCGCGTTTATCCTTGAAAGAATCAATGGCATTGTTTTGCCTTCAGCTACAACTTACTCTCATGAAAACTGAAGAAACACAGTGTGGCAGAATATAACTCAGGAAATCAGAAAGACCTGATTGTGCGACACAGTGAACAAAGCTAAAAACAAATGACATGAAATGAAACAGGTGAGTCTTGATACGTCTCTCCGTTATTGTTCTTAGTTGCTAACACTTCCTTATCCGAGAGACTCAATAGACTGTCAAATATTATCTAAATATTTCATTTATAATGGATTTAATGTCGTTTATTCTTACCCTACTTGCCTCCTCATTTTTGTTTAAAGTCGCGAGATGTAATGCTGTGTTCCCATTTACATCTTGGATCATAGGATCACATCCTTTATTGATAAGTAGATCTAGAAAGAACAACTTCGTCATTTTATACAATTTCGTTTACCTGTGACTGTAGAATATTGGTTCTTATTCACTGAGAGCATTAATGGAGTGTTCTTATCTTTATCCAAGCAATCCAAATCAGCATTTTTCTCGACCAAGTATTCCACCACTTCGTAGTGTCCGTTCTGTGCTGCCCAATGTAAGGCGGTTCTCCCGGTATGATCTGTCGCTCCTAATGAACAGTAGTTCCCATCGTGAAGATAAGAAACTGTTTCATAATGTCCTTCTTTAGCTGCCAAAATCAATGCTTTATCCGATAAAGGACCTAAAAGTCAAATGTTAAATTTCAACTGATCTTAAACAAACTTTTGTTGACATTTGCTTGCAGTTGACCATTCGTCCATTTAGATGGATCCATTAAATGCTTCAGCACTTTTACCTTAATCATAACCACTGAATTTGAAATTTTGTTTCAATGTATACTTGGCCATGACAGGAAGCCCAATCCGCAGGAGATAATCCTCTGTAATCAAATACATCAACATTCGCTCCAGCGTTTATGAGTTGAAGAACGAAATCATTATTTCCTAACGCAGCAGCTATATGAAGAGGAGTAACCAACTGCTTATCTCTGTAAATGAACTATGAAAAAGAAGATGTAAACTCTAAGAACCTGGCGTTCAAGTCGCAAGAGCCAAGAAGTAATTCGAAACATTCCGAACTTTTGCTAGCAGCAGCTCTATGAAGATACCCTCTGCCATGTTTATCAACAAGATGTTTGTTAGACAATTGTATAAGTTGATACGATGGTTTTTTGCATGAGGTAAGGGCGATCATACCAGAAGTTCTAAATTCAGTTGTATGATTGATGTTTGTCATGTAATACAATGAAGAACCTTTTTGAATTGTCCAGAATGTTAACCATTAAATATTCTGGAGGTAAGCTCAAGCAGTAATCGATACAGTTCGTTTGATCTGCTTCTGCAGCCAAATGAAGTGGAGTTGCTCCATTACTGTCGTACCAGTTCAATTGAGATTTTGGGTTGACTTGAAGAAGGAGTTTGACACATTCAAGATGACCTTAACAGTACAGTATTTTTCTCATGAAAGAAATTTTCTCACCAGCTTGCATAGCATAATGAAGCGGAATCTTATGAGTTGCATCAGCATGTTGAGCAAGAGATTGTTGGGTGATTTTATTTCTCTGCAAAGAGGATTTGGTCTACTAAACTCCGAAAAAAAAAAAGAAATGCGAACCTCCCAGGTCAATAAAACGTCAACAACATCGGGTTTATTGTGCATACAAGCGAAATGAAGTGGTGTTAACCCTGAATGGTAGAACGTTGCTTTGTGTTCATTGAACATTCTCTCCAAGAACTGAAAATGTTATTAGAGAGTGTTTCGAACACATGTTACTTACGAGTATGCAACAGTCTGAGTTTCCAAAAGCAGCGGCATAGTGAACAGGCAGAAGCCTACTTGAATCGAACGTCATGTAAAGATCTGGTTTGAACTCGCATAAAGCCTAAAAGAGGATCATTTAGAGCCAAATATGAAAAATTAAATTATAAAAAACCTTAGCTATAACGACATTAGAGTCATCACGTTGTCCAAGAACAGCAAAATGAAGTGGAGTCCTGTTTTTATTTTCACCAGCTGCTATATCTGCTCCTCCTTCGAGTAAACAACCTATCTAAATAAAATTGATTGGACTTGAAGATTAGAGATCAGAACACGAACCATCTCTCTACTAGAATTGAGAATAGCAAAGTGCAGAGCTGTCCACCCTTTTCTACTTCGAGTATTAACTTCAGCGCCGTTATCCAATAAAATACGTGCTGCAGCAGTACTCTCAGGATCTTTGGATGCCAGCATCAAAGGTGTTATCCCGTTTTCATCCTTCATGTCAATCTTAGCTCCCAAATTGATAAGTAAATCAATAGCTTCCACTGAGCAATGCATAGCCGCAACGTGCAAAGGAGTGATTCCATTGGTCATTTTTCTATAAAAGGAAATGATTAAGTGAGATTAAGTGGATTCTTACGCATTAATATCACAGCCTGCTTGTAGAAAAGCATTAATTAATATATATTGGTTATTCAAACAAGCATAATGTAAAGGAGTACTTCCATCCCAACACTTCGCATCCACACGAGCGCCAACTTCAGAACAAAAAAAATGCTGGGATGAAATTTACACAAACCTGATAATAGCTTCATTGCTTTTTTATAATCCTCAGACAAACATGCTAGATGGAGGGCAGTTGCTCCATTCTTGGTGATATCATTGATGCGTTTGACGGACAAATTCTAGAACTCCATGATAGTTATGAACTCTGAAGAAATACTCACGGTGATGATATAGTTAGTTATACTTCTATCAGCATATTTCACAGCGACATGAAGCGGCGTAGTGCCGTCATCAGCTGGGATGTCCAACTTAGCGCCGGCAGCAACAAGTCTTTAGAAAAACAAAATTATAAGAGATAAATGATAGGAACTTACTCCTTGATCATGTCTAAACCACCATCAGCTGCTGCGTAATGAACAGCAGTATATCCTTTGTTATCCACGGCGTTGATAAGAGTATCTACATGAGCACTAATGACCCCAACCATTTCCATGGAGGATGACATCGCAGCATAATGTAATGGAGTTTGTTTATCATATGTGTCCACGTTGATATCAATTCCAGCTTTCAGAAGTAAATTGAAGACTTGTGTCTTGGCTCCAATTGCCGCCCAATGTGCAGCTGTTCTTCCCTTCTTGTCTCTAAAGCTAGAGATAAAAAACCTTAGACAAGAGATATTACCCTATGGTAACATCGGCACCGTTTTGTAAGAACAAATCTACTAATTGACAATGACCATAATATGCTGCATGATGTAAAGCAGTACACCCGTTTATATCCTGTTTATCTGTGTGTTTCAAGACATTAGAAGGTGCTGGAAGAGATCATACTGACCTATCATGTTACTGTATTTCGCTAATAAAGCCCTTGCACTGTCGTATGAGAAATGAATAGCACATGCATGAAGCGGAGTTTGCGAAATTTTACATTTAGGATTGACTTTACAGCCTTAATTAGAGAGATTGTTCATAATGTTCATTCGTTGTATAACCTGCTGATAATAGTCTGTTAACTGCTTTGATTTTATCCATAGCTGCTGCTTTATGGAGTGGAGTAGAGCCATCTCTATCTCTGGCATCACACTTAGCTCCATTTTCTTGAATATATGATTGTCAAACTTCTTATTGTGTTGTTTTCATACTTATAAGCAATTCAATTGATTCAATATTCCCCAAAAAACTAGCGTAATGAAGAGCAGTTCGGCCTCCGTCATCATGCAAGTTGGCGTCGGCACCTGCTTTCAGATTTTCCCCAAGAAGATCATTTCTACTTGTGAGCACATTTGAAAATATATTATTCTGAACAATAAATTGCTTGACACGAACACTATATTTGACTTACATCAACTCCCATTTCTCTAAATTAACACGAGCAACTGGAGTTTGAGCTGTCGTGTTGCTTCTTTTCAATTATCTACAAGATAGGAACTTCAATTATTAAATTCTTTTTTAATCTGAATATGAAAAGTTATGAAAGCTTTTCCGTAGTTTACCGTTTGCATCAAAGGAACACACACGCTGAATTACACAATTATAGTCAAAAAAATCGCGCGCAATTTTCAAACCATCTTCCCCTGTTTTCTATCGATAATATGAATTTTAGCTTAATTATTTCATGAAATCGTGGTTAATATAGAGCTTTATAAGGGATGGCTGAAAGTGTGGTTGGCGAATCTTCGGATAATGCAGCCCAGCGAGTGATGGAGCAGATCGAGAATGACATAGAAACTGGAGATATTTACAATCGCTTAACACAAAATGGTCAGTTTCACCTCCGACTTCTTGATTAACATGGTTTTTTTTGAGGAACAACAGCAGTTTCTGGTCTAGGAGGAAATATTTATAAAGAAGGTGGACAGCCAGAGTTCCTTTTGAAAAGGAAGTTGCCCATTCCTGAAGAGTTGAAACTTCAAATTAAAAGTGAGTCGGATGCTTTCATTTCTTCACTCTGTTGTACGAGCTTGCAGATATGAGAAGTCAGTTCAGTATGGGATTGTTCACAGAGATTTCACGAGCATGGGTTATCGTAGATCATGACATATTCATGTGGAATTATGAAACTAAGTGAGTTGTTATCTGTGTTTTTTTGTCAATATCAAAGTTGTAGTGATGATCTCGCTTACTTCGATGCTGTTCAGAATACAGTGTTGAAAATAGCATTAGTTAAAGTAAAACCAGGAATTTTTTCGGTAAGTCCATAAGTCGGAAAGATAGTATAGTCGTTTGGCTCAGGCTCCTGTTAATTACGGTTTGATTGTTGGTACGATTGCCGACTTGACTCTTTATCCTATGATTGTCCAATCTGATGTTTCTATTGATCCAACGCATTACTTCAAAGTTTGTTCTATCATTCTTCTTTTCTAAGACCAACTCTAGGTTGCCTTGGAACACAACACTGTCAACGATATCATAAGTACAGAAAGTGGCCGAGTGTTTTTCTCAGCAGACGACAAGCTCTATGAATTTGTTTACGAAGTAAGTCCCAGTTTGTTTCTGTTATGCCTATATGTTTGTGTAGAATCAGAAAGGATGGTTCCGAGATGGCAAGAGATGCAGAATCGTGAACCAATCTGCAAGCATTCTATCCACTCTCATTCCTTTCTTCGGCACCTCCGCAGGCTAGTGATTCTGATCTCATCTCTTTTTTTATTTTCTAGTTTCAGAAGATATTGAACAGCTCTCTGTTGACAATTCCAGACATATTTTATATTGCTTAGGTCGTAATGGCTCCATTCAAGTTTTTGATCTTGGTTTTGATGGTCAGCAATGCACGAGAGCCTGTGCTTTATTGTCTGGACAAATCTCTGTTTGTTTTACTCATAAAACTAAGTGAACAGCTCTTTTAAGGCGCAAGCCAATTTGTTAACACAATACGGACATGAAGAAAATAATTTTTCGAGCATTGTTTCCATTTCTGCTTTGGAGTCTTATCAGTCTAATCAGTTGAACTTGGTAAGTATCTCTAAGTCTCTTTTCTAATTGTTTTCTTAGGTTGCTGTAACCTCGAAAGGAGTTCGTATTTATTTCTCTGTTTTGGAGCGAAAAGTAGGATTCTATGGAAGAAATGATCAAGGAGTGTATCATAAGGTTTCTAGTTTCTTTTGAACGGTTTCATTTGTTACTCAGAATTTGACACAAGAGGAAGCTCGAGTGCAGAAATTACGTGTTGCTCATATCCGTTTCGCTCCTGGTGTCGTGCCTTCCTCTGTATATGGACAGGGCATGCAAGGAGTTTCTGTAGCTTATGCTGATCATTGTGAGTTTCAAGTTCTTTTAATCATAAAAATGTATTATTCAGCACTATGTGTTATGGCTACTGTCAACAGGAAAATCGTTTGGTCTATGTCTGATCTATACTTCCCTCATTCCAAGTTTTTAAGAGAAGCCAAGGTAAATTTGCATGTTATTCTTCCTAATTTTCACGTTACGTGTATTCTATTCAGCGTCACTTTTATTTATTTTTCTCGAGTGCTGGTTGCATTTCGAAAAACTTATAAAATTGTTGTTTATATCACTTTGTTTTCAGAGCGAGTTGATTGTAGATGGAAATGTTTGGGCAATAGCTCCCTTGTACAAAGAGGTATTTGAGATAGTGTAACGTAACCATATCTTTGAATTCAGTTGTTACCATATGCACGAACTGATAAGTTGTTCGTACCTCGAGCTCTTGCCCATAACTTCTTAAGACAAGTTATTATCGGACATTCCCGTTTATTAGTTTGTTCAAATGAGGTTTGAGTCATCAACCATTACCTTTAATCATTATGATGTAGGGTATTCACGAGTTTGAGCAGTTCACTCCAACCGATGCTCTTTGGCATGCTTTGGAAGATGGAGGTCCAGACGGACGTGCTACTGCTGATCTTTTGAGAGAATTTGGCCAGACAGAGCTTCTATTTCTGGCACTCCGTTTATTGTGCAGTGATGTTCCTAAGGATGAACGTGTTAAGGATAAGGTTTTCAGTTTCTTATTATTTTTTCCCGCTCTATTGATTACTTTAGGCTGCTGCTCTTTTCTACACGTTGAAAGATCTTCCAACTGCTCAAGGAGATGTTACACACAACCCCTCCTGGAATCCAGCCGAAGATAGTATTGCTGACTGGGCTAATCGAATGAGATGTGAGTTTTTTCAATTAACTTTTTTTCACTCTGAAATCTGCCTCTTCAGCTCCTCTTTTCGCTTCAACCCCCGAGCACAGCATTGCTTCTCCCAATTTCTTCTCTACACCGGCTTGTAAATCACCAACAGGTATTTTGTTTTGCTTTAATTCGTATTCATATCATCTTTGAAGGCAATCAGTCTATGGTAGGAGGTGTTCCACATGCTTTGAACGCAACTCATAGGCACGATGCTCTGTACTTATATTTCTCACGTTTAGTCTCTTCAATATGGACCTATTCAGTTTGTAAAATAACAAACAAATCGGTATGTTCTTAGGGTTAATGCTTTATATCTCGAACTTTTCAGCTCGTCACTCTACTCTCTAAGGATGAATTAGATTGGCTGTCTAATGAGTTGCGTAAACTCTGTGACGTCATGGAAAAGTATCGTTTACTACCTGCTACCGAAGCCGGTTTTAGAAACACTGCTGTTGGGAGAATTAGAAGTGACTAGGATTTTAAATCTATTTTTACGTTTTGACTGTTCTAGATGATAATTCCAACGCTGAAAGACAATCTCTATTGGTTCTGAGGAAGTTGGTCACTCTTTCTGCTGTATGTTTTGTTGTTTTTCAAAGTTTCATTATCACTTTCACAGGAAACATTATCACTCTGGTCCATAGCGAACAGTTTTGATTTGCATGCTGTTTCAGCTGGCATGAATACAGAAACCCTACAACTTCTGGCGAACAGACGTTTTTATCAATTAGCTAATGAATCTGATCATTTGAATGCAGATTTAATCAGAGCTTTGATTAAGTATGTTTTTCTTTTTTATTTCGAATTGTTTATCGCTTTCAAGGTACTTCCTCGGAGATGAAGCCGGAACTCGGGAGTTATCTGATCGTTTGAGAAAAGACTGTCCCACTCTCTATTCGGCGGTAATACACTGAAGCTAACCCGTCATTCATTTTTTTTGTAGGATGACGCATGTGTCACCAATGCTATGGAGCAGTTAGGAGCCGCTACAAGCATACTTCCTGGTCCTCAGCGTCGTCAACTGATTGAAAATGCCTGTCAAATGCTGTCGTCCTCAATACTCAAAGTAGACTTGCCATCTATCAGTCAAACTTTGATTCCATGTATGCTGGCTTCTTACGTTCATACGTTTTATGACTCATTTTCAGTGAATGGTTACGAGCAACTGGTTGATCTTTGTTTACTCCGTGCCAAGAAAGAAGACCCAAGGCAATTGGCGCTTGTAGCTTTCAACAAAGGCAGTTGCACCGATGATGTTGAGATGAACTTAGTTCTTGAGAAGAGGATGAAAGCTTACAAGTAATTCCTCATGTGAATACTTTCTATTTTTAAACGTTTGTGTTCAGGGTTTTCACCGATGTTCTGACTGAGTTAGAGAATTGCATCAGCAGTAATTCTCCAATGAGCAATGAACAGGTAAAATACGTATAATTTGCTTTTGTTCAATCATCTCATTACAGTCATTAAATAGAGATTTGATGATAACTAGAATTATATCTTCTGATGACGAGTTAGCACATGCTTCATTATTCAGATGGATGATTGAGAAAAACAAATCAAATCTCATATTACAAGTACGTTTTTTTATCAGTTTTCGGGTTCGAAAGGGTTAGCCGGGGAGAGTCAATAGTTTTATTCATAATTTAACATTATCTCTATCATAAAATATAAATCGGAAAATACAATTTCGATGAAACAACAAGATAATTAACACTCTTTTCATATGCAAATATAAAATTGTGTTGTATTGAGATCATAACTTATTCCGCTTCTCTCTTTATCGCTCTCATCGCTTCTTCCTGTTGATTAACTGCATGAATGAGCTGATCTGTGAGTGATTGTGTGTTGGGAGGTGTGTACCCGTCATCGGCCAACATTAACACTCTTTTTGGGAATGGCTTATTAGTTTTTGGAAAGCATTTCATAACCATATTCATTAATTCTCTCTGTGATTCCTCACTCCTAATAACTCATGATAGAAATTGTATTTGAAAATGCAAACGAACCAATTATCAACTATCCTAAAGTTGGGGTCCGTATCATGAAATGTTTTTTGGTGGCTGTATATGGAACGTTTATTTTTAAATACTGCGTGGCAAATATTGCAAGAAAATCTAGGAAAGTATAGATAAGTATATAGGTTCGAAATAGTCGCATACCTATCACTAAATCCATGAGAACGCGCATGTGCATACTTCCTTGTACTATAGTTGGCTGGACGTGTTCCCAGAGCTATTATCTTTGTGCATACCTGAAAATTATCATGATGTATATAATTTTGAAATCTGCTCACCATACAACGAATAGCCATATCTACACCTTCCTGATACTCATCTTTGATATCTTCTTCCCCGTCACCACTTCCACCTCTACGAAGTTGAGGACAAAGGGTTCCGGGATGATACGGAACTCCATTATTCCGTCTATTCTTGTTGTTTTTAACATCTGGCTTACTATCATCTAACGCGTTTGAAACTTTCAAAAGGGGATCTTCTAACAGATCAAGTAACGCTGAAGAAGCCGTCATGAGTGTGATTTCATTCTCCATCTCATCATCTTCTTCTTCGAACGTTTCACCGGTTTCTCCGCTTATTACTCCTCCAATGCTAGTGAGTGGAATTTGTTTCGTTGATGAAACTGTCACAGATTGTGAAGGTGCTTCTATCTTTTTCCTCTTTGGATTATCGTGACATCCACAGGCTGTTTGTAAGTCATCTACTACAGTAATTTTATGTTTCGCTCCTAGCTAAAATAAGGAATAAGAATACATATACATTGAATGATTACCAATCTTGTAACAATATCCCCGACATCACTCTTATCGATCTCCACGATCACATATACCATCCTGAAACAACAATTTCTGATTTTTCGAAGTGAATAAGCTAGGAAGGGGTATCAAGCGTGAGAATACAATAATACTTCACACACGAAAGTGAAAAAGTGAAGTGACATATGTTACTGTAATGTAAATGATGAGTTAGTGTGAGCATGTCCGACACGTGGCTGTTATAACACTCAACTTAAAGGTGATCACACTCATACAGACATTGAATGTGTAGTGAGGGTCGAGGGGAATGGTGGAATTTCTTTATATAACGAAAATACGAGATGAAAGAGGAATTCGAAAAAAAAACTAATAGAGTTTGAGTAAAGTACGTGTTTCGCGTGGTATGTGTGACGACGTTTGCGTGTGCGTGTGCGTGTGCGTGTCGAGGTCGACAATCAATGGCGCGAACACGTGACGTCCCCGAGCGTGACGTTTGCTAGTGAGCGATAGAGTGTGTGTGAGTGGTTAGAGAGAAAAAGACAGAGGTGCTGACGATACAATAGATAGGAATCGTGAACTAGGCAGTGAGGAAGCCAAAGAGGGAGAAATAGCATAACGACCGGCAAGCACTCGCATTCAGCTTGAGCTCGCGTGTGGGATAACTAGTGTGTCGTGTATGTGTGTGAGTGAAGCAACAACAACAATAATGGCGTTCATATGCGTTGTGAACGTTTTCGGTTTTATTATCTGTAGACACATAGACATTTTTGGTGTGTCGGAAACAAATAACACGTGTGAAGAATAGGGATGGTTTGAGTCACATGTATGTGACTAACAACGCTGAGACATTGAACCAGATGATGTGAGAGGCATGTGTTTGACCAGTTGAGGAAAATTGTAGTCGAACACAAATGGAGATGGATGAAGAAACGAAACGAAATTGCTTTCAAGTGAGAGACCGAGAGAAAGAAAAACAGAAATTATGTTGTTAAAATACGTGCGATAGTGAAAGGTGCTAAAATAGAGGCAAAAACGTGAAATTGAAAACTCATCAGGGGAAGCTAATGGGAGCGCTGATGGAATTTTTATGGGCAAATCCTCAAAACTGATAACAAAATCATCAAACATCATCCTCGTCTAATTTACGAATTAGATGCAAATTTTGCAAAAAAAAAACATTGGCCTATTACTCCAACGAGTGATATTCTTTGCTGAGTCATGTGTTCACAGCTCATGTCTGTGACTTCTCATGTCTCTATGTAGATGAGTTGGGTGTGAGAGAATCGAGAGATTTAAAGTGGTTGGCGAATTATCGGAATGAAATCGCAAGGGATTTATCAAATTATGTAAAATTAACTTTCCAGAGTAAATCGCCATATGTAGAGAAGTTCTTGACATATGAGATTTCAAACGGACGTGATCAGAGATATCTTGACCTTTTATGGAGATGGTACGAGAAAAGTGGAAACTACGATAAAGCGGCTACTCTTCTTTCACGATTGGCTGATAGCACACGGTTGGCATTGCTCGAAGCAATTTTTTCAACAGAAATACTTTTAGGCCAGAAGTTTCTCTTTCTCAACGGTTTTCCTATCTCTCACATGCTATTATGTGTGCTGAAGCAAGCAATGACGAAAAAACTCGTGCATGTTTAGAAGACTTGAGAGATAAAGTTGAAGTTGCTCGAATCCAAATCTCTATACGGTTTCCGAAAAAAATTATATAGCCAGATCATTTTGTGTTTACAGAGACTGCTTGAAAGGCTTGTCAAATCCATCACCTGCGCAAAGGGAAGCTATTCGTACATTGGATGGACCGATTCTTCCTCTTCAAGACTTACTGTTCAATTTCGCAGTTCCTCTTGATTTGTTCAAAATTCAACTTTCCATCTATCATTGCGGAAGATTGTATCATGAAGATACTATTATGGATCTCTGGGAGAAAATTTTGGATTCAGGTAAGAATGATAAAATTCTGGCTTAGAAACGTAGTATTTCTTAGAATTGAATATCAACGATGACCCTGCCGAAAGGCTACGATGTTCTCTGAAAGAACTGCACAGCATTTTCAATCGAACCAAATACTTCCCAACAGGTATAGTTGATGGTAGTTATCTTTCATTCTCTTTTGCTTGCAGAGTGGATCGTTCGCCGTTTATTGGCTAAAGGTGCAACGAGTAGAACGATTGATCCGTCTTTCTATTTTGATTTAATCAAGGATGTTTCAATGTCTTCCAACCAATTCCTCAACTTGCTTTTAGATGAGTACAGGTAAATGCTTTTTTTGAACGCTAACAAAGATTTCTTAGAAACGGAGACCCATTTTGGTCCAAGGACGAGTTCGGTCAGAAATACATAGTGAAAGTGGGTATTTGCCATGCTGAGGCGCTGTTGGAGAATCCTAACGACCTGAAAAGGAAGTGAGTTCATGCGAATATATTGTTGAAAGTACTGTGGAAAATTTGAAGGGCGGAATTGGTTGGTAGCTGCGAAGCGTTATTATCAGCTTTTTCTCTGGACTCGAGATTAGTGTCAGCAACTCCATCACTGAGACAGTTAAGCTCACCCCTCAGTGTTCTGCTCCATCGATTGAACGGCCTCCGTTAATGAGTGATACTACAGTTTAAGAAATTGTTATAGAACCTTGACTTCCTAATTCTTGTAACTATATATAATTTATATATAGCTGTTATTTCCTTATTCTCGTTGTTTGTTGATCATACCTGTTAGTTGCTATTGCGGATCTCTCTTTCATTTCTCATCGAGTTCCCCCGGTTTTAACCTCATATCACAATTTCCAGAAGCACCGTTGCAACTCTTTATAATTTATTCTGTTTTGAATTCATGATCCTGTGTTGAAGATTGTCTTCGTATGTTGATGTAGTACTTACGCATTCACAACCAATGAGTTTTTCGTCTAAGGTTGCATTGGTAGACTATAAATTGAGAGCAATAACTGTTTTTTTCGCTTAACAAGTGTTACGACACATTACTACTTTCTTGATTCAACTTTTCAGAGTATTATAACCTGTAATTGCAGGGAACAATGCCGGGGGGAACCTTTGATCCATATGACTGGCAATCTTTCTATTTCGGAAAGATGAGTAGGGATGAAGCTCAGCGAAGACTATCGCGTGAAGGCGTTGCTGTGGGCACTTTCCTATTACGCGATAGTTCTTACCCGGGTGATTTTTCTCTGAGTGTTAGGTATTTCGGCTAGCCGATCATTTGACTATTCCAAGTTGTCTTTAGAGAATCAAATGATGAAAACATGGTAAGGCATTACTTGATCCGAAAAATAGAAAAAGAAGATGGAACTTCCGAAGTGAAAGTAAGTTGAACAACCAGAGCGATAGAAGCAAGTCATGTTTTGAGATAGCTGAGCAAAACTTCTTTGATATTGCCACACTATTGAACCATTATAAGATGAGAATCTTAGACCAGGCTTCTCTGACAGTACCTTATAGGAAGGATCATATCGAGAAGGTAATCCACTTTAATTTTTCCTGTGTTCATATCGTTCTCTTTGAGGTTGTCGCGATCCATCGTTTTGATGGAGAAAGAGAGTGTGACTTACCATTCGAAGCTGGAGAAGAGCTGGAAATTATAGAAAAAACAGAAAACCAGTGGTGGCAAGCTCGTAACGCTCTCAACCTGGTTGGTCTCATACCTGCGAACTATGTCACATCTGTTAGTACTTGTGAATTTTGAAAGTCTAACAATAAAGAAATTCAGTTGATAGATAATGATAGGGAAGCTAAGGTACGAAGTCAGTCTTCATATGAAAGTTCTGCGGGTGATGAAAGATGTAGCGCAGTCTCCACAGGCAGTGATAGCCAGGAGGACCATTTCGAGGTATATTGAGTCTAAATGTTTGCCCCAAATAAAGGAACTGTCTTTGAAGCCATCTCTTCCGTCGATAGCAAAAATAATATTTGATAGACAACCTAACGCTTATGATTCTACTCAGCTAAAACTGCAGGTTAGTCGCATTAGCTGCACATCACACAAACTTTTTTTTGCAGAAAGGTCATACCATAAAAATAATGAAGAAAATGGATAACGGTCAATATCAAGCTGAACTCGACGGTAAAGTAGGATTCGTTCCTTTCACATACGTTCGCTTTAACCGGCCATAATATAATTGTATAATAGTTCAATACTAATCCTCTAACGATTCCTATCTTTTCGTACTATACGTGTTTCATACAATATGCTGCAGGCAGAAAGTTTTTAATTTTTTGGGTTGAACCCATCTATGTGAGCCTTAACAGGTCATGAAATAAGTCCAGTGTGCTATCAGACATTGGACAGTTCCATGCAATTATTCCTTATAGTTTTAAAGCTGGTCATGTTTTTGAATTCGCTTAATAGTTTTAATTGTTATTTCATCACCGTGGCCTTATTTATTAAAGTTGTTAACTTGTTAACTTGTTAACCATTAAGAGAATCTTTAAGTTTCAACATTGTTTCAATTGTATCGGGAAGTTCATACTTCTGAAATATTTTCCATATCTCTATATTATATCATTAAATTATTCCCAAGGCTGGATTTTGAGTACAGCGCTGAATGCATTCCCGGACCTGGTTGTCCGTCCTCATGGTTCGAGGAAGAGCTGCAAGGGTGTTCGTGTGAAGACCAATGCACCTCTACTTCAGGATGCTCTTGTTTATTAGGAGCCGAGGTAATCTAGTTTTCCACGAATAGTTTCACTATTATTTAAGGACAATTACAGTTCCGAAAAGATTTACGAAGAGAAACTGAGTGGAGCTCCCGTTATTGAATGTGGCGAAAACTGTAGATGTTTGTCCAATTGTGCTAATAGGATGCTCCAGCATGGCATCACTCTGAAACTTGAAGTACGGCTGTTGCATCTACCTGTTATTGAAGTTTACAGGTTTTTGTTCACCAAAATGGCAAAGGATTTGGCGTGAGAGCTGCCGAGCTCATTAAAAGAGGTAGTTTCGTATGTCAGTACGCGGGGGAAATAATAGGGAAAGAGGAAGTAGAGCTTCGAGCTACTACCCGTCGTTTTCATAACTACGTTTTTACTGTAAAAGAGCATTGTAATGGTACGTCAAGCTGGTAGAATCTCCTTTGATCATACTGTTTCTTTAGGAGACACTAACTTCACTTATATAGATCCTAAATACAGAGGGAATCTAGCTCGTTTCATCAACCATAGTTGTGAACCGAACTTGCTCATTGTGCCTGTTCGAGTATCTAGGCCTGTTCCTCTTATCGGACTATTTGCATCTAGGTAAGTAGCACAGTTCCTCTTACTATCTGTATGCAAGGAATCTGTAATAATTTGCTGTGTTTTAGAGACATTGACATTGGTGAGGAGTTATCTTATGACTACGGATTACCAGAACAGATGAATAACCTGAAGAAATGCTTGTGTGGGACAGCATCATGTCGTGGTTACCTTCCAACCACAATAACTGCATCTGAATAAAGCTTGTATTTTCTTTCATTGCTTCCAAGTTAATAGGTTGAAAACCTGTTGAATATCTGTGATTATGTTATCATGTATGTTATTCTATTTGATAATTTTAGATGCGTCATAAGAAAATACCAACAGCTAATCGTAAGAAGTTGAAACAAGTTGACCCGTTCAACAAGAAAGGAGCAGCTATACGAAAAGAGGCGTTGAAGTAAGAAGTTCAAAAAGAATCATAAGAAACATTTTTCTTTTTAGAAAGTTTAATCATGAACCGAAGAGTGATGAACAGCCTCTCACAAGAGCCGAGTTAGAATTGGAAGAAGCACGAAAAAGCGTGTTTGATAAAACTACAAAGTCCAAGAAAAAAGAATCAAATAGAATGTTGGGTAAGGGAAATTTTCCCCATCAGAACTGATTTTCGTTGCAGAGGAAGCCAAAAAAGCTGGTTTAGTAAAAGGGAGGTTTGAAGGAATGCAACAGTTCATGATCAGAGTTCTGAGAACGCTTTCCTCGGATATTCAAGAGCATGGTGTGAAAGTGGGTTACTTTTTATTTATGCAGCTTATTATAACTGAATAATTAGGTTAAACAAGGAACTGCAGCCAAATCCCAGAAAGAATTAGAGGCCGATATGAAAATTTTGGAAGACAAAGAAAAAAAACAGAAAGAACAAAAGAAGAGGGAAGTCCAGAACAAAATAGAAGCCGCTCGTAAGGAACGGAAGAGAAAGGAAGAAATTGCTTTGGTATGGATTAATTCAGTTGATGCTCATATGATGATTTCTTTCAGGAGAAGGAGGAGCTAAAAAGACAAAGACAAGAAGAGAGAAGACTAGAGAGAGAGGCGGCAGAGCTTCAGGACCAGGAAGTAAGTTTTGTGATCTTTTATATATTATAGCTGATTTATTTTTTTCAGCATGAAGCAGAAAAGCCAAAGAATGATGAAGAAGGTGTGATTCCAGAGTCTATGAGAAGAGATCAAAAACCTCTTACAAAATCAAATAAACCCGCTAAACGAGCTGAAAAGAGGAAAGAGGAAAAAGCGATCGATAAGAAAGCCAAGCATCTGGAAGGATTAATAAATTCTAAAGGTTAGTCTGAGGTGTTTCCCAGATACAGTGAGCCACATTCAGAAGTGATAAAGTTCGGAGAGAGATGTGATGCTCCACCAAAGTTTGAAGGTGTTTTCAAGAAGACATTTGATCCTCTAATGGCAAAGGTGATTTCTACGTGAAGTTGATCCAGGTGTAAACCGTTTACTTCCAGGCAGGAGGCAAAAACTTGCTTCTACATTCCATAATGAAAAAGGAAACAGGAATAAAAACACAGTACTTGGAGGATAATAAGACTAAACCAAATGAGATAGACCGACAGAAGGTGATCGAGGCCTATCGAGATATGAAGAGGAAGAGGAACGCAATAGCGAGACAATAGCTTTTTCCATGTTTTTGTTGATTTTGATTGATTGTTGATTTGAATAGATTTGTTGTGATTTTTCTAAATATTTATCCTGTTTGACAGGTAGAAATGAAAAATTTAATTCAAAGTAAGTTGTTCTTGAGTTGGATTGTTTGAGACCATTTGCTTTGGAGTGTTTAGGTTAGATATACATCCCGTATGAGAGAATGAAATTCCATGAAGTTGAAGACATCGGAAACCCGTAATTGGTTGTATAGAGACCTTATAGCACACTGAAGGTATTCGTTTCATTCAAATCAGAGCTGGTTGAACTTACTCTAACACCAGAAATGAGAAGGAGGATTGATCCCATCCTGACAGCGGCATCCCTGGGATTTTTTCGTTTACAATATTGCATTAGTTCGGACGTGATCCTCTCCTGAAGGTGGTTGACATCATTATCATGTTCCGCTCCGAAAATGTACTTGTCTGTAGAAGGAGAATCTATGAAAAATCATTTATGCTCATCTCAGACTCCGATGTCCCTTTGTGCAACAACAAAGAACCTTTGTCGTTATTGAGAGAAGCCATCGTCACCTTTTCAACTTACGAGAAAGGAGTAGAAGAGTTTTAAGAACAGCCGTTTCGTACTCGTCGATTTGAAGCTCTCGCATTGGTTTTCCTACAGAATCCAGTGCGTCTCGGACAAAAATCGGATGCAGTCTGAGATTCAAAATCGTTTGTATCCAAAACATCAGTTTCTCTCTTACTTTACTTTTGTAGGAACCTCTTTGTCATAACAATCAACTTCTGGTAGACCTTTGAGATAATCTGGGCTCATATAAGTGTTGTTTTGAATAACCCAGAGGTCTTTGAAGTTCTCGTTCAGCTCAGATGTCAACCATCCCTGATCCACAAGAAGGAAAGCAAAGCCATATTCGAGAAGTATTGATTTCTAGAAGGATCTATTTGAAAAACCAAAAGTAAACTGGGCTTATACCTGCATGTTCATATTCAAGTTCTTAAAAGGCACAAACTGTAATGCCCACTCTGACGCGTTCATCAAAGCGATTCGAAGCATGAAGTTAACATCTTTCTTCCTAGCTCGACGAAATGGTGGATTCGCTATCTTAAAAAATTTCTGTCTGTCTTTGTTTTCTGCTAGGTGACATTCTCACATAATTATAAATTTTATCGAAAATATCAGAACCACATCCAATGGTGTCTTCCATCATACAAGCGGACGAATAGTGTTGACTTCGTTGTCGACTTTGTAGTTTTACAAGTTGATCTAGCATCCAAGTGTTAGCGGGAGCAGGACTGTCTACAACTATAAAAAATCTTTCCATCACTTTGAAATAAGTTTTACCGTAATTAGAATGTATCGAAGTGCTTGTTGACGGTGTATCGACCGCGAACGACGAAGTATCAGAGGGCGAATTAACGGATGGTACCTTCTTTTTCCTTGGACCCATAATATCTCTACGATGAATGGCTGAACATCAAAGCTATACAAAACATATATTTAATTGACAAACCTTCGGGACTCATACCAACTAACAGACATTTTTGCAAACGGCAATAACGACAGATACATCGAGTTTCTGTAATTAATGACGATTATCGATGACATGCAATGATAGTGCTCACCACTTGTGATGACACAGTTTTTTCCTTTTAAGCACTTATATTTAGCTTCTCTACATACTGAACGACGGAAGAAAACAATACAGCCTAGACATGCGGGTGCTTTGTAGCGATTTCCATACACTCTATCACCACAAACAGCACAGGACGACATGTCCGTGATGGTCGGTGGGAAGATTTCGCTCAAAATTTCAGAAGATTCAGGTTTTCACGATCTGTAGGATTGACTATTAATATCATCAGAACGAAGATTTACAGCTATATGAAGAGAATCAATAGACACGATAGTTTGCGAAAGCATAAAGAACGAGGCAAAATATGAAAAGCAATAATGAGTAATTAGCAGAAAAAAAAGATAACTAATTACAGATGAACACTGCGAACTCATATTTGACAATCAAAATGTATAGGCCAGTTGTAGTTAACATGTGCTTTCCATGGAAACGGAAGAACAACAAAGCTGCATATGGACTTGTACGATAATCTTATGCCGTTCAAACATTCTTCACACACATCAACGTACTGGAGGCAACAGCAATGCGTACATGTGAATGTGAGTGCCTTTTTTGAAAATTTTGGTGTTTGACTTGAGCTTATCACGTCATTCTCTACGCAGTCTCAGGAACTTGTTTTGCCTTACAAATTTCTCTTTTTTTTTTATTTTTTATAAAAATAAAAGAGATAGTCAAGGTTTTTTTGTATTTGTTTATCATTTTACTATTCTCGTTGGGAGAGCTTTTTGCGCGTCGCCGCCATCGAGAAGTGCTGGAATGTGCGAATTGAACAGTAAAAATATTGAAAAATGAAAAAAAAAAAGAAAATATAAAATGAAAATAGTTCGACATCAACGACATATCAGTGATTAGGAACGATTGAAAGAAATAATCAGGAAAACGAAAGAAAAAAAAACAATTATAGTTGGCTGAAGAAGAGGAAACCTTCGTTGTGCGTTGAAAAATAAAAAAGAAAAACGAAAATGGAAACAGAGACGAGAGGCGGGCAACCACAAGTTCAATTAAGAAAATGAATATTTTCTAGGTGATATAGATATATAGATATAGATATAGATAGATATGTATGCTATGCTCGTACGTGCAATTTAAAAAGGATTGAGACGCAGAGAACGATCACATTTTCAGCCCACATGGTCTCATCACCAAGCAACCATCGATGAAGTTGCTTATAAGGTTTGGGAATTGAGTTAGAAATGAACAAAATCAGACAGAGAAGCAGAATGAAAATGATAGATAGAGAGAGAGGGAAAGAGAAAGAGAGAGGAGTAGAAAGAAATCAAATATGGAACTTCTCGATTAGTTGTGTAACAGGAGTGAGTTTGCGGTATCGTCATTCATTTACGTTTCGTGTGAACATAGGTAAGAAGAGAAAAGTGGTTCAATAAGGATAATAGAATGGAATGAGAGGTGGGAGGCAATAGATGAGATGATGAGGTATAGAAAGGAGAGTATAGATAGTTAGATGAAATATTAGAGATTACAATGAGAATGGATTAAACATTTGATATTATCCATGCAGTTGTTGGAAATGCTTATTATATTTTGAAATATTGAAACATTCAGACAAAATATATATGAACATGTATACACACACATACATACACACACACACAAACACACAGACACATACATAACACATCTCATGTAGTGTTGTGGGCATAGAACATAGACATCAATTATTGAAGGAAAGGTGATAAAGCATTGATTCTTATCATTATGTTACCTTGTATGGCTCATAGTACAACCAGCCTTCTAACGGGGGTCTCTTCTCTTGATTCTATTTGGCTCGTACCGCCAACTATTATAATCGATTAATCAATGACCATCGCTGAATTGCGATGATGCGATTCTACGTCGACACTTCTCTTCTTTTTTCTTTCTTCAAGGATTAATATCAATCAAAGATTGAAAGGATTTAGTATGAGAGAATAGCAAAACACCCCGAGGCCTACAAAGAATATTCTGATCTCTTGGTCGAAAACAGAGAACAGGCATCATAGCAATGCCCAGATAATTCGTGTTAGGATCATACATATGATATTAAATACATTTATATTAGGATAGATAAACGTGTCTTAGAGAATAAGACTCCTGGCATCAAACATCTTATCACATACATCACACATGTCTTTGTATCCACTCAGATGATTACGCTCACCTATTAGTGACTACAAACAGAGCACACACTCCTTCTCTTAGCACGTTGTTTGTCCTTTGAAAGCTTGATCGTTGTCATTTTGTTTCTCTTTGTATTGTTTTTTTGAATCATTTTCGCTGCTATGTATTTGTGATGTGAATAGTTTCATACACTATGACCATGGGATGAGAAGAAAAAAAATTAGAACAAGTTCAATTCAGATCGTTCAGTGGGTGAACTTTCAAAAGTCGATTATAATCTTGGAGAACAAAATGTATCTAAGGCTGAGAATCAAATTAATAAAGGTGGAGAGGAAGTAAATAGCTAATCTTCTTCTTATTTTACAGTTTATAATTGAAACAAGAGGCTTCAAATGCGTTGTTAAACTCACTTTCTAAACGATCATCAAACTATTTGGATTTTGAGGGAAAAAAATACTGGAACTGTTCCATAGCTTTCTGCAACTGGAACTTGATCAAGACTATAAAAGGTTGGAAGGAAGGGGTGTTTGCATCGGAATGAATTCGACTACTCTTCTGGTTAACATCACCTCACTTGCCAGTGTCTTGGCACTTTTGGCTTCAATTTCCACAGTTGTTTATCTTTACAATGATATCAACTCGTACAGAGATGAAGTGATCCATGATATGGAAATCTTCAAAGTATGTTTAACTAGTATGCTTCTTTTTTTAATTTATACCACTTATTAGGATGATGCTAACTCTGTATGGTACGAACTTGTTCAAATGGCTCCAGTGAAGAAGCAAAGAACTGTTTCTGATCTTATCTTCGGACGTGCCAAGCGTCAAGCTCCACAATGCAACTGTGGACTTACTGCTTCACAATGCCCACCTGGACCACCAGGTCCACCAGGAGCCCCAGGAAACAGCGGTGAAGATGGACATGATGGTCCAGATGGACAACATGGAAATGATGGAAATGGAGGACTTCCTCTCGATCCTGCTACTGGTTGTCTCTCCTGCCCAGCCGGACCAGCTGGACCTCCAGGAAGACCAGGTTCAGCTGGATCTCCAGGACCAAACGGAAACCCAGGATCTCCTGGTAACGATGGAAACCCAGGAAACAACGGATCTGACGGACCAGCTGGAGACAAAGGACCATCTGGAAGACCAGGACAACCCGGAGCTCCAGGACAAAAAGGCAAAGATGGAACACGTCAAGTTGGAAGAAGAGGACCAGCCGGACTCCCAGGATCTGCTGGACGTGCTGGAGGACCAGGATCAGACGGAAAGCCAGGACATCCAGGAAGACCAGGTTCTCAAGGACCAGCTGGACCTGACGGACAGCCAGGAGCACCAGGCTCAGATGGACAACCTGGATTCGCTGGACAGCCAGGACAACCAGGAGGTGACGGTCAATACTGTCCCTGCCCTCCACGAGATGGCGAGGTTGTCGAAGCTAAGGTTTCAGTCGGAAATGAGTACAGCCATAAGCACCGTCATGCTGCTGCTGTTCGTCGTGTTTCTAGAAGAAAGATCGCCAGAAGAAAGGTTGTAGCCAAGGTTGCAGCAAGAAGAGCTGCCAAGCGCGTATAAGTTGAACTCCGACGATGATCAACAAGCTCAAGATACTTTCAGGAAAGAGCTATTCTAGTTTTACCTTTTCTTATCTTCGATTGCAAATAAAATTCTCATTTTATTCCTTGTTATGTTTTTGATCCTATTTCAACAAAAAAATAATTAAGCTCAACGAGAAATCTAGGAGTATCAACCTTTACGCGCTATTGATGTGAAACTGATCATTTTTAGTGGAAAAGTCATATATTAAGATTATCTTCTATGTGGCAGAGCCAAAAACAAAAACATTAGTGGAATCGGGCAACTCCGAGAGAAGAAATGCTTCATTCTTTTACATAAGCACGGGACCGCTAACCAGAAATACCAACTCTAAAAAACGAAAGGTTTGAATTTTCATTCTGCACTGATGTTTTGAGTGTGCGGTTGTTCACGGAAGAACGACCAGCCACTGAGAACTTGAATGTGAGGAATGAAACAGCAGATGGTTTCATTCTCAGCTTCAATCATTTTTCACACCGGTCGTGCTCATTCACACCCGCTGAGAAACAAAAACTTACATAATCTCAAGAAAACACTCTACTTTTCCAGTTTTTCCTTTTTGGAAGAATTCTGATGTCTGCAAGATGAATGAACGATGAATGAAACGATATAGCTAACTAACTATCAATGACGATTTTCTTGTATGAGATTTTTGTAGTATTCTACACTTTTTTTCGCCGTTCTTTTGCGATTCTCATCCGCCATGTCCACGCTGCAACAAGTGACATGTTGATCTTTCAATAGATATGAAGTTCATACCTGTACAAACCGAACTTAACAGCGAAACCATCATTCCACTCGAAGTTATCCATCAAACTCCAGACAATGAAACCCATCACATTACAAGAGTTTTCGATGGCTGAAAAAAAAACAAAAAGTAAGCAGATCAGCATTTTTCCAACCTCTTTTCACAGCATTTATATGGCCGTCAATGTACCGAATGCGGTGATCGTCTTGTAACGGATCAGCACTTTCATCGAACAAGTCAGCAACACCATTCTCTGTTATGAGAGTAGGAATGTTGTTATAATGATCTTTTATGTAGTTCAGGAGATCTTCTAAGCCTTCTGGCTTATATCTCACCCAAAAATCATTTCCACATAGCCTGTGATAGCAAAATAAATAGCTAGGAATAGAATATGTTGTCGTTACTTTTCATAATCATCTTCAGAATACTTGAACTGCACGATTTTTTCCTTTGTTGATTCGCCTACACCACTTTCAACAAGAGTGGGTCGGTAGAAATTGAATCCCAGGAAATCAGCACTTCCTGTAAAGCATGCTTAACATGAATCAAAACAGCCGAACCTTTTAGCTCTTCTTTCTGCTCTTCTGTAAATTCAGGTAAGTAGTCCCAGCTGTTTTTTCCGAGACATTCTCTCATTTCAAGAGGGTAATCTCCATCTTTTCCAAAAATGGGCTGAACCTACAAAATCAACACAGAGTTAATACGATATTGGATATTGAGCCATACTGACCAGCCAGTCAAAGGAGAAAGTCTCGGCTCGACGTGCAGTCTCCACATCATCAGATGTCTTAGGATAGAACCAATCTCCTCCTAGGCCAACACCTATTTTACCTGGAAAGTGTGCTTCATGACTATACTAACCCAGTTTGATTAAGAAACCGTTTTGTTTGTCGAAAAACTCTTTCTTATACATCCGATAGACTTTAGCATGAGCTAAGAGCATATGATGTGCAGCTTTGAAAGGTATTCGCTTCACGTTCTCTTCGAAAACTCCGGTAACTCCAAAAAAGGCTTCTCCCTATGAACAGCTTATAATAGACATCAATTGATAACAAATCATACATCCAGTTTAGATAGTTCATTCCATGCTCGCATTGGCATGTCGTTCGACGTCAGCCATAGTTTAACCTTAGATTATATCCAAAATTATTACGAACTGATTTATATAATTACCAAGTCTCCATATTTTTCAAAGCATAAGCGACAGAAATCTTCATACCAGCTGATTGAACTCTCATTCAACCACGAATCGTTCCTGTATAACCGAAGAGGCATATCAAAGTGGTACAGAGTGACCTTAAAATAATCTTACTGTTTCTAAGAGATAAGAAATCAACTAAACAATTGGTTCAATGTTGTTGGCTACCAATTCTTCCAGCAGTGCTCTGTAATACTTCACACCTTCCTCATTGATACAATTGATATCTCCATATGGTAAGATTCGTGACCAGTTGAGAGATAAACGATAATGAGTGACCTGGTAGATTAAAGAATATGTAGAAGATAACAACAAACGACTATACATTGAGATTTTTAATTAATTGAATATCCTCTTTCCAGTTCTCATAGCCTTTGATGTTCGTGTTAGGGTCAGAACCATCAAGTATCCTTCCAGGTTCTTTCCGGATTGCATCCCAAGTACTAACTCCTCTACCTAGAGTAAAACGAAATGAAGCAATAACAGATTGTAAACATACCATTTGCCTGCCCACCACCTTCAATTTGGTAAGCGTCAGTAGAAACTCCCCAAACGAAGTCTTTTGGGAAAATAGACATGCCTTAAATGGTGTACGCAATAAACTGAAAGAGCAAAGAAATATGAAAGTAGCAAGTATCTTATCAATGACGTTCAAACTGATATATATATATATATTTATTTATATTACAATCTTTTCTACAATAAATCAATAGTTAAACGAACATCAAGACTGACTACACTTGACTACACTGACTATATCAATGAAACCAGTTGAATACAGAGAGGGAGAGAGAAAGAGAGAGAAAGAAGGAGAGATGAGGGATATTGCCATCATTTAATGAATAACTTATTATATTAACATATATAACAAAATACTGTTGTCATGAGAATGTACAGAGTTTCAAATGCAGAATATCGTCATCAAGAAGCACAGAACTCTGAACAAGTGAATGAGATGAGAAGCTGAGGTGTTCAGAAGGAACAATGGTATGAATCAATATGATTTCTAAGCAGAATGAAGAAAAACACATATGTATCTTCAAAACAGTTTGAATGCTTATGCTCGTGTGATGAATGCAGCACACTGAACCAGACAAACGGGATCCTAAATTAGAGATATTTCTCACAAATTTCTATATCTATCAAACCTTCAATAAATCGGATTTAGTGTAAGATTGGACTAAATCATTGCAATTCTCAATTGTCATGGAATGGCATTCAGCCTGTTGGAAATTGGTTTTATAAGAAACCTTGTTGTAATACTCACTCCTTCAATGGTACAGGTACATGATACGCATGGAGTTATTCGTTTCGTTCGGCCCAAGTTGATTACCCTCTCATCAATAATACAGAATTCTATGATGAAAAATGATGAAAAAATAATTGCACAACAAGTACTCACTTCTATCTGCCCAAGGAGAGAGATCAGTGTCTGATAACGATGCACATGGCATGGGAGCATTTCTAAGAAAGATAAGTTTGCTAGACGAAAAACGAACTCACTGTAAGTCATCAGGAAGTAAAAATGAGTTGGGCTGCACGTTCTTCGCATAAACACTGTTCTCACAAATTAGCTTTGACATTGTCGTTTTCCGAATCTCGGCTAATTGATCTGAGCAAGGTTTTTTATAAGCTTAATGTTCAGTTTGTATCTTACCGGGAGTGAAGCGAGTCATACGATTGTCATTTTCATAGTAGAAACGATCACATTTCTTTAACCGACTCATCTGCTCAGCTATCAAGCAAGCGAGCGTCGGTCCAACAAGTGCTCCTAATTAATAAAAATAAGTGAAAGAAGCAGAAGATGAGCAAACCAATCATTGGTCGTTCACTCATGATTCCAGGGAACAAGTCAATGTCATCAACATGTTTGTATACGGACTTCAATGATTGAATAGCCTGAGAGTCCATAACATCTTTCAAGTCTTCAAAACGATGGACACGATGAAGCTTACAGACTTCTCTACAATGCCCATGAACAATAAGGAAATTAAGGAACCCCTATTTACCTGTATCTGTTGTACCCGGCTACACCATGATCGCGGGCTCTTTGAATGTTGACTGCTGGAAGATCAATTCCACTGTAAGTTGCTCCAGGTTTAGCAAAGAGATGGTTTCTCAACGCGTCGATAACATGACGATCGAATGCCATACTAAAGAAAATGAGCTAATCAAATTATTTTGTGAAATAAAACCTTTCTGCCCCGAGAAGTCCCATCAAGATAGATTCCAAGTGTCCTTCTCTTTGATCATACAAGGGAGATGGGTTTGAAAAATGGTCCTATCGAATATCTCTTAGTTAATTCTGATTGTTTTGTTGCTTACTTTTAGTATCACGGAAGAAGTAACATTTCTGAATTGATCGTTCATACGTGGGAACTCTGCACGAATAAGAGTGTGACCGAAACGGAAAGCAGAAGTTGACATCTCCTGACTCATTGTAGCATCACAACTCTCGTCGTAACCTTTAAATGATTACATTCATCTCAGACAGTTAATATTTAGTGGTATACCAGCATAATAGCCATTCGCTAATGGTCTCAAGTCATACTTCTCCATAGTGCTACATCCCAGAACAATCGGAAGCCATTCATTATAAACAATATGTTGAATCTTGGCAATAAGTATCCTTCGCGTTTCCTGGGAAGATAGTACCACTGTATAAGTAGAATTCTGTAGAAACTTACTTGGAACAGGATCTCGTCGTTCCATAAATTGTTCAAACGCTCAAGCTTTGTGGCTATTCTGTTATGCTCACGTAGGAAGATATTATGAATCACTGTCAGTCCTGGATGTTCGTTATTCCGTTCATCACCGGCTTGGAAGCATCTGAAATTCAGGCATGAGAGTCTTCTCTCTTTCTCTAGCTGACTTTTTGTTCCCTTGGAGCAATGTTGATCGACAATCACGCTCTTGATTTCCTTGAGGTAGTGCTTCTTTGTTAAAACTGCAATAGAATATATATACAGATAAAAAAATATGATGTGATACCCTAAGTTGGTGAAATTCATTTTTCCAGATCTGAAGTATCTGAGCTTGTTTGCTTCACATTCTGTTGATCCGTATAAGAATGAGCCATCAATGAATGAAGTCAGCTGATTAAGCTTTAAAAAAACTATCATAAGATAATCTCACCGGCTACTGGCAAACCTGATTTCTATATCCTAATGTCAATTGGGCGAGAAGGGATCTGGCAAATGGTATACACCTAGGGCTTCCATCAGCATGTTTATGAGGGAAGAATGGGTCGCCTTCATCAATTTTGATAGGGAAACAATGAATTGATAGAGTATCAAAAGAGTCACAACGACTGCAGTTGAGGATAGTGTTGTTGGCACCTACAAATCACAAGTCAGAGTGCTTATCAATTGCAATTAGTCACCTCGAGCAATAGGTGAATGCGCCATATCATGATCGAGGATTTGACCAAACTGCATTAGCAAATGAGAGAAACGTGTGTGGAATATGGGCTTGTCATTATGAACAGCATTCGAAATACTACGTGCAGAAGGAAGATCACCTCCAAGTACTGATTTCATTCGTGGACTGTCAAACCCTGTAAGTACATCAAACGGTTAACATTATTTTCAAAATAGGTACCATCATCGTAAGATGGTTCAATGATCCTTCTCATCGCCTCGAAAGCATTTCCGTACTTAGGATTGTTCAAGTTATTACACCATCCTGAGTATGATCGATATTTAGTTGTATGATCACATGGTAAAGGTTGAGGCAAGCATTGCTCTTTGGGTAGTGGATCCCGTCCTGAACATGATCATTGTATTCTTTTTTTCCAAAGGTAACTTACCAAGATATGGAGTGAAGTTTCCGATAATGGATGAGACTTCAATAGATGGCAGTAGCTTTTGTAAAGTCAGAACATCCAACTCAGCTGGTAGTTTTTCATCGTCAGAGAGCCCTTCTCTGAATAATAGGAAAGTTATTATGAGAAAAAAAAAGAAGAAAAACCCAGTTATCAAAATATTTGTAACTTCTCTTAAAACACCAGCGGTCTTAGCGATATCAAGAGACTTCTGTTTAGGTGCTAGGAGTGCTGCATGTGAGAACAGCGAGGATGGTCCAACAGTGACTGTGATTGGATATATAGAGACACCTGATCTTACAAGCCTTACGTGGTATTTCAGCCAAACGTTTTCCTTCAGCTTCTTGGAGTCTTGCATACTGTTCTATTCCTAAACGGATAGCTTTTTCCAGTGTAGCCTGAAATTGATGAATGATCTCATTGCTGATGCATCTCAGTCATACTCTAGTTGTAGGGAGCTTTCGAGGAAGTTCTGCTTCTTTCCACAACTGGAAGTTGGGTCCTTGAAGAACTGCGGACTCACAAGTCATTGGACAGTTACTTAAATAATAGAACTGTTAACCAAATCTGAAGTGGGAATACCCATAGATGTCAGGTAGAGAGAAAGGATTAGGTTGAACTAAGCCAATGTTATCCGTATTATCACAAATAATGCGAGCCAGCGTTGTTTTACGCAGTTCATCAACTTGATTCACAGTGAATGCTGATGGAGCCAAGAAATTTTCATACCAAAAGCGATCACCTTGCTTAGTCTTAATGTATGCTAATTGTTTGAACCCATTTTAGCCATTAAAAATCTCACATCACGCATCTGGATAGCATAGAGACAAGCAAACGTGGGTCCGAGTAGAGCACCGCTAACAGGCTTTTCAGCAAGTCCTCCAACTATCAAGTCAATATCATTTGGATCTTCGTAAATGTTTTGAATTTCTGTGATGTTCACTGAGTCTTTGAACTAAATTGTCAATGTTTTAGCAGAGAGCATTGACTGAAAACCTGAGTTGATAAGGCTCCAAACGATTCAGCACTTTCCAACTGACACAATCTTCTGAATTTCAGGTAACCTGGAATCCCATGATCACGACCCATTTGGATGAGCATCGCGGCCAAATCTATTCCTTGCTTTACATCTGAAGATCATTCTGTTCAAGAGTGAAAGTAGGCTTCTTACTTTGACCGAACGTGTTTTTCAATTGATCAGACATATGCAAGCCTGGTTTCAAAATCGGAGAACGTAACAGACCACGAAGAATGCTATCAATACGACCATTCTCATAGAGTATAGAAGGGTCATTGAACACCTAAAGCATGTTGGATTTTAATCGAGGAAGTTGGCATACTTTTTCTAATCTGAGACGTTTAGTCACTGTGCCATCCAGGTTCATTGTGAGCAACTCATCAGGTAGAAGAGTCAAAAAGATCTGTCCGACAGCTGTAGCGAATTCGTTGAATACTGATCCGTCTTTTTTCTAAGAAAATTTTTTTCTGACTGATTACTTGATAACCTACTATATCATATGAACTGTCATATCCATGGCTTCTCAAGGATAATTGATACTTCACAATATTATTTTTTCCGATGATCAGAGGTAGGTATTCTCGGTATGTGATATGTTGAATTTGAGCTACAATGATACGACGGGTTTCTTGGAACAGACGCTCATCATCCCATTCAGTGTTGAGCTTCTAGACGCACTATGTTTTTGGATTTTAAAAATTCTCTATCTTACTTTAAGTTTTTCAGCAACTCTGTTGTGCTGACGCATCCATAAGGCATAGAAAGAGTTTGAACTGGGAAGGAAGTTTGATCTGAAGTCAGTAATCGGGTAAGCTAAGCCTTCCTCTTCTTACCTGTGGTTTCCGGTCAAAAAGCACTTATAAGACGGATTACTTGTTCTACAGAAAACATCTGAAGAACTTGCATCCATTGGTATTCCATTTCGATAGCTAGGCCAAACTCGCATAGCAAGTTTACCTGAACAAAGTTTTAGAACATTAGAGCTTATGAAGCCAACCATCTTGGAAGGACCTGAGCCGATTAGTTGTTTCAGTAAAAGAGCCATAGATTTGGCTGCCGTCCAGATAGCTTGTAACCTAGAAGGACTGATTCAATGGAGAATTCTATGAGATATGTACCAGGTTTCCTTGTTCTCTGAATCCAAGAGTGCAGTTCTCACGTGGAACAGGTATCGTTCTTGTATAGGAAAGACATTCTATATACAACTTATTAACGAAGAGATCATCGTTTCCAAACCGTCAGATCCGTTTTTCAAAATAGGATAACATTCGGAATGTGTGACATTGTTTCGGCAGCATGGCATAGGGATATGTTCCTGAGTTGATTCTTGGTTCAAGTTGTAGAACGCTCCTTCAAAAAATTGATGTCAATAATACACCTCACGATGTGAATAACCTTTGAAGAGACTGTTACTTGAAATGTGGGCCAAATCATCATACAAGAAAGACGACCATTGGGCCAACATGAGTGAGCAACTAACATGACCGGCTGGGGCAGGAGTGAACAGTGTACTCAGTACAAGGGGAGATGGCAGGACCTTTCCATTCGTAGCAACACGGGGATCAGATATTTCTTAAAATTCAAGTGTAAGGTACTTCAAATTGATTTCATTTTATCAATTTGTAACTTTAGCTGACTGTTATTGCTAATCTGATTTCCGAAATGAAAAAGAAGCTTACTATCAGCGTAGTCAGGAGAGAGCATTCGCCTCATTGGCTCATAAACAGCGCCTCTTAGCGGAGAGAGAATGTTGTTGCAGTGGCCAGAGTAAGATCTGATACAAGAACAGGGAATAGATTTTGACTTAACTGTTTTTGGCAGTACCTATATTTTCCAGCTACACATTCGTCGATCTGATTTATAGGGCAGTTCTTCTCAATGTCCGTTCCGGAAACGTTTGAAAACGAAAGAGTGTCCATAGAAGACACTGACCTAAACTTAATTTAAAGATGTTTATCAACTCTATTCTCTTACTTGAAGAGTTTTTTAGTTGCTGCTAAAGAGACCAGTGCAGAATACGATAGATATTTAGCATATTGATCTGCTTTCATGAAAGATAGCCATGCAACTTCAGAAGGATTCAACTCAGAACCTGAGAAACATGTTGTCGTATGAAAATAAATTGAAAAGTATAGAAAAACCTCTGATTGATTTCATCATACTCTTTTCAGTATTATTAAACATGTATGACATCTCCCGAACACCTTCTCGAGCTGCGGAAGAGATCTGAGAGAACGAAACAAGTCGCTGGGCCTAAAACAGACATATCTATCTCATCAATGATTGTTTCGAATACTTCTTTCTGTTTTATTCGATCACTCTCTTTTGCTTTGTGGAACAACAAATCCTTACCACCAAAGGTATCTATAAGGATTAGAGACGTGAGTATGCTGAAAGTTCTAAATACCTGGTACTGTTCGAACTCCAAACGCTTTGGATGGACATGGTGTGAAACTGGTACCACATGGATAGGTGGCTGCTTCAGAAGCTATTGGTATTAGCAGTAGAGCTATTAAAGAAGTCCACCCCATGAACAGAATGGATGAACCTGTTAAAGTATTGATATGAAATAAGTTAAAACAGAACATAGTAAATGAGAAACAACAGCTGAGAGGATGTTTACAGGAGCGGATGCTAAATTGAAATGATTGGAACAAGAGATATTCGGTAAGCTTCAGCCAAGAAATGTTGATAAGAATCTTGAAAAGAAGGCAGAGAAGTGTTATCTTTTAAGCTAACAGGCAGTACTTGAAGCTGACCAAATCGAGAGATGAAGATGAATGATACAAGTTATTCGTTCATATTCTTCAGACGAGACAGAGTCTGAAAGGCAACTGAACGATTAGTGATCGAATCAAAGATGAATTTGAATTTGAACAACGATAGGGAGATACAAAGCGAGGATTTCCCTTGATAACTATAAATAGATGTTATGATTAAGATGGAATGCACACATAGTCTCGGAGGTTAGCATATGAGGACTTGTTCATCTCTCATCGTTCATAAACGTATCGAGAAGAACATGTTAATGATGAAGAATATGAAGAATATGATGATAATGATGATGATTATGATGAAGATGTTGATTGGCTACTGCCTTCTCTCTTTATTCTTTTGTAAGCCATTCGCCTAATTCCAGATTTATCCTCTCTCTTTCTATTCATTCACTATCGTTCCACAAGTCAATCAACCAGATAAATATTATGATATATCCTTTCATTATTCTTCTCTTCGAGAAACCAACAGAGAAGTGATTATCTTAAATAATTAAGGGAAGTAAAGTGAATCAGAGGAAGTTTCCGACTCACACGAAACCTGATTTGCAACTTCGATATGACAAAAATGCACGTCAGCTTCAAACATATTCCGTTTGAAGCATTGTTTCGTGTGAAACAGAAAAACGGTTGAAACCGTCCAGCTGTATGTCGTCATAGCATCTCCTGTTCACTCATGATTATATACTAACGTTTACGAGGAAAAGCTGGATAAAACTGCTTCGAAGTCATCCAATAACTCTTAGAGCGGAGAAAAACTTAAAGAGAATGAACTTCTTATGCAACTAATGTTGTCTTGTATCCTCTTAAGCACATTAACGTATTAATGATAGAACTATTTGAGGACAAAAAATCCGTCTATTTTATTTCTTTTCTCAGACATGTGCGTACGAATCAAGAATGAAACTGAACGGCGAACTTGCCCAGTCTTTGAAAACAAACAAAATGAACGATAAGTTTCACAAAAATTTATAATCAGTCTTCTCCACCCCATCGACCAGAGATGAATGAATATGATCAGAATCCATCATGTTATCATTTGGTATTCAACATCATAAGAGAGACTTTTGAAAAATGATTAATCACCTATATCTTATCAAGCTCAATTTCAACGAAAGGCTTGAAAACGAGACAAATGCCTTATTCAGCATAACTGTTTGGAATATTTTCAATTTTGGTTCTGAAAAAAATATTATTTTCATGTTCATCACGCAATACCGTGTTTGAGATATACGTTACAATAAAGCACAACCGCTCTCTATCAGCAAGTGCTTGAAAATGAAAATTGAACGGAGACGTGAAAAACGTGAACATTTTCAATTTCAGAATAAAACCTTTTATTTCTCATTGTTAGTGTTTATCTTGGAGACAAAAACTTATATTGTTGGAATAACGAAATTACATATGAAAGGAACCGTAATTAGAGCATAAGGCAAGGATTTGTAGTTTTCAAACTACTAAACTACCCAAAACAGTTTAAACGATGATATAAGTAATGAGATGTTAACAAACAATCCATATTATGCGAAAATTAAAAAAAATTAATAAATTAAAACAATCCGAGATAGTTCATTTATAATGGTGTCAAATCTCCGACGAACTGCTCTTGAATATCTTCAGTCAAGCCACAAGGACGGTTGAATTCTTGGCCTCTCTCGTGAATCCATTTATTAGAAACCTGAATTAAGTTAGGCTTCATACCAGAAATCCTCAGCTTAAACATACCCATTTGACTCCAAGGAGAACTGGACAAGCAGCATGTCTTGTTCTCAAATCTCCATCACCATTTCTCTTCAAATTATACCAAAACAAGGCATCATGCATTGAAGGGAAAACAGCAGTGTTCAAATGATTGAAAACAGTTGCGCCTCCTTTCTCTGGCTGGCTCATCTGAAACAATATCGTATAAAAAGAGATCTGAAAACTGTTTTATTTGAAGTCGGATCAGGAAATTCCGCAACCATAGACTCAGAAACTTCCGAGTCGTCAGTTAACGGAATTTTCAGTGCTCTTCCGACACTTTGTTAAGAACTATTAACATCGACAGTGAAATCGCCAAATTCCGAATCACCGGCCTCGTTGGTCACAGAAAGGTGAGCGACAAAAGAAGTGTGTGGAGAGTGTTAGAAGGATTCGTCAGACATCATTATGAGTAAAAGCTCTGATGTCTAACGTAAGGCAGGCAATATAGGGTGCAAAACATGCTCAAACAGAGATCTATCTCTATAAACAGACAAAAGTTACGAAACCGTGACTTTTAGAAAAAAAAACAAAAGGTTGAACGAGGCCGGCGATATTATGCAAAAATATCAAGTTAGCTCACATAGAATAGCACTGTGGCAATACGATTTCCGGTGTTGAGGTTCTTGAATGCGTTCTTTTCTTCTTTCTATAAAAGAAACCTTAATAAAGTCGTCCGATACTTACATAAAATAAAACAGTGGCTAAACGATTGCCATTCCCGCTTTTGTACGGATCCTGTCCGCGATTCTATAATCATAATTTTTGTGTTTTTCTTTTCCATGAATGGAAGAACGAGTAATACAAAAGCGGGAAGTACTTCAGCACTCCCGGTCAAGGAGTAACCCATTTGGCTGACATATCTTGCTTTGATATCTTTTCATGCTGAGCTCAATTAAAAACTTCTAACATACCCTGGCAAAGTCATAATGAGGGTCATAATGACCACCAAGACCATAGTTGGCGACCTTCAAAGTTATTAATTAAAAGGAAAATATAAATGACGATATACCTGGAGATCTTCGGAAGTCGATTGTTCCAAGTTCGTCATATATTGGATACGCTGGTTAATTCTCTCAATTACAGGACTCTCCACAGCCTTCAGCCACGCGCTGAAAACTGTTTCTTTGAACAAAAATCAAAACAACGTAGACAAGGAAAGAGACAATTGCAAACATCATTCGGAACGGACAGAAACGTAAGAAAACAACTCAAACCTTTTACTGATGCGATAACTGGCAGTCTCTAATTCTCCGGTAACAGAGTTTTGGACTGTAGCTCTCTTCAACTGAAACAAACACCATGCAAGTATTAATGAAAAGACGAGTATCAATCAAAACTCTCACACACAAAGGGTTGAACACGGTAAGAGCAAACGCCAATATAAACAGTTAGATACCTTTTGGCTATTCGATAATTCACGGTCACTAATTCCCCATTACTACCTTGGACGGTTGCTCTCTCGAGCTCAAAATTCAAATTATAATCTCTTGTTCTCAAGAAAAAAAGGCATTCTTTTCGAACGAATCATCTTGGATTTCGTGAAGGGTCAGAACTTTGCCTTTTTTCATATAAATTACAAAAAGCTTACTTTTGGTGAAGCGAGCTCTTTGACAACAGAGATTTCATAATCGCTGATGACTTCTTTGAACAGAACAGCTAGAGGGTCCAAGCGAAGAATCTCTACTTTGATTGGAGCTAGTTTCAGGAAAGGCTTATCTCTCTAAACAAAATAGTAACAGTTTGAATCAAATCTATCGATTCTGCACCTTCAAGTAGCAACGAAGCTTCTTCTCCTCAGCAGGATCAATAGGCTCGATTTCTCCTCTACATAAGGCTTCATAAGCATCTCTTTCATCGATACCGTCGTTATCATCACGCTAAAACTAGAAGTGGTCAGAGTTTCAAAGTGACTGAATACCTTATTAACAATTGGAGGTAACTCTCCTTCAAGATCTTTTCCTACAAGCATATCTTCATACCACTTGACGTTTCCTGGAATGAAGTATGAATGCTAATCTTTTCTCTCCGTTGATATACCTTTAGCACGAGGATGTTTTGGTGAGATCTCAGCCAATCTTTTAGTCAAAGATAGAGCTCTTCGAACATTTCCTTGTTTGTAAAGTGCAAAAGCTAAGTATTCAAGAACTTCTGATTCATCAATGGTCTTAGTCGATTCATTCTCCAACTTGTTCAAAGCAACTTGCATCCACATGACAACATGATAATAATCATGCTGATTGTAAGCTGCTCTTCCAATCTAGAAAAAAATTAATTACCAATACGAGAAGGAATGGCAAACCTCAAATGAATCATGAGCAGTCAAAGCATGTCCTACTTTCTCACCGTTCATGAATCCGTTGGATAGTTCGTGAGAGTCTAGCTTGTAGGTGTCTTGAAGACGAAGAAGAGCAATAGCTGCTCCGGAGAGATCTTCTTCACCAGGGAATTTTACCTTGAAAAATCAGAAAAAATACAGAAAATAGAAAATGCCTTACTTGACCCCGAAGACGATTTTCGGTAATATTTTGGATGAAAGAATCTGCTCTGTTATTCTTCATGATTTCCTCAACCTATAACATTCCAAAACTATGAAAGCGCCCAAAGCAACGTGACGCACCTTCTTCCATTCAGAAGTGAGTCTTTTGATCAGAAGGAAAGCATTGATAGGATTCGTAACGAATTCTGGTCCGACATTGGCAGCATGGTTGTTTCTGTTGACGTACTCTTCAGCGAACCTAAAAACACGGAATGTTAATAAGTAAACTAATAGTTCTGATACTTCTTAAGTTCCTTCAAACGTTCTTGCTCGGATGAAATGTACTGATCAATAACGGAAGTAACATCCTTCTCATGGCCTAACATACGTTCCATATCAGCGATAGCCGTAAAGAGATCGGCTGAAGCAAGAGCCAGTAGGCCAACAAAGGCCATCCATGGCAGACAAGACATAATCTAAGAAATAAGACTGTAAGATATAGCTTTATATGGATGTCATTAAGAAAGTTTGAAGACGAACGAATGAACAGATCGATAACGTAACAATGATTCCGATTTTTAAGTTGATTTTTTTGTAAAATCAAGTTCAGCATTCAATGCGATAATTGGAAACAGTACGTGCTTGGTAATCACAAAAGAAAGAAGTAATAATGAAAAGAAAAACGAAAAAAAGAGAAAAAAACGAATATCTCGACACATCAGTTCCAAGAGGAACATATGTCGTGGAACTTGTGAAGTTAAGGACATAATCCTGTTTGAAACAGATCAATAAACCGAATTCCGGAAAAACGAAGCAGAAAGTGGAAAACGTTAATGAATTCGAACAATCGCAACACAAGCAATCACCATATATATACATATATATTCTTCTAAGCCTACAAGTAGCAGAAGAATCAAAGAGACTGAACAGACGGTCAACTAATTTTCGGGGTCAGAAACAACGGGAAGAGCAGAAGTTCATCAAATAATAGATTGATGGAAGAGAAAGGGATGAAGAAACAAAACGTTGAAAAGAATATTTTATGATTCGGCTTTCATGTTGGATAAAAGTGGAACCTCAAGTTATAGAGACGATTTTAGAAAAAAAAACTGAAATGGGTCGAGGCAGAACATATTGAAGAGTGCACGATTAGAACAAATCCCAATGAAGACGAAAATGAGAGAGACGAAGGACGAAAACCACCAAAATTCGTTTTGTTCATCCAAATAATCTCTGTCGAGAGTTTTCATTCAAGAAAACTACAAGAGAAAAAAGAAAGAGAGATTTTAGAAGATAGGCAAGAACACGTTCAACTTCATAAGGAAAGAAAACAGAAAGACTAAATTCCTAAGAAGTCAGGAAACAACAACTTGATCCAATGAGAAGTGGTCAAAGCTCTGGATCAGAGAAAACATGTGAACGTGAGAAATTTAAATAAATAGAAAAGAGAGGTCAATAGGACAGAAGATGGACATAGGTTTTACACAAACGGCCCCTTAACTAATGGAGGCTAAAGGATATTCAGGGCGTGGTCAGATATGTGAGAATTACATTGGAGTGAGGTAAGCTAGTTCTAATAAATGGTAATATTCGCAACATTCGGAAAAGAGATCACGTGCAACTACCCATTTAGCTGCCAAGGTGGAAATAAAGAGAAAAAGAGAGAGGAGCGGCCATCCATCCTTGACCAACAGATTCAATAAAGAGTCAGCAGATAACGAGATAAGACAAAAAAAGATTTCACTGGATAACTTGCGGGTCACGAAGAAGTCGCAGTATTGTTTTAGTCGACAGTCATTCTTATTTTTGAAAGAAGAAATCAGAAGCTGGAAGAAACTTCCAAGCATAGTAGGGACATTGAAACAGAGTTTACATGTTTCTCAAGCAGCTTTATATGGAGGATGAAAGCTGGTGACTTAATAAGAAAACGCGCAAGTTTGACACCATTCATGCTTCTGAAGAGCCAGTTTCGTCACGTATTCACGTGGACATCTTCTAGAAACTTCTGAACGAAGACTATTTCATAGGAAAACCTTGAAAGGCAAACAAGAAATAGACTATAACGAAAACATTGTTTTTTTCTTCTTCAAAAGACTGAAACATTGAGTTAATAAAGGAAAAACAGAAATAAAGAACCACAAATCATTGGATGTTCTGTAAATATCGATTACTTTTACAAGAAAAGACCGCTGTACTCAGACTAAGGATTGTAAAAGAACGGATGTTATGATCAACATAGCGTTCTGCTCAGACTTCACGCGATCAGCGCATGGTAGAATGAATAGTGGTTTCCATATAAGTGAAACCATATTGAGTGGATGGATATTCTCGTGAGTTTATGAAAAAGAGTGAAGACAACCGATTCTTCGTTGCAACCTTGAAGAAATGAACCAAATAGGTCACGCAATTATCACGTATTTTCGTCACGTGAAGTACGTGAGGAAGTGAACGTTTGGAAAGTAAATTAGTTGTTCATTAGATAACATCTTCATATTGATTTATTATAATTGAGAGCAGTAGAAGGTGGATGACAGATGCCGTTGTCATCGTAAACACATTAAACCAGATGAAGAAACCGTGCCCTATCCTCTGAAAAAGTTTGACTTCTATCACGTAGACATCCGAATGTCATTGTAAACAATCTCAACATCGCCCTTCATCATTTCTTTCTGCTTTTTGAATTTTGCTCCTACGTTAGAGAAAGTTCTAAGCAATACACAATAAAGATAGTTAACTATTCAGAATTTTTCTACCAGCCTACACTCGTTGCTAAGTAATGTTATCGCTTGAAGCCTTAAACTCTCAGATGTTCTTCGTCATTCTCCTTCTCAGCAAGCATGGCAGCAACTGACACAGCAAAGAAGAGTAGAAATCCTTACCTGGTTTGTGATGTTTTTTAATGAAAATTTAATAGTTCCTATTTCAGGACTCTGATGAAGATTTCTTGACAGACTCAGATGATGAGAAGAAAGTTGACAACATCGTTCAGGATATTGAAAATGATAAACTGGGTGACCATGTCCCTAACAGCCGTTGGGCGTAAGTGTTTTCGTAAAAAATTGGAGTTTTTGAATCTTTTTTTTTTAGGAAAGTCAAGTGTGCTGTTCGCGAATGGGGAGAAACTTCGTCTTGTCATGGTATCCCACACTTGTCCCAGGCTAATACGGTTTGATACTGTCTCTCTCTCTTTTTGCCTATAAAGTTATAATTTTTATTAGGTCATATCCATGGTCATCTGGTCTGTAATTTTAGCTTTTTGTGCTGTCGGTTTCGTTTACTTGTTCTCCAACACTCTCATGCAATATTTGAGATTTGAGAAACTTGTCAGATTAAATGTTTGTTTCCACTTTGATTTCTATGGAAAGTCTTCCATCTTTTTACAGCTTGACCTGAAACAAACGAATTTTCCTTCTGTCACTTTCTGCAATATCAATCCTTATAAGATGAGCAAAATAAGAACCATCAAAGAACTAGCGGCATTGGTGAGAGCATTGAAATAAGTTTTTGTTGAGAGCTATCGTCTGCTTTCAGTTGAGCGTGTACGAATCGGCTGCTAATGGTACTCTACTGTGATCTTGGATTGGTAGAAGTCAAGCAATTATAAAAATTTATAAGCATCTATTTCTGTAAGAAAAACGCAATAAAGGCACAATCGTTCAACGCAGTTCAATCAGCGCATTCAAAAAGAGGACTTCATAAGAAAAAATGAAGAGCACAACCATCAAACATATTGATAAGGAAAGATTTTCTAGTCCCCTATCCCAGAGTATGATGAATCATTATAAGTAATCAAAAATCTATGGTTTATCATATTTTAGAACTGAACTCATTAACTTGATTAGGAAATAAGTAGACTTGACAAGAACATGACTAACGTGTCCACCAACTCGTTATTCTCATTTTTTAAGCAGCTCACGCGTTAAATTTTTTTCGTAAAGTTTTCTGGGAAAAACCCAATGGTGCCATCGGGAAGCTCACCAATCAACCATCCCTCATCCAACAATTCAGGAGATTTGGGTTCCAAAACCTGGAAATGATTCCGATTTTCCAACAAACAACTTGAATAGGTTGAAATCGTAGAGCAAAACAATAACTATGTGGCTTGCTCAGCAAATCGAATAAACCAAACCTTAATTTCTATATCTGGAGTGAAGTTCAACTCATCCGTGTTCTTTGCTTGGTATGCATGGGTTGACTTCAGTACATAAAGCACCTTAATGACGTATAATGAAAATGGCTAATACTCATCAACAAACTTTTTTCTCTTCCGGTTTATATGTTATGGCTTCGTCAACACCTGGATTTTCATCCTCTGACTCGTCAAAGGGATTATTTGGGTCCTTCTCTCCTCGTCTTGCTGGTATCTCTTCTGCTTTGGTAGAAGGAGTAGCAGTAATCTTCTGTAAAATAAAACAATGAATATCTTGATTTTGGAACAAGATTATAAAATGAAGGAGAATCATATGATTGTTTACATTACGTGTTTGATACTAGGCTTTTGTACAAATATTATGATTTTCAGCTTTGGGCTTTGCGTTAACAGAACTCATAGTTTATAACATTAGAACATTAGGGAAACTCTAATCTTCTTAATTTACATTTCAGTTCGAGCTAGAACCACACAAGCCCTACGGAAATGTTTCGATTACGTTTGGAAAATAACATACCGGGTAAACCCGATTCGCACACACTTCCTCTTCAACATTCTCCTCTTCTTCATCGAAAGGATTTGATCCTTCTGAAGCGGGAGGTGCAGGAGACGGCGAAACCGGTGTTGGTGTGGTTGCTGAGTTTTGGGGAGTTGATGGCACAGACAGAGTGCTCTGCGGTAGTGGAGAGTTTGCTGGGGATGCAGATGCATTCTAAAGTAAAGAAATCTTTGAACAAAGCTGAGAAGTATACAAACGTCAGAAGTTGTATCTATTGGTGTTAAAGTACGTGGTTCAGGACGCGCAACGCGCAGATAATCCATTGATTGACCTAGCTTATCAAGTTGGGAGACAATTTGCTTATTTGTCTGAAGAAAGTTGCAAATAGGAAAAGCCTCTGTACCGCCAAAAACTCACAGATCCCGCTTCAGTTTGATAAATACTATGAGCATTGAACATGGTTTGCAAAGTATCAACCAAGAACGTGATACGTCCATCGTATGTAGCAGGAAGGATCTAAACCTGTTTTTTGAGCTCAATCACAAATGTTGCACAAACTTCTAATAATTCGTTGTTAATTTCTTTGTAATTCCTTTCAGTTTGCTGAAGTTCAGTCAAGGCCTTGGTAACTTTCGGATCAGAACTGCTCTAGAAGTTAAACTGGATTATCACAAGAGGAAAATGAAACGGCTAACTTTCTTTGACGACGATGTCAATGAAGTATACGTATTCTTAGCATGATCATAGTCGACTAGTTTTCTTCCTCTTTTGTCAACCTGAAGAATAACGATGATTATAACTATATAATCGGATATATAATCTACCTTCTTTTTGAGGTCACCGAATTGATTAACATATTGAGAAACATTTTGAACCAAATCGTCACCGACGGATTTTTCAAGTTGAATTGTTTGTATGTCCAGATTCTACAAAAAAAATATTTAAGTTTTCGATAAAACAAAGAGGATTTCATGCACAACCGCTTCAGCTGATTTTTAAAAACAAAATGCAGCCAACAACTACATCGAAGTTCACGAGACTTTACTAACAGGAAACAACTTCTTAGTGGAATGAGAAAAAAATTGGAACTTACATCAAGTAAAGCAGTGAATTGTTCTCTCTCTGGCCAATCAGATTCATATGTTTCTCTTATAGTCTCTCTCAATACTTTCTCAGCCTGACAGAGTGATTTTAAAGCTTGAGTATAACCCTGAAAAAATGAAAATAACTTTAAAAAACAGTGGAATGATTCACCTTGACATCTTTATACAGTTTTTCGGATGCTTTACTTTGTTTCATAAGATTGTTTGCGTGAATATCAAAAACTTCATCTTGAGTAGCTTTTGCCTTCCCGATTCCTTCCAAGAGCTAAAACAACGTTTATCACAAACATCGAAAATCATACAAACTTTTTCTTTTGTTCGAGTAGTGGCTTTCTTAATGTGTTTGTTAAATAAGTCAGCCATGTCTGAAACTATCAAAGAGTTTATCAAACGATGAAGAAAATCAAAATCAATATACAAAGATTAGTTATTGAAACTGTTTATTACGGAAAAAAAATTCGACAGTGTAGAGCAAAAAATGCAGCAATCGTAAAAGAAACAGGCAAAACAGGGAATACTATGAGGTAAAATCAGCAGGTGATTTTCATGTTATTCTGAAGATAGATGACGTTTCACTTATGACCAAGAATAAAACGAACGATGACTAGTCGCAAACTGCAGGTTTGCGGCCTAGCATCGTCGGAATCTTGGGTCCTCTGCGTCTCTAACTTTTCTCTTCTCGTCTAGCCGTCTTCTTGACCAGAAAGAACGAGAGAAAGATGCAACTTGAACAGGAAACTATTCATACAGTGTAAAAAAAAAGTGAGGTTCTTCTTCAAGAGGGTGATTCTAATTAATCTTTTACAGCAAAAAAGTAGCCAAAAAGTAGAATAAATCACATAACACAAACAATTACATGAACAAAGGTACAGAATTTGTGAAATTCACAAGGGAAAATGGTTATATATATAAATTATATTAGTAATAGCACCACTAATGAAGTGACGTAACAGTTGAAATGAATAAAATTATTAAAGCTAATGGCGCTTTGGCTTCTGAAAGTCACCTGAGCCATCGTGGATAAATGGTACGGAGTTTAACATGGCTGCTGCTTGTAAATACTGTTGTAAATTCGCCTGTGCGATAATGGAGTGAGGGTGAAGCGCTGAGGCTGAGTTGTTGAACGCCTCTAATGGCTGAGTTGGCATAAATGATGAAATGTTTTTTGGATCAGGACTTGGGGGGAAACTAGATAATAGCATTAATCGTATTTCAACGAAAATCATAATAACTTACGATAATAAGTATTTATAATACTCTGACAGCAAATAAGAGTTGATAGCCTGCTGCTGCATAGGAGGTAGCATAGACAGGATATGAGCCATTGATGCCAACTGCTGTGAAGATTGATCAGGAATGGGATCACTGCAATTATAGTGTGAGCGATTCTCTCACCAAACGCTGCTTACAAACGCTTCTGATTATAACCCAAAACACGAGAATGCTTTGCAGACGAGTCAATCAAAGAAGAAATAATTCGTGTAGATTCGGACTCTGGATTTGAATCTGTACTACTTGTGTGCTGGCTTAGCACTCTGGGAGATTCTGAGAAAAAGCTGGTTAACAGTTTTGAAAAATGTCATACGCTGAGGTATTTTTGTGGCAGATGTTGGTCGGTAAGTACCATTTATTATGGATAATTCGATTAGTTGTTTTCTCTTCAACTCGTCTTTTCCTTCTGGCTTCAAGGAATTTTGTAAAAACTTGTATGAAAAAAAGATGCGTACCGGAGGATGTAACAGCTGGCTAATAGCGTCAACTGCATTTTTCATTTTTTGATGTGCCCGAGATTTGAAGTCTTCGCACTGTATGACCACATGGAGTGGAGCCACTTCTCCGTTACACTCTCTCTTGTTCTATAATAAATGATATAAATTAAAAAAATACAAGATATTCGCAACTACCAAAACTCTACTAGAGCCTCTTCCTCTAACCATTATCTTGCAACCAGTTTCTTCTTCTAGTTGCTTAGCTGTCATTCCCCGAGGTCCCAAGATACGTCCAACAAAGTTATACTAGAACCAAGACATTAGAGACGAACCATTACGAAAATCTTACTCTTGGATACTTTTCTACAGGAACTTTGATGGTCTCTGTAAGCGTTATTTTTTCATCGTGTGAATCGTCTTGAGAAGTTAATGAATTAGAGTCAAGTAAATTGAGGCTTGACATGAGTGTTAATACGTTTGATATTTCTGAAAACAATAAAGTGGTGGAATCCTCTTGCCAGCTAATTACACATAAATCAAAGGCCAGTTATGATGGGAGCTTTTAAAAGCGCTGCTATCGGTTCGTTTGGAACAATAACAAAATAAGAAAAATGTAAATTCAACGTACAAAAATCAAAACAACCACGTATCATAAAAACAATTGGAGAATGCGGCGTGGTTTCACGCACACTTAATTTGCATTTTTTCAAGATATGCAAATTTCCCGCCAAAAGTTAAAGCGTTGCTTATCACTTGAACTTCTACTACACTGTTGGAATAAAATCGTCTTTGTTGTCGAAATTGGCAATTCGAGCTTCTTCTTCTACGATTCTCAAATATTATGGAATCTAAGCTTTTGAATCCATTTTTAGGTTTGTTATTCCCTGATGTCATCGTCATAATAGATTACCATTAGCTTGTCTTCAACTTACTCATTCTCTAAATTGCGTAGAGAGCATGAAATCTTTTTCTTCACATTATAGAAGTTTTCAAAGTAACATTTCAGTTGACAATAATTGAAAAAATTTATTCGAACTCTAAATTTCAGCACAGATAATAGCGGATCTTAAGAGAATTCTTGGTCACAACGAATAATTCATTGCTATGGAGTTTTGGTGGAGATATACTTGTCTCTTACAAAAGACTTCAGAAAGTACAAAGATAAAAAAAAGGATTACTCGTGAAACACCGCGGAGTATGTGATTGGTGAGTGTAGCGGACTTAGAAAAGTTGGTTGAAAGGTTCATATGAGAACCTATCCGTACCAAACGAATTGTAAAGAAACACAGATTATAAGAGATTAGTTTAGGAACTTTAATTAGATTTGCTTATCAAAGTTACAACTGAAATTTCTGAATCGTTTAGACCACCTGAATTGATCAGAAAAACAAAAATTGCATAGTACCAGCTTATATAGGGTGTGTGGGTTTGACAAGTTGACAAAACGACAAATGTGTTGATTCTACTTGGAACAACTTCTGTATTATCGGAAGAATGCATGTTTCCTACCGTTTTTAACGTTCCGCGTTTTGTTACAAAAATTCGTGACATTCAGAATGTAAGTCATTGTGTCTGTCAACCAGACATGTTCAATGAAAGCCAAGGTTTGAGCAATCAAGTGAGCTGTGTGTGATGGTTTCGAGATTTTACATTCATAAGGAAATATAAAAGTCTGTATATTACTATCAAAGGCAAGAAGAGCAACAGCAGCAATAGGGCTTAGTACATATTATGATCGTCAAACCAGTGACGACGCTGTTCTGTTAAGCCTGGTGTATAGCTGTACCGATTCAAAGCTGCATTCGTATCCCGAGGGGTTGAACCTGCGAAACGACGTTCAGTTTGCATAACGCATTTCTTTAAAATAAACCTGGGAACTTTCGGTATTGAGGAACATATGGATCGCGGGTAGATGCCACATTACTTGTCGGGTAACCGTAGGATTTATCTGATCCTGCTACATAACGACTTGAAAAGTACGGATCTTGGGTAGCCCCGTCTCCTTTTCTAAACAAGGATTTTATCTTGTCTATAGGAGAGCTAGGTCTTTTGTATTGGTCATCAACGCTGGAAGCCATGGTTAAAAAAATATTCATGCATATACTTACCCATTAGTGATTAGTTTTCCATCTGCTCCAAGACGAACTTCACTAGTTCGTCTCCGATTAAAGGAAAGTAAGGATCGTTTCTTTTTGGGACCTCAAATTGATGTCGGTAAAAAAAAAATTGATTTGAGAAAACTGACTTTCATCCCTGCTACTTCCATTGTGGAGGCCTTGCAAGTCTTTCGGATTGGCGCCGGCGGATGGCGCGCGCACTCCATTTACCTGACCCAACGTCGTCAGGGTTTGCGGAGCCTGAGTTTGAGCCGGTTGTTGTCTTTGTGGAGAGGAGCTCTTCTCGAGTGAAAGATGTCTCCTTAGACGATCGATTACCGAGCGAACCGGCCCTGTCCCACCATCCAACCCTCGACCGTTTCCCGAATTTGAAGTATTAGTTCCACCAGTTGTTGGAGCTAATGCATCCACTGAGCTTCTTGCATCTTGTTCACTACTCTGAAGGAACAAAAGTTATGATGAAGAAACAATTGCTCATGCTTACTTGACGTGTTTTAAGGATTCCTCTTGGAGCACCTGATTTGTCATCTCTTCCTTGACTAGCCCGGCCATTAGAGGAATCGTGATAGTTTACATAACTAAAGTCCGATCCACTAGCAGCCTCTGGAGTCATGAGTCTATGACGTAGTTGTGCTTAAAAGTGATTTTTGTGGAGATTTGTAAAATTTTGATTTACCTGAGTAATCATGGTCTTTAGAGACTTGCTTCCGATCCATCGATCTGCTTCTGTGATTATAAGCCCGTTTGTCAGCATCAGTCAGTGCAGATGTTACTCGTCGTGCTGCCGGACGATACCTACATGTTATGATTAGTAAAAGTGTCTTAAGCTCTACACACTCACCCGCTAGTTTGTTCTGAAGAATAGGGAATGGATGACGTATCAACTCCCGGTGTAACTGTAAGAAGAACTTTATAATAGCTTGTTGAAGTTAACTTTACCAGCTCTGTTATCATAATCATACACTGATCTTCGATGATATCCATAATTATCTCCGTCATATTTAGTACTACGATATGGTTCACGGTAATCATTTCGAACATCTTGACTTCTATACCCATATGTTGTCAAGGGTCTATCACTTCCAGAATAGTATGAAGTAGGACGATATGAACTAGCAGCAGTTCTAAAAATAATGATTTTCAGTTTGGCTATGCTCCCTTGCTATGCTTACGGTGTGGTGTGCATAGTATGCATTTCTCGATCACGCTCAGCTCTTGTTTTGTAAACTTCGAACTTTCTTGGTTCTGCTGCCCAAGTTTGTAAAGAAGAGGATTGTAACTGAAAAAGCCTAATCAGAAAGGTCCAAGCAAATAACTAAGGAAAAGCATGTGACAATCACAACATTATATTACCAATGTTAGAATTTCAAAAACTTGTTCTTAAAACTGATAGATGAAAAAGAGTTTAAAGCTTCGTCCCCCCTTACCTCATTTTCAAACTTTCTTGTGTAGCTAGGACTGGCATTGGAAGTGTAATAACTTCGGGTGTCTCCGACCCCATACGCTGATGATCTAGAAAGAGAGTTTCTCAGATAGGTACCGTGTTTGGATTTCTTTCTCATTTCACATCCCAATCACGACGTGTTAGTTATCAAGAGCTGTCATTTCACATTTGAACGGAAAAGTACATTAAGAAATCAAGTGTCAATCAAATGTCATGGCTTTACGACACTATTAATTAGCAATTTCATATAAATGCTAGAGATATTCAAATAAAGCTTTGATCAAAAAAAGGGAGAACGGTCATTAACTGTCCCTGGCATTGATGATAACAAAAACTTGTTCCGCAATTGAAACAGGAATGAAACAGAGATTGCTACTGGCAGATTAAGTATTTTTTTTTCACTTTCTTATATCATTAATAAGCACATACTACTTTTTGTATCTTTTTTCGTTTGAAATATAATGTTACCTGTAATCTGGTCGGTCTGGTGAGAGTTCATGCATGTTGTTATAAGAGCTACGGCGTTCTTCGCGCGAAACAGCTGCAGTCTGTAAGAGAGATATGAAGGAACGAGTAATGAGACAAGTATGAAATTCATTTTTTTAACAAAAAAATGCACAAACCCAATCGTCACTTGTAATTAACATATTGAAGATTAAGATTAGGTATAGTATAGAGAATGGTTCTAATGAACGGTTGATACGGTAAGCGGTTAAGTTTCTACACGGGTATAACACTACCAATGCCTAGCTAGACACCTGAGGTTTGGAGAAATCAACTATAACCAACAGGTTTCAGCTTCCCGCCCAGCTTTTAAGTTTTAGGACACGCCTCTTCTTTTAGCTGATTCCCTTGTTTGGAAATTAGATGGCATGAAACCAATTCGCCCATTCAGATAATTCGAATTAAAGTGATACCGGCTTATCTACTATAACAAGCCTTAACAAACAATTTTTGGAATCAGTTTCATTTATAAACTGGTTTCAATTTGTATGGCACCCGACTGTCACTTAACGTGCTTCCGTAGCGCAGTAGGCAGCGCGTCAGTCTCATAATCTGAAGGTCGTGAGTTCGAGCCTCACCGGGAGCAATTGTTTTAACCCCAGAACATGTGTAAAACTATAAAAAACTTACATTGTATCGGTTAGGTGAAACTGAACGATCATCAGAGTCAATTCCACGTCTGCGGTATACATCATCATGATATCTTGGCCTGATGTAGTTAAGCAAAGATGAAGCTCCAGAAGTGCCTGGAATATTTGTTCTTGTTTTATTGTTCAACTTTTCATAGGTTACTCGTATGATGAGTGTAAAACTGATCTCCAGCTGTTGAAGGCACACCGTGATAGCCAGGGGATGATTCTGCAAAAAAAAAATGAATCAAAACAACAGAACAAAAAACAATGAAACCATACCTCCACTATTTACATTTAATCTCTCCGTGGCTCTGAAAAATAGAAAATATTTCTTAATAAGTCTTACACATTAGGCTGTTTAATAACAACGGGGATCACACCAAAAAGCATGACAACGTCATAGTTCAAAGAAACCAAAACACAAAACATTTATGAATACCGTGATATCTCTTCCGGTGCGGCGATGGTTAAGTTGCGAATTCGGCGTTCACGATTTTTCCTCCTAATATAAGCTGCTGCAGATTCCCAAGCTTCTTTACCTCCTTCAGGGCTTTGACTACTGGAATCAGACAACCGAGGAATACAACAAGCATTAGCTAAGTGGAATTATGGATACAAACAAGAGGGAGGCAATTTAGCTCATTTGCGTTACGAAATCAAAAGCAAGTCAAAAGCCAAAACTTGATAAAGCAACCATTCTGTACGTCTTTTTGTTTTCAAACTAACTAACTTTCTTGGTTGAATTTCAGTTGTACGGAACAACAAATTCGTATAAAAGAATCTAAAACGAAAATAACAGAATCTTGAACATAAAATTGAAAAAAAAGATTAATGTTAGTGATTAATGACTAAATTCTATTAGACATTAATATTCACATTAAGTGTTTTGACACAAAACTGGAAGATTTTTTCAGTAAATTGGTATAAGCGCCTACCTGGGTTGGCCATTCTGAAGTTGATTAACAGGTGTCGATGCTTTCAATGGTTGAGTTGTTCCGGTTACTGGAGCGTTTTTCAGTTCTTCCTTAAGTTGAGACTCTGTACTCTTCTTGTCGGTAGTTGTTTTCGTGCCATTCACTCCTTGCTTATTAACACGACTGAGAAATATTTTTATGAAAAAAGAATTATGAGTCATTTGGTTACCTATACGGCTTAGGTTCAGTAGCTGCATTAGCAGATGGCTTAACTTTCAACTCAGCTACAGTCACGAAGTATTTTGCATTGGAGTTTGCATTTGATGCTGTTTGAGGAGTGACAGCCCGTACAGGTTCTAAATGACATATAATAGCGTAATCTTTTTCTCGATTAAACAATGGTATTCTATGTTTCATGCTGCTAAACATGTATATCTAGCCTCATTTCGAAATTAGTACTACGTAACTAATGATGCGAACGAGTAATTAAACATGATACATAAAGTATGATTATAAGCTGAATTAACCTGGCGACATAGAAGCATGAATACTAGCAGGAGCACTTTGCATGTATGAGGAACGGCGACCATTCAAAACTGCCGTAGTTGTTTCAATTTTATCTAAAATTAGGACAAACTAGACTTAAGACAAACGACAGTAAAAAGACAAGACTCTTAGGATGGTTTGACGGAACCGATAAAGCTCACCTCCATCACGGCGTACTGCATTGATAATAGGAGCTCGAGGTCTTCTAACAACAACTTCTTCTTCCTCCTCCTCAGATTCCTCTTCGGATTCATCAATCTAATCGCAAATATACAAAACTAAACAAAAGTCAGTCATCCTTACTTCTTCTTCCTCTTCATCTTCATCTTCCTCATCTTCACTGTCTGATTTCAATGGAGGGGGTGACCGAGGAGGTACGGACCCGACATGACTTAATAAAACCGTATTTTTGCTGTGACAAAATATAAATACCTTGTGGGTGTCATACTTCTGCTGCTGTTCATTAGTGAGTCACCACCATCAACCTTCAAAAGATCTTTCTTACGACGCACACGAAGTTCATTTTCGATGAGTCTGGGATCGGGGTGAGTGGGATATTGCATTATCAACTTTTTCGCCTAGAATCAGGTAGCATATTAAAGTGCACATAAACTATTCATCTGTCTCGCGCACACATTTTGCTACTTCTCAACTGACACCCAGAAGAAAGAAAGAAGTGATTAAAGATAGTGTGTTCATGCTCATTCATTCCTAACGTGCTAACTGCATGAGATATAACCGAGAGAAGAAGAAAAAAATTTGTGAGAATCAGTAACTATACCGTATCAAAAAGAAATGGTGATTGCTCAGGAGTTGGTTGTGGTCCTCCCATATGTTTACGTGTAAGAGTGGGAGATTCACAGTCCGTAGAAACTCCTCTACCGTACATATCAACACGACTATGCTGTAAGAGCTTCGATGATTGCCGCAGACATATTCTGGACGTGAAGCTTTGGCAAGCACATCAATTAGTTCATGCAAGCTGTTATAAACAGTTCTAGAGGTTGAGATACGAAAACTGGTACAGTTACACATGCACTCTAACACACTTTTTCTCATCTTAACTCAATTATTCTCATGAATGTTTGGACCGTTAACATTTGTAGTACAATCAACAGTTTGTTAATGAGACTAGACTTTTATTAAATTACAAAAAGCCCACCTGATATTTTCCTTTGCTCTGTCTCTTAATCAATCCGCGATCGAATGCATCGAGATACTGTGGTGAAACTGACAATGGAGGAACGTTAGTAGCAGGATCAGGTGGAGGCAGAGTTTCTAAGAACTCTCCAACAACTGGGACTGCACATGGTTCCTTCTTGTCAACCTATGACAAGCAAGTAAGTCTAAGATATATATAAAGATTTACCTCATCAGCCAGGTCTTCCATTTCAGAATCAGTATACTCTTCGTCTTCATCTTCCGAATCAGCCTCATCGATAGTTTGAGTTTGAGTTTCGCGTACTTCCACATTTACAATTGGCGTTTTTGGAGATTCAAGAGGCTGAGTTTGATCGTCACTATCTTCGAACGAAGTGTCCTGAACAGAACATGTTAATTTTCATTTATTTGTAAATAATTCAGTACTTGTACAGTAACTTCCGTAGCAGTGCTTCGCACTGATTGCACCATAGCATCTTCGAGCTCTGATTCATCATCTTGTTCGAATCCAACCTAAAACATGAAAATTAGAGTAGCTTAAATGAAAAGTTATATTAGAAGTGTAGAGTTCCGTGCTATAATTCGAAAACAACATGCATACTAGACAAACCTCCACGCTGTGCCATGGGCGTTCTCCCATTGCTTTTTTGGTAGCTTCGCTACGACGTTGGGACGTTGGTGCTTGCTGATTTTTAGTATCTTTCTTCGGAAGAGTACCAGTAGAATTTCCGACTGACGTCTTTCTAACACCATCCTTAAATGTGTTTAGATTGCATATGAGTAGGGGAATACATGCTTTTTTTAATGTGCTGTGATAGTTCATGTTTGATTGCATAAATGATTACCTGTGATTGCTGTTCGATGATCTTAGAAGCATGACGTTGAACTGCTGGTGGTTGAGCTGCTGAAAGAAGAAGCTGAACATATGAAGAAAATTCTATTTTACCTATAATACTCTCTAATAGTTCTTTAACCATCGGTCTACTATCATATAGAGGATGTGCCTTGATACGGGCAACTAAGTTCAAACTAACTGGTCCCTTATCCATTTGTTCTAACACCTTAAATTTTCAAACAGATTAAAGCTAACATCATCACAAACGCACTTGATTCATTAACATATTCAACGAGTCTGTCTCGATCCTGTACGTACTAGCGGACATTCGGCGATATGGTGGAGGAGACGCCGTTGCCGAAACTGGCACAAACGATGGTGCTCGGCTTTCATTGCCTTGTCCACTGAAACAAAAAATAAATTTAACAGTTTTTTTTCCAGAACAATCATACTCTGTTCTAGCAGTAACGGGATCCTCCGGTTGCTCAGGTGTAGGCTTGACAACTTCAACAGCTAAAAAAGAAAATTTACGTGGTTGATAAACATGTATATTAATTACTTTTTTTGACGGATGGTTGCCTTGGAGGTTCAGGAACTTGTTCAACTTTCGCTGCAGGCTGAAATGATGAATGTGAATACTCAGAAAAGACTCTTTGCATGAATCAACCGAATACATTATTGAAACTAATACAATATAGTTGTTTTTGAACGACACGTGGAATCACGTGGAATAATTCAAATTCACATGCTAGACGTGATACTTGAACCTGAGTTCAAAAACTGAAAATGAGTTTTTTTTTTTGGATTCTGCGTAATATTATGGATTATTCAGATAATAAATATTAAAATAATGATTCATTGAAGAAAGGGGACGGATATCCGGAGTTTTTCATTACAATATGTTTTGGTTGCGCCGACTATAAATCGGCTGCTATACTCACAAAGTCTATCCGGTTTTAATCTATTAAGTACTTATTCAACTCTTTTTCTCTTGACGCTATGATATATCGCATGAAATATGACAAAAAATACAAAATACAGATTCAATTAGTAACTGCATCGTTTTGGATCAGAAGAGTGAGATATTGAAAACTAAAATCTATCTATTCAGTCATCAATAGATCTTTCTCTTTGGATATCTCTTTCTCGCAGAAGACTGGCAGCTCTGCTCAGGAAACTTCATCAATCTTTTATTTTATTCGAATTTAATCATATTGTTTTATTCTCAATATTCTCGCACTTTTTGCAAAATTGCATTCCTCTATCAATCCTCATCCTCATTCAACTCTATTTCAGGTGAGAATGTTACGTTGGACGACATTCTTTCTACTGTTATCATTCACAGTCATGGTTTTTTCAAAACCTAATTTTTTCAACAAAAGAACTGAGGTGAGTCTTCGATATCATTCCTTTCAATTTCTGATTTCTAGACAACCACAAAAGCAGTTGAAACTGTAAAGCAGAACAAATCAAGCGAAGAAGTTTTAACTTCTATGCGCCCAGACTTCAGTAATGAATCGGCAATGACTTGCGCAGACAAATGTACCGATTTCTACATAGCGATGATCAAGAACCATCCAGAGTTTGAAGTTGAACGTCTTAGAGACGAAAGCTTAGCATGCATTCGTCGTTGTCGTATTGACGAATGAAATGGTTTAATCTCCTGTATGCAATGTAGACTATGATTGTTCAAGAGATGTACGAAAGTTGTCGATAATAAAACTCATGTGACAATTTGATAGTAATAAACAATTTTTTAAACAAAACATTTACCTTTTGTGGGGCAGTTTTAACAGGTGTTGGTTGAGTTGATCGACCCAGCCGATTTTCAATTTGTCGTAACCGTTCCAAAGGATCATTGATCTCTTTCTCCTATACAGCCATAAATTTGATTTCGAAACATTTTTTAAGCTTACCTTCTCTTTCTCAGTGTACCCTCGTAAACTTTTTTCTTCTGTTCGCATTTCTGGAACTTCAGCATCTCCATCTGTTTTTCTAGCCTGAAAACCAAATATATATATTTCTGATTCATTACAAGCTACCTTGGGTGGCTTAACAGGAGAGTTATCAATATAGTGCTCAGCCTCTTTCCTTCTACGACGAAACTCTTCAATCTTATGTCTTGTTTCGTTGCTCAGGTGACCGAATTCCATGAACACGTCCGTTTCATCAGCCAAATCTTGAACAATCATAGTCTCAGCTCTTTCTGTTAACGGTGTGTGATCAATTATCTATAAAAAGAGATATAGTCATCTAATTATTTAAGTAGATTACTTGATTCTCTGGGAGTTCCTGAATGACAGGCATGTTCTCCTCCAGATTTAACCACCAATGAGAAGCAATATCAAAAATATTGGCTCTTCTCTCAGGATTGACCCGTAACATGTTTCTAATTAGCATAGATGCAGCTAAAGTAATACAGATTTGTACAAAGCCAGATTTCAAGTTCAAACATACTTGATGGTGTATCTGGTTCATAATAAGCTCCCCGTTTTATCTGCCGTACCATGCGATTAAAATCTCGACCCTCAAAAGGCATAGAGCCATAGACTAATGTGTAAAGTAGGATTCCCAAAGACCAACAGTCAACCTGAAAAGTTATATTTGAGAGCAAGTTCATGAAAGATATGATTATTACTTCTGGTCCATGGTAAGGAGTTCCGTTTATAATTTCTGGAGATGCATACAAAGGACTGCCACAAAATGTTGACAACAATGACTGGAATACGAACACAAGGTTAAACTCATAGAGTATGACAACTTACTTTATCGGAAAAATAATTTGACAAACCAAAATCAGCTATTTTTGCATTATTATCTTGATCTAACAAAATATTTTCAAGCTTAAGATCACGATGAGCGACTTTATGCTGAAATAAGAAGTTGAACTTCTATACTCTTAGTCATCAAGCTTACTTTATGACAATATAAAACAGCTGAAGTAATTTGACGGAATATTCTACGAGCTTCTGGTTCAGGAAGAGATCCGGATTTGGAAACATAATCGTACAATTCACCTCCACATGCATATTCCATAACCAATATGATTTTGTCTCTGTTTTCGAACACTGAAATGGAGAGCTAAAGAACAGTACACTATGTGAAGAGATGTGTGTGATGCCCTCATATGTCAAATGAAAGGCTTTTTTCAAATGTTCAGGAAGGTTACGTGGGAACGCAATGCGTGTACTTATACACCAGTGAATATGCTAATTAGGCTGTGACTAACCTTCGAAGATTTGTATGATGTTAGGATGATTCAAAGCTGACATTATTCTGATTTCTCGTCGAATACGAACAAGATCTTCTTTGTTCTCGATGGCGCTTTTCTTAATCAACTTCACGGCAACCTTAAGAGGGAGATCATTATATTTCCGTTCAAATATGCTAATTATCAGCTTCTGCTCCCAAAATTTTATGCAATTCAAAAGCTTCTGTTGATAAAAAAAAATTTCTAGAAGGCATTTGTTTTTTTGTGAATTCCTAAGGGCATAATTTTGTGTCATTTCGGATTTGAGAGTTGTTTTAAGCTGCAAGAGTTTCTTTTTGTTTCTTCTAGGGTTCAAGAAAATATAATTGAGCATCGCATGTTCATACTTGTAGTTGCAACAACAACAAACACAAACATTGAAAATAGATACGTACCTCTCTTTCAAATTTGTGATCGAAAGCCAGTGATACTTTACCATACGTTCCCGAACCAAGCTTCTTAACTATTTCAAATCTATGACGGAATTCTTTTTTGGAACCTGCACCAGGCGTGACATCAACACCTGGTAATGGCTGGCCACCTGAAATGGTTGAAACATCTTTAACGCATATTAGTTTATGTGAAAGGGGGTTCCAGTATGACATACTTCCTTGATTACCATAAAGTATTCGTCTAAGTAGTTTAGCAACATATCCTGATGTACATACGAATGACATTAACCATTGAGGCTAAACTTCAGTTCTGATAAGATTTCAAAAAAATTTCAGATCATAGCTTAGATTATACAAAATGAACTTAATGCTTATGTAAATTATTTAGGAGACATCTTCAAATAAGGAAAAGAAATTGATAATATCTAGAATGCCATGCAAGGAGTGCTTGGCGACAAAACTGAAATACCCTAGGGGCATATTGAAACCCCGCACCGAAAATGCTAAAAACGGCAGAAGACGATGAAGTGGGTTGAATGACGGGCTAAGAAAGATTGTTAGAAAAACTTCCAACTTCAGAGCATATGACGAGCTGAATTTTAGTTTCGAATTTAGTTGTCTCAAAATAGGAATTTCTGGACTTGTGCTCGTTCAACAACTAAAAATTCGGTGTTTTTGTCGTATGTCATTGTGAAGCTTCGACAAAAAGATAGAAAAGGTAACTTCTAACCAAAGCAAGCTCTGAAGAATAACAAACAATGTTTAAAAAAAAAAGAAGAAGTCAGATTTGGACACGTGTAAGGGGGATAAGGCTGTTCTAAGAATATCCGAAGGCAACTCTTGGCATCATTGGATAACAAACAAAGTGAAAACAACCAGAGCATGGATTTTCATCTATTCTATTCATACACGAGGTAAAAGAAGAAAGGGAAAACACTGAATAATGAATATGAAAACATAAAATCAATTCGATGGTCAACTGCTGACCTATTAGAGCTTGAGCGAATCAAAAAAAATTCAAGGCATGTCATTCATATGTAAGCAGAATAACGTCGATGAAAACCCAAAATGGATAAAAAAAAGGCCATTGAGGCTCAAAAAGGAAACTTACCAATGCCACTATGGGTAGAGGGAGCTTGGTTACCGGAGCCATATGGTCGGATGTTGCTCTGGCTGATGCGAGCCAATCTACCCGAACGGGAAGACGTGCCCGCTACAGGCATACGCAAGACGATGGATCCTGAAAAGAAAAGAAGATAAATAAAAAATGTGGGAAGTGGTGATGGAAGGTGATCGATATAAGTTATCTAAGCAAAGTGTTGAAAGAATGAGACAAGTAACAGATGAATAACAAGGATGACATCATGACACCGGCTGATTTATACTGAGGAGAGAACAAGGTCCAGAAACTTTTGGATCCTTTGTTTGTACACAGCAATACCGCTCTACTCAGTAGAAAAGTGTAATGATTGCAAATGATCGAATCTACATATACATAAAAGGAAGAATAAGATGAACGATAGAATAGTCACAAAAAGGATAATGAATGCAACTAAAACATCTATAAAGTTACAATTGAACCCGTAATGACCAAAGTTTTAACTGGAATGGCAGGTAGTAGTTGGTCGAGAGGATGTGTCACACTCCCTTGTTACTCTCTCCTTCTTCCCAGCTTTCTCTCTTTTCTTCTGTTTCACTCTATATTTTACTTAATCTGTCTGATATTGCAAGAAAAGATAGGGAAAGATAGAAGAACCTGGAGCGAGCAGACGACTCATCAGTACCTTTTGCTCCAGAACCGAGGGACGACACAACGACGACAGCTGACGTGATGGACGTAAGAACAGAAAGTTTGGAGAGAGCCTTTGAGCTATAAACTGTGCCGATGGGGGGCGAGAGATGTGTTCAGCTCTTTTATAGGACAGAACAAAATGTTCAAATGAGTTCAGAAGTTACGACATGATATAATTTGATCGCGCAATCTGAACTCCGTTAGTTGGAACTCGAAGCATATTCTATCAATGCATGCTTCTTATCCCAAACTGTGCTTCATGCAAGAGAGTTTCTTGATAAAAACACCGAAATCTTTAAGAGGGAAAAAAGATAAAAGCTAGTGGGTTGAAAGAACCGATCCTGATCGCAGATTTGCAAAAAAAGGAAAAAGCATAACTTCAAGAATGTCTGATGAGGTGATGAAGGAGAACGACAAACAGAAGAAAAATATGAACGATGAATCCGATCGACGGTCTAAAGATGGCTACGGAAGTAGCCACGAAATATGCCTCAATCAATGACCATCGTTTTAACAATTTTTCTTTTTTACGTTTTTGCTTGCTCTCGTTATGAAGTTTGACCCCAAAGCTGATGGTAAAGAACAGTTGGTTAAAAGGGTGTGGGGGTGGTTGGTACGTTAGGAGCATCTGATTTAGAGTCACGTATCATCAGAATGACCGACAATCGATTATGAACTTGCTGTTCTATCAGATGATCATTGCCTGCGGTGTTTTTTGAAGAGAAAACATCTCAAGTTACAAGGTTGAGTAGCTGTGGGCGATGGACAACACAAACAGTCTTCTATATGAATCATATAAAAAATAAAGTTTAGAAAAAGGTTGTAAAACGGAATTCATGACGAAATACTGAGAGTTCGAGACAAACAGTAGGTGGAACGATTAATTATCGATTTGATTAATTATCAGAAATGCGGTAAGAAGTACATTGAACTGAGATAAGTTCAGATTTAATTTCTGACGAAGAAACTTTGTACACAGAATCGAAAAAATAAAAAAGCATTAATGGAATAAAGAAATGCAGATGATCACAGTAGAGTTGCAGATCTGAACTTGCACAGGAGAACAGAGAATAGGATAAGAGCAATGGAAAGAGATATAGCTAATGATGGAGGTAGTTAGACATGTACAGAGAGGAGGGCAAGGCAGCTAAGTGGAACACCAGAAAACATACAGACAGCCTTTGTAATACTTTGCTGTAGAAACAATGGCAAGAATCCCGGTTGACTAAGCTTGCTTTACAGTTCAATGTGATTGGCATCTGTATATTTCTCATATCAATCTACACTCTTCCTGCCCTCCCAGGTAACCCCATAAAAAAGAGATTTCAAAAACACAATTTGTTCAACTCCATTTATGTCCATTCTCATAAGCAACTCAATTAGGTAAGATAGTATAGGAATATAAGAAATTAACGTCATCGATTTTAAATCCTATATACATAGCTGTGTAAAAATGATGTTGAAATATTAGCAGCTGCGAGAGAAAAAGATTTCTTCGTCTTCTTCTCTGAGACTCTCATCTCTCACGTTTTCTATCATGGTGTTACCACCCCAACTCTGATCATTGTGGAACCTCAGAAGATGAAGCTATAGAAGAAAGAAATGGAAGAAGAGGACCTGGAAGGGACATTTATCGATTGATTTACATCGATTATACGACTTTAACAAAGGACAAGAGTGGCCTGAGCTTGAGTTTAGAACGTTTTTTTTGCCTTCGAGCGCAACTCCAGATTTTAGTTTTTGTCAACAGAGACATCCGACGGATTCCGTCAGTTTTCCGATCTGGACGAATATCATGAGCTGTGTTTAAGCTCTTCCTATGAGTTCTGTCTTCAAATTCAACAACAACAGGTTTCTATTGGCTAGGCTTTGGCAAGTAAGGAAAGAAAGTAAAAGAAAAGAAGATAGAACAAGATGAAGAGGTAAGAAAAACATAACTAGAGGACAAGCATATTCATCTATTAAAGTTGAAGATGGAATAGCATAGAGCATTTCAAATTGGAAAGAGATATAGAGATTAAGACGACAGCTGATACTCTTTTTTCCTGATCGTTTTATAAGAAACTTTTTTTTCTCAAATTTTCATAAACCTCCTAACCACGCATTGTTCTCTGAGCATCTACAAGACAGATGCAAATTATTAAACTCATATATCAGAACTAGTAGCCAGAGTTAAAAAAATGAAATGTATTGGAGAAGTTTGAAGTGATGCTGTCAAACAAACAGAAGACATGTATACTTCTTCTTCTCGTTCTTTTCAGCTTGATGTCATCTTATACTGATCTTTACTCGTTAATGATCGATTCCAGTCATTGAACATAATAACTTCGCTTCTCTAGTTCACACGAGAGTTGTCCTTAACCACATAATAGAATTTTGGAGATTGTTAGCGGATCATCAAACAGTAAAAGAAACATCAAAAAGTATAGAAAAAGATACAAAAGTAATTGAAGACAAGTAATATTTAGATAAAACTATCAAAGACAAACACTACAAATGGCAAAAGTACGGTACGGATACAAGCAGATGATTTGAAGTAAAAGTCGAAAACCTTGGCTTAATAACCTGATGGATAATCAGAGATGTTGAATATCGTCGTTGGAAAGCTCAAAATTTTTGGTACAGACATCATTAAGAGGAACATATATTAATAGAACATAGAAATACGAGAGAATAAGTGAGACAGATAGGAGAGATTGCCGAAGAAAATGTATAACGACAGATAGAATGCTCTTGAAGGACAGATAGTATGAGAGCTCGAAATCGGTATGCATCCTTCTCTCCAAATATTTCTATCATTTCTCTATCTATCTCGCAGTCATTCTGCTCAGCTCTCTCTTCATCCCAACCAAAATCACAATGAGCTGCATACACCCTTCGATGGCTGAAGGAGGACAAACAGAAGCTGAAGGCAGCTTCAGAAATTCTCTCATCCTGTTATATTCTGTCGATTTCTCTTTGTATTTCCTACGTCTCAGTCAATTCTTTCTTATCTTGTGCGTTGACAGTCTTAATCTTTCACAAAGCAAAGGAGCATTCTCCTATTGGACACAATGTGACCAAACTATAGGATGAAAGCATGAAAGGAAGGAACAACGTTCGACATTCAGATGAAACGAATTCTGTTCATTCAATGAACGCACTTCCACTCATTCAAAAAAAAACGCGAAAATAAAGCAAATACCTTGGGAAATATATGAAGTCTTTCCAGTTGGTTTTTTCTCCGAACAGTTCACATCCCATTTGATTCTGATATCGCTTCCGCTGAGCCTTGGTTTCAAAATATCATTCTTCTTGTCTTCATCTCTGAATGAACGGGCTCTCGCTTTTTATCTGAGAAAAGTAGTTTACCTAGTTTTCACGCCATATGTAGCTCCTGCAGGCCTGCTGTAAGTTACATCAAGTTCAGCTTTCGGTTCGTATTTATTAACTGCCGTAGACGTTGTAGTAGGAGAGACGCACCTTAAAATCAAACGTTATTCATTTCAGAACAAATGTATGCTCGGCGGCTATCACGTTTTATTTTTATTCGAATTTAACGCGAAAGCGGTTGAATGTTTTCATCTGTTATATAATATTTTGTTTATGCTATCTTTTACTTTTTTAGAAGAGAAGTGATAGATGAACTATTCCGTTGAGCCCATCGATCCAATCTGTCCTTCGAATCCGCTACATACTTCTGAACCAAGTTTTTAGTTTCAACCACTTCTGTAATCATAACGTTGGTTTTAAAACGAAAGAATCATTACGTTTCAAAGAAGAAGGTCTTTGTAAAATTGATAGTTTGGGCACATCGTTTCTTTTTGATGTGGAGTGAGCAGGATCTGGAGGAATCCCGCGAGAAGCTTGGTATGCGAGCCTGGAACATGTTATTTGCGTATTTTCAAAAATGAAACCTGGATAGTTGACTGTCCGTATCAGGTCTTTGCCATTTAATCGAAGTAGATAGTAAAGCAGGGGAAGTACAAGCCCTACCGTTAATTCCGTATTTCAGCTTCCTCCTAGTCGATGACATGATAATTGTTTAGTTGGAGGAAAGAAATCAAATAAAATAATTTCTTTGAATAAATAAATAATGGAACTTCGGGACAAACGCAATAGATTCTACCAATGGAGCTGATGAAGCCGATGTATTTTTATGAGACTTCAGATGAATGAATAGAAGAAAAGAGCTAGGCATATCCTAGATGTAACTTAAACTTCGAACCATTGAAGAGAACTCAGAGAGCTGTATTATGAAATATCGGACAATGGCAAGAGAAGTAGAACATTTGAAGATTTGTCCATCTGGAAAAGCAGATGCCAGCTCTGATCGAACTTCAAAAAAACCTAGCCATGCCACCGTTCATCTTGTCTTTTAAAAATAGTCTTAAGATCAGTGGACCATGGACATCGAACAGTCTTCTGGGAATTAGGTTGCTGTGACACACTACATTCGAGCTTTGTAATGCATTTTTTTTTGTTGAAAAATTCTCACATCTGATGTAAGTGTATCTCCCTTCTTCTTTTCAGTTACTAAAATAACATAAATTGGATGTTACCCTCCCTTCTCAAAACTTTCATGTTGTCCTCATTTTGGAATTGGAATTCGTTTCAGCTCATAAACTTCAATTGTATCCGGTCTGAACACTGTCTTTTCGACGTTGTCCTCACGTGGTTTTCAAAATTTTGTTCTTGATGAGTCAACAGATTAAGAAACATGAAGCTAAGCAGCATATGTTTCTAATATCTCTACTTACAATGAAAAAAACGTTCTCGGTCAGATAAACAGAGTAAAAAACCTGTGAAACTGTAAAAAAAAAGTGTCTTTGTCTTTTATAAAACATCTCTCTCTCCACTTGGGAAAACCTTTAAAGGGAGTCTAAGTTGTCGTCTTTCTTACACTCATAAATCAGTTTTCATACAAAATTAACTCCATTAATCTTCTGGAAGAAGCTTCGAAAGTTAAAGCCTTAAAAACACTTCTCTTGCCTGAAATCAATCACATTTCCTGAATACTGCTTCCGTAACTTCATCTTTCTTATCCTACTGTTAGCAGCCTCTCTCTCTTCGATTAATGTGCCTCAAAACAGCGCCGTTTCTCCATAAAATTCACATAAATCCGAGGCCACAGAAGCCAAGCGGCTTGTTCAACAGGCATCTGCTCCTCCTCGCCTGAGCTCAATTTCCATCTGTCTACCCAGAGTAGAGTTGTTTCTTCAACTTCAGCGACTTGAAGACGTTTTTTGAGTTTTTTCTCCAATGTTACATGATGCTCTATAGTTCCATGCTTATTGGTTCAGACAGCATTTGGTTGTGGTTTGAGAATGTTTCGTTCTTGAAACTTATCTTTGATCTTTTTTCCTTCATTTGCATTCCTTACCATGTGATGCCTTTCGGTCTTGTACAAACCATTCTCCCTTAAACAAGATAGTTTGAAATAATATATATCAGGTTGTCTGCAAGTATCATCTTTAGAGTTGGTACAACCTCATCGTCTCTACAATAACAGGTCCGCTTTTTCCAATACATCAAACGACTACTTTATGGTCCTCCCATAACCTCAACCTCACCTCAATAGAACCCCCCAGCGAAAGATGACAATGAGTCAATGGAGACCCACCTGTTCAACAGATAACTGTGAACATTTTTTTCTCTCATCCATAACATCCATATAAGCATTGTATATTGCATAATTTCTTGTAAACCATGGGCTAGCAGAACCTACGGTTCCGTTTACAACAACGTCTGTTCTTTTCTTTTCATCTTTCTCCCTCAGCTCGTCGTCGTCTATTTCTTCTTATTTGGTATTTGAAGGGCATACACATACACATGTACATCCTTACACACGTCTCCATACAAGGCGTAATGGCCATAAACGTAAATGGTCTGTCCCCTGTCCCATTCACGTTCTTCCCTCCAAACCTATTGATTCCATATTTCAAAGCCTTATTTCTTCATCCCATATAAGGTATTGCAACCAATTTATTTGAATCAATTTTTTTTGTGTTGTTTTTTTTCCATACGTTCTCTTTTTATAACTGCACCTATCGTCTACCGTATATTTGTACTTCACACTCTGACACTCTAGGCTTTCATTGCAGCGTCTTTTGAATCTTTAATTTTTCGAATTTTTCAGTATGCTGGTCATCTTATTACTGTTTAGTTCAACGTTTGTACAAGCGGATGTTCCATATAATTGGCTGTATGTCTCTTTTTGCTCATTGAATACAGAATGTTTTGAATTATTCAGATCATTGGCCACTCTAAGCACATCGGAATACAATCCCACTCGTCTAGAAACTGGGCAATATGATAAAAGATATTATGAAGATTTATGCAATCGGTTAGTGGGATTGAATCCCATTCAGAAAACTACCTGTCAGCAGGTATGAATTGTCAAGATAATAGTGCACAAGGTAACATTCTTCAGTATCCATTCAGTATGCCATTCGTGGCACGCGGTATACGAGAAGCTCTATATGAATGTCAACAGCAATTCAAATATGAAAGGTAATTAACCCTGAAGATGCTTTCAATTATCATATACAGGTGGAACTGCTCTGATTTGAGGGAGATAGCATCAACGGCTCATGGGACATTCCAAGACATCTTAGGAAGAACGCTCAGATCAAGTAAATTGCTTTAAATGATAAACACACTTCGAATCTTTGAAGCCACAAAAGAAACAGCGTTCCTCACAGCTGTTGCATCAGCTAGTATAGTCCATGCTATTACAAAAGGCTGCAACTCCGGAAATTTAACTGAGTGCAGCTGTCACAGCAAACCTGCTCTACAAAGATACGTGGAAACGGTAAGCTTTATCACGATTGTCAATCTAAAGATTTTAATTTCATAGGATGCTCCTGTTATTGGACGACAAGAGCAGTTCTCATGGGGTGGTTGCAGTGATAATGTCCCCTATGGTATCAAATTCGCCAAAAAGTAAGAATTTTCGAAACCTTAACAGAATAACATAACAGTTTAGATTCTTGGATGAATGGGAGCTAACTCAGTTCGATAAAGAGAAAAATGTCAGCCATTTGGTTCGAAATCACAATCATTTCGTCGGAAGAGAAGTAAGGCTAATTAAAACTTCTCGCAATAACTACGAAACTACAGGCTATAGCTCAAAATATCAGAAAGCAATGTCGATGTCATGGGGTATCAGGATCATGTGAATTTAAAACTTGTTGGTTGCAAATGCCGAAGTTCAACGAAGTGGCCACCATGCTAAAGAAGCGCTACGATCACTTCGCCGTTCAGGTTGAGATGGATGTAATTAGCACATGCACTTCTTTCGTTTAATTTCGCATACACTGATCATTGCTTCTCTCAGAAAAATCTATCTTTCTCACCTAAACCCATTTTTCCTTTATAAAACAATACATTAAAGGTAACGAAACGAGCAAAGAAGCGCCTCAGAAGAAAGGAGAGAAGCGAAAGACAGACACCTTTACGCGGAAATGAAATGGCTTATGTTCAACGATCACCCAGTTATTGCGAACGGAACGAAACACTAGGTTATCGGTTCAACAAGATGTTCTTTTCGAACAGAAAAACTTTAGGCATACTAGGAACAACAGGAAGAGAATGTCTCCAATCTTCGTACAGCACAGAAAGCTGCGACCACTTATGTTGTGGAAGAGGATATAATACAAGAATGGAAAGACGAAAGTCACAGTGTCAGTGTAAATTCGTGTGGTGTTGCCAAGTAAAATGTAAGGAGTGCATAGACGACGTTCAAGTCCACACATGCAAATGATCTTCAAAGATAATAAATTTCGCTATGCCTCGCTGTTTGTTGAACAAATGTTTATTGCGATTTATCTAATTTAGTTCATTATTATTACTAAGCTTGGTGACTCTAACTATGAAAGCACGCTTTATATTATTCCTGTACATGTCTTTACATCTCATTATTGAGATCTTACTCTCGTTTATGATTCGAAGCATTCACTATTTTATTGTTAATTAGTTATGAACGACAGATTTTAAAAGTTATATCAGATAAAGATTTCAAGCCCTCTCATTGTCGAAAGAAAAGATATTCGAAAACTCACTCACTACTTCCGAGCTCAAATACGAAAACAACCACTTTGCCGCGCGAATAATAGAAATAAAATCCACGTGAAATTAGCATACATTCACGGATTCGAATTTGTCCCGAGAACGACGCCGTTGTCAATCTTCATCAGTACCATCCGCAACTTCCGTAGTACAGGTAAATGATTGGTCACATTACATCTCATTAATTGGACCATCCGTAATCTTGTGACTTACAAGAAATAGATTCAAATGTTAGCAAATCATTTTCTCTCTTATGAAATCTATTACGCAATGAGCGCTAAGAACCATAAACAGATCATAAAATCAACTTATTGCTTTCCGTTATACCGTACTGAATGATAATTCATTGGCCGTAATCCAGAGTTTGATCTGCCTATAGCATTTTGGGCGGGAATATTTGCTTCTTTACAAGTTACAGTTTTTTAAGTTATCTCGATGACATTCCGGGCCTAAATAGTTTTAGCTTCTGCTTTTGCATTTTAATTTTAATTTTTTTGAAGTCTGAGAATCGACTATATTAATTAGAATTTTTTGGTTTTGGCTTAATCAAAATTTTAAATCATTTTTATTTTAAAAATATTAATTTCAGTTCTTGTACCATTGAGAGGCGGTTGTGCTTCCGATTCCGTAATAAAAATGGCATGTTTTTCTTTGTATAATAATGGTATTCGACATTATAATGATGTGTCTTATACTTATGGAGCAGCAGCTGGACATCTAGCTTATGATAGTCCGCTGTATGATCCTAAGTTAAACAACTCAGAATCCAGTAACTCTTCCTCTAAGAGCCATTCAGGTGGGTTTCTCTCACTGTTCTTCAATTAGTTACTCATTCAGGTGAATTAAGTCCCATTTCTGTAGTACCATTCGACTCTAAATGCGTTGATCACTACGATACAGTGCATTTCCCTAACATGACAAGATGTGGTCACAGATTCGAATCTAATAGATACAGCGGTCAACGAATGAGTAAGTTTGTTTTTATGAAATGTATATTTACTTTTTTTCAAGACTCACCTTCTGATATGAGCTCTCAGTTTGCGCGTTTGAACATGGATGACAGTATTGACGGCAGTTCGTCCGTATATGGGGACATGAAGTCTTCCAAGAGCGGCATTCCACTTGTTGACAACGGTCAAATTGTTCTGTCTTTTGATGCTATTCTGGAAAACGATCAAATCGAGAAATGTGCTAGAGATAAACAGGGATGCACGTGAGTTAGAATCAAACTAATGTAAATCAAGTATAAAACATACAGACATCTGCAAGAAAATTATCCAAGCAAAGGAACTCCCGCTCGTGCCAAAGTTGTGGAAGCTGTACTTCGAAAGCAAGATCTCTTCAGAGTAAGCTTGTACTCGAGAAAAGCAAACTTATGATTTCATTTTTTTAAGGTGTTGTGCGCTGATGTCTTTGGAAATTTCTTCATTCAATGCATTATAAAAAATTCCACCGAAGATGAGGAATACCTCATCAGTGGGTTGCTCATGAGCAACATGTACGAACTGTGTCTGAATAGATATTCATGTAGAGTAGTACAAACTGCCATTGAGAAATTGCATCTTGATCGTAAAGCAGTTTTGCTCGAAGAGCTTCATTCTAGAGATCTTGTTGCATTGGCTGTTGACCAAAACGCAAACCATGTTATTCAAAAGGTTAACTATTTAATGATTTTCCTCTTAAACTTTCTTTGCAGATTATGCATGCGTTTCCTCTTAGTTATTGGGCTTTCATCATTGAACATTTCATAAATGACTCTGATCATTTATTTGCTGTTGCAAAAAACAAGTACGGTTGTCGTGTTGTTCAGCTCTCTATTGAGCAGCTTTCGAAAAAGGTATCGTCTCTTTAATCTTTATAAATTGAGATTTTTGTCTTGTTGCAGAGTAAGGAAGATGTTGTTGCTCGTGACCTCTTATCAGGATTGATGAAACATCTCATCCAACACTGCGAAAACTTGTCTCAAAACGAGTTCGCCAACTATGTTATCCAACATATCATTAAAGATTTACCTCATTTCCGCGACGAAATTATAGAGAAGTGTCTTCTGTAAGTGGAAATGAATTAAAAATAGTTTCAATATATTCATTTCAGCCGCAATCTTCTTTCTATGTCACAAGAGAAGTATGCATCTCACGTTGTTGAAAAAGCTTTGGAGCATGCTCCACCTCACCTTCTTAAAGATATGATGGACGAGATTTTTGATGGATATATTCCTCATCCGTGAGAAATTATTTCCCTAGCCATAATTAAAATGACATCTTTCAGTGAAACTCGCAAAGATGCGCTTGATATAATGCTTTTCCACCAATACGGCAACTATGTTGTTCAGCGCATGTTGAACATTTGTGTTCAAGCTGCACGTGATAAAAGGTTGTTTGAATGTGCCATGAAGTATCTATTTGTTTATTTTTTAGTCAAGGCAAAGAGTTACGCGACATGGATATCCGCATGACTTGGTTCGCTAAACTTGAGCAACGTATCAACAGCAACCGCCAGCGGCTGATGAGGTGAGAGACAAAAGAGATTGATATTTTATAAACTTGAAATTCAGATATTCTTCTGGAAAGAAGATTTTGGAAACTTTGGACAAGAGTCCTAACTCCTACTCTAGCAAGAGAGAGGCCACTCACCGTTCAGTTCCTATCCCACAGTCCTATCGTTAAAAAGTTTGACTAATAATGGGTTTTCAAATGTTTTTTTAGTTCTAATATGCATTTCGTGTTGTATGCCTACAGTGTGAATATTTTCTAACTGAGTACTTGTAGAGCTTAGTTTTCTTCCTGTCACATTAATAATTCTGTTCTCTTTGGAAGAGTTTAGTGAATAACTGCATAACTAATCTTCTGTGGTTGCTCTTTGCATGTTTCATGCTTTATATTATTCTTAACTTCATTAATAACTTTTTTTCTTGTGTAAAGAGCTCTGTTGTTTTTTCAATAGAATAGATGTTACATATGTATATTCTTTTATCTGTCTTTTTGTTCTGCTCACCTGTACTATTGTTCTTCACTATGAATATTTACAGCCGTTAATTAACCGTTTTTCGTTTTGTTTTAGTGATTTCTTATGAGGAAGTGTTTATTTCAAAGAATCAGAATCTTTGCGACTTGTATCTCGTATAAGTATGGAGTTCCTTCATTGGGATTGATGCCAATGTACACGGAACACCAAGCTGCATCCAAAAATACTGACACATTGAGTCTGGTATTCGGGTCGTTGTAGTCCACCTATCAAGTTGTATTGTTTGAAGTTGAGCTCATGTACTCACATCGAGAACTGTTACTGCATATTGTCGGTCGTGAACATCGCGAGCAATTTTGCTTGCCACCACAGTCAAATTACCGGATGCTAAGGCATTATTGATCACCTGAGCAGTGCATGGAGATGTGTTGATATCAGTAGTCAGTATTGTACCTGTTTCTGTCGTTCCTCCTCACAAAATGCAAAACAGTATTGGATACGGGGATCATCAGTGACACATAGATTGTTTGCTAAAACCCCATTATTTCTAACTATGTCTAAAAGTAAAAAAAACAAACGATTATCAGAAGTTAACTCAATAGTTCTGGAAACAAGTTCAGCTTGGGTGTCAACATGATAAGCAACTTTTACAGTTTTCTCAGTATGGTTTCCCTATAAAATTTCGAAGTGAGAAAGTGATAATAGTTGATGTGTGCCTCTAAACAGAAATTTTTTCCTCCAAGAGGATAACTAGCAGTTGCCCAATTAGTAATACCAGTTGCTGATGTTAGTAACCAAGAGGCTGGATATCGCTGAGAGTCACATTTTCCTACTCGGAAATCTATTCTAATTAGTTTGATTTTAATTTTTAAAAATGTAATTATAATACCATCAGCGGTAACAGCTACCATAAAGGGTAGGAGAAGTAGTAATTTTATCTTCCACGAAAATGAGTTCATCTGGAAGGAAACGAAAAGAAGGGTGAGGATTGAGAACATTCATGGGAAGACAATTGATAGAACTGAAATTTAGGAAATAAAGAATGAACTAGTGATGTTAAGTTCGTTCTTTGTTGCTTCTTCCAATTTGAACTGCTTATCAATAATCCTTATCTCCAAATTACTAAACCTATTTCCTATTCGAAAGAAAGAGTCCGAGTTGTCTCCGATGTTGAAATGCGTCAAAAAAAGCTCATCGAATTAGCATAAACGAGATACGTGTTTCCCGTGGAACTAATAGATTTACACTTCATATTGTAATCTCGACGCATAGAAAACTGTTGCTTGTGAATGTTCGGCTGAATAACTTCAGAAGTATAGAGTGTTAGTATATATTCATTTGTTTTAATATTTGTGCAGATGAGGAGAATATATGAATGAAAGGTGCAAATGTAACTGGATATTTTCATTTCTCACAGATTCCGTCAGGAATATGAGAAAATGGTAACCAAGAAAAGATGCAGTCTTAACAATCGGTACATTTTGATGCAGTTTTTCAATGAGCATCCTCTCAAGAGGACTAGCTTCAAGTTCAGTGAGTTTCAGATCTCCTGATTCTCTGAGCTCGTATGCACATACTCCCTTTCTAAATCTCATTGCAAGGCTATTTTTAATCACATACTTCATTCTGCACTAGTATATACTGTTCAATACTATTTATAACAAAAGCACTCTGTGTAATCTCAGCAATGCCATTACATCCAAGTATCGAGAATTTTGAGAACGTTTCATGGAACGCATGCACCCATATTTAATATTTGATGGGCGTACTGCAGTCTGAATGACGATCCTCGATTCATATGCTTTAAGTTCGATGCGTTTTTTATCTTTTTTTTCTTTTTCTACTTGGTATACGAACCTTCACAGTCTGAGCTTCTTTCGGACTCTGGCCTTTCGATGGGTGTCATCTAATAAATGGCTTGGATCAATACAACTCGAGGCAATGATGCTATCCGGCTATTCAACGAATGAGCAGCCAAACATATCTCTATATATGCAGAGATGCATACAGAGTTTGTCCTCACGTTATTTAAGCTTGGTGAGACCACCACAGCGATTTTGATTCCCTTGAGGAAGGTGAAAATAGAAAGCATTATTCAACATTATCATTGGAAATTTTTAAGCTTCTATGAGATACATATGAGTTGGCATCCATCTCCCTTTCTGCAAACCCCATATACTTAGGTAATTCAATATGACGTAAATCATATTGTTCCGACTAGTAGATCGAATGGGCAACGTAAAGTTTAAGATCTTAACTATTTTTTTGTTGTCTATTTTTATTCATGTATTTGAAAAGTCAAAGACTTCTTGCTTTACAGACAGCCTTCAGGGCATGTATGCATTTCAGTTTGAAATCCGTTCTTTGTGCTTTCGTTTCAAACAGTTCTAAGCCTGTTATGAGTTAGATAGTTGTGAAAGATAAGTACACCTCCCACAATCTTAATACATTCATCTAATTATATCATAATTATTCGTTAGAGTGAAGCTTATGCATATGTATATATATGAGTTAGTTATGTTTTTGGCCTCTGAATATCTTTTTCGAACAACGAGATGTTTCTGTTTTTTCCTCTCACTTTTCATGTTTCACAAAAACTAAACTAATTTATAGAAGCGTGGTGTGTATCTTTTTTTTTATTCGTTTGAAGTATATCTCCTTTCATATTTTGACTATATAGTATAGTTTACTCAAAAAAAAGATAATGGTAGAACTCCCTAATGTCTAGCGGTTCATTGATGCTTTAATCTCTCATTTGAATATTATTCAACTTGTCTTATTGGCATATGAACACCAATAGCATAATATTGCAAAACAACTTACGTGCTTGCCTATCACTGTTCGTAACTTAATTGTGTTGTCTTGTAACTATCGGTGTTTCACATTCATCTATGTTTCTAATGCTGCTATGTTGTGGATATATAGTGATGGAGTGAAGTTGAGAAAGCAATTTCATACGCCAGTGAGAAACAAATTATTATTGTCTCTGCTTCTAACATGAATTTCTCGAAAAGCTGATGCGATACACGCTTTCTAGCTCTTAGAGCAGCAGAGATTAATTGCAACCTGTCCAGTCGTCAAGTTTGAGTTATTATTCACATATATGGCTGTTCATTTCTTGTGCTTGTTTCTTTGTTCATTTAGCGTTTTTTGTCAATATTTCCATATTACTTCTTCTTTCTGTTTCTGCTATTGTCTCTATTCCCCTTTAGTGCGACATTGCTTCTCTTCATATGGACTTTTTTCTCTTCCTTTCCTCTCCTTCTAACTTTCAATGATTACAAATTGAGCAAACTTAAGTAAGCACATGCTTGGACAGACAAGAGCTTAAGTTGTTGAGATATTGGCTATTACGGCTTCTTGACTTACTAATTGGACGCTGCCCATCTCATTTTTCTTTATAGACCTCATAGCTCAGGAGTAGTTGTGATGCTTGGCGTCACATTCCGTCCATCTTTGTCATCTCACATGCTTCCCATTTAATCGTTCGCTCCATTCAGTTATTTCTCATATATGGTCAGAAAAAAAAGTGTTTGCAAAGTAAGTACTACCTTCTGCAATGCATTCAGCTCTAACTGTTGATAATCAGCTATTTTTGATTTTTCACATCTGTCAGTCGTTTGATGCTGTTGTGCATGCCATTCATCATGAGTTCAAGAGTTATATTTTTAAACCGTAATTTATGCTGTGTGTCTAAGAATAGTGGTTTTTGCGTTTATCTTTCGGCTTCATCTTTCTTTGTATACACTCTCACGTTTACTAATTCTTTTCAACTCATTAATAGGCTGAATAGCGAATTATTCAAAAGAGATCTTTTCTTCGTACTTAATGCTATCTCTCTTCTTTTTTTTTCTGCCCAAAAAACCTGGCCCATTTCACAATCCATGAGGAGGAGAAATAAATTGCAAACTCAACATCTCCTGAAAAATATTTGAAAAATTAGTTCTTTGAATGATTCAACTTGTTGAGCCTATTTCCTTACTTAGTGCTTTCGCCTATTCATCCACTCCTTTTATTGTCGAAAATAGAAAGATTTAATAATCGGCGAAGAATCCTTTGTCGGCTTAACATGTCAAAAACTTATTCGTTAAAAACGAAGCTCGTCTCTGATCAAAGGGCAACGTCTTTTACTTCAAGAAGGGCAAGGAAGGAAATTAAATGATCGTTGTTGAAGAGATGAGGAGAGAGAGAAAAAGAGATAGAGAGAAACCGAAATGGTGAGAATTGAATATGAAAGCGCTATATGGCACACCCAAGTAGAGGTGTTATAATTGTAAAAGAGAAGAAAGAGAATATTCCTCTCTCGATAACTAGCGAGAGAGGTTGGAACCCCAAATAACAGCAGCTGGATAAGCCGTAATGCCCTCAGGACCAGCTGTGTGCCTATCCAATTACGTAGTATAAGAAGAAGGCAGAAACGAACGCCGGGTCAAAAGTAAAACGTGAATGACATAAAGCGCAAGTGAAATAAAGTACGTTCGAATAGGCTTTCTGACTTTGGTCCACTTCAACTCCAATAATCCATCTTTCTCAGAGATTCATTACTCATCCAAATTATTTTGTTTTGTGATAGTTTTTAGTAGACAATCAATTACTTTCCATCCTGACATCATAGCTACCGTGTGGCTTTAGTGGATTCATTAACTAGCTTTGAGCCATTTTTTGTTCCAAACAGCCTTTCTCTTATGTAAATTTTCTTCCATTCTCATTTAACTGGCTTTCAGATGTTCGTAAAATGAAAAGAAGAAAAAAAAAGAAAAAAACAGTGACATTTGTATTTGAACAAAGGAACAATACTAATCATGTTATTCAAATTCCTTGAAACTAACTTAACAATAGTTGTAAAGTACTACTTCAGTTCAAAATTCATATGGAAGTCTATCAAGCTTAATAGCTTTCTCACTTAATATGCTTTTTTTTTCTTTTCTTATTTACACATGTTGTAGTTGAGAAGGCGATGAATTTCTCGTTATTGCACTTAAGGTTGTTGAACTTGACGACATCCGATGCTACTGCTTTGCCTTCGAGCAAATTCTTCTTGTCTGTTCTTTACTTCATACATCCAAAAAAATATTTATTGAAATGACCATATAAGGAGACAGGAAAATCATTTTTTTTAGTGTCTAGACGTTTTTAACACAATCGACTGAGTTATTAGGACACCAGTTGTCTTCCTTTGTTATAGCCATTCATAAGTCATAACTCTCTGTTCCTATTCTGCTCTGTTCGTTCACATTAACTTTGCCCTAAGGCAAGATACTTGAAGGATTTCAAAAGTGAAGTGTAGAAGTTAAAAGAAAAAAAAAGCGAAGACGAATAGCTTTATCTGAAATCCAAAACCAACTCAAGGACATATCATTATTATCTGAGAATTAAATTATATGAAATGTCTTATAACGAGTTGTTGTGCTGGATAGTCATGAACTGTCCTCACATTCATCGAACTCTATCTCCTTCTCTCTCTTTCTCCCTCTCTATTGTGTTTGGGTGTGAGCTCAAGTGCACATTCCACACCAGTGTCTCAAAAGTATTTTTTTGTCTGATTTAAAAAAAGAAAAAAAAACTTTCTCGTAACTTATTCGATTCATGATGCATCTATGATAGCAGCGGGCTCACTCTCTTACACCCGAATGTCTATTAATTCACTTATCCTCTTCCTCATACAAATTTCTTTGTCATATTCTTCATTTCTCACATTCTTTTTCTCTCCTAATGTTGCTTTTCTCATGGCTCAAAAAAAAATGTGCATATGGAGTTTAGCACGAGAGACCATGAGATCACAGAGACGATCGGTTTGAGACCAGTCGGTTTAGCTTCTCCTCATTTCAGAGCATCAGAGCATCAGGCACCAGCTTTGACTCTTTCCTCCTTCCATATTTCGCTCATTCTGCCTTTCTCCGCGTCTTTCTTTATCGGCATGTCTCTGTTTCTCATTTCCTTGCAGCTTCTCTGGTCCAGTCGGAACTGAATTCTGGGGTGACTGAAGGCGGCTTTTCCCTTTTCCGGTCCTCTTGTTATCCCTTCTTGTGAGAAGCCACTCAGCATCTCTTCAATTATTAATATCATTCTTCCATGAAAATCGTCCTTACTCACACAGACACACACACACAGACATGCATACGCACAACAGCGATGCGTAAGCTTTCCAACTCCCTAACATCTTATTGTTTCTTCTTGACTTCATTTTCATTCATATTAAAAAATTTATTTCATTCTGTTAACTAGCTGCTCTTCAACAAATCTTGAACAATGTCGTTTGAATTAAACATGTCGTTTATCATGCTTCTGAATATCTGGCAACTCTATGGGAACATTAATGTTTTCTTGTCGAGACCCCAATCACAGCTACCCCTGATTCTCTTCAAAGTACAGTTTAACCAATGTTTTTCAACTTCTTTTTTTTCTGTCTTTCTCTTCTGCTACTTACTCTGCATACCTAATAGTTTTTGTTTGCGTTCAATTACGTCTCGAAACATGAAGAAAAGCGTTGACTCATTTCCACGTGCGTTTCACGTCACCAACGGCTTGCCACCCTGCGTGTTTTTTAATTTTTGAATTACATCACGCATGAACAGGTTGCATTCCGTTCAGGGTTCATTTACTCACTCTTAATTATGCATTATATTATATAGATAGAGACATATTAACCATTCAATACTGTTTTTTATGTGATTTTTTTCTGAGAATTATTCAAATTTTACCTTTTACTCTCATTTTTGCTTTTTCAGTTTACATGTCAATGTTTATTTTGAATATTTTCGCTGAAAAAAAAACTATAACTTATTCATCATTTTACTTTCGCAGATGTTTTTTTTTGACTGCAATCTAGTCCAATCTTTGTGACTCTTACATCTTTCACCTCTCATAACATTCTATAGTATTTCTATTTCTTTTTTAAAATTATTTCCAATAATTTTTTATTGCAAATACGAAAAAGCAAGCGTATTTAGTTAATTAGGTGACTTCGCATTACTTTCTCTTTTCATCTTATGCGTTTGTGTTTCGTTATTCGACATCTTCATTGCCCTCTCTATCTCTCTCTCTCTCTTAGTTTCTTTCTCCACACACAGTCATTTATCAGTTATACCTAATTACTATTGACATTGAGAAAGCTATTTTTTTTCTATTTTTGGTAAAAGTAACAAAAAAAATTTTTTCCGCATCTTTAAGCGCAAAAGAACTTTTTTAAAAGCTTTATGATGATCCTAGGCATTAGAGAGGGAGAGAACGAACTTTTAAACTCTCTTTCTGCCCATATAAAGTTTTTGCGTTGAAAATACAATAGCGGTTAACTAATCTCAGACTGGCGCTGAAGAACCTCGATTTTGGAAAAAAAAATTGGCAACATTCCAAGACGGATATCATATTTCATCTGCCTTTCTAAATCTCGAGAATTGCTTTCGCTAGACTCCCAATTAAGCGATGTGCTTTCAATAGATTTCTTTCCTCGTTTTTCATCAAAAAATGGTTTCACTCTTGAATCTAATCCAACTTCTTCTAAAATTACACGTCGTGACACCTTTTATAGATTTTTCACATAAAATTTCCGACTTTCTGTTTTGTTGCTATTCATCCAAGAATAGCCAACCTCAATGATATTCTCGTGATTTATTCAGTTGACTATAACGTATAGTTTAACGCATTTGTCGCTTTTAACTCACCACGTCAACAGTTTAAAAGTTTTTTTTCCTCTTTTTTTTTTAGTGTTTTGAACAATTCGATTGCTCGTTTTGCTTTTTTCGGTAAAATGTCATCCTGTTCATGTTCTTTTTAGTCGTTATCCATGGTGCCGTCCTCGCTCTAAAATTGAATCAAGAGGCAACTCTGTTTTCGTTTCTCTCTCTCTCTCTTTCCCTCTCCCTCTCTTTGTCTCTCTCTGTATTGCTTTCTCTCTCTCTCTTTTTCTCTCTGTGTGAGAGAGTATTCCCTTTTTTTTCGCTCCCTATCTCATCCTTACTACCACATATTTTTTGCTCATATACTAGTTTTTATAAGTTTTTTTGAAAAAGAAAAAAATGTTTGGGGAAGTTTTCTCCGAATTCTAATTGAATCCATTTCATTCAACTCCATCAACGACAAAACTTTGATAAATTCAAATTAAATGTTGCTGTTGATTTTCTGATCGTTTTGCTGTCTTCTCCATGTGACATGAGTTTGTCTTCTTGTCTTCTTTAATTCTGACGTCGTCACCTTAGAAATTGAAAATTGAAGGGTTCATGAGCTGTCGTCTCAAGGATCACTTTACACGTTAACTCTCACGCAGGTTTTTTTCTGATCGTGCAACTATTAGACAACCTTAGTTTTGCAAAAATTCGTTTTGAGTTGGTCTTGCTGTTTGGCGTTTAGGATATATCATAAGGTCCTTTGCCGTCATTTGACAGACAGCATGGTTCTCTTTTTTGCTAAACTTGCTGTCTCTCAGCTGCTCTGTTGATTTCCTAACGTTTTCACTCCGTTTTCTTTGAAATTTCTCTATCACATTGCTCTTCGTGTCACTCTGTTGCTCGCGGCTTTCCTAAATTTTGGTCTAAGGCGGCCATTTTAACAGAGGCAGGTACAGCAGATAAACGAGAAATGAAAAGAGAAACATAGTGAGGTAGGGGCATCAAGTTGTCTTAAGAGATAGTGAAAGGCTTTGTAATATGTGAGAAGAGAGAGGAAGGAGGAGATAGAGAAGGAGAGAAAAACGTGCGAAGGCAGCAGATGGGCGGAGAGAGTAGATCCGCTAATAGTCTGATATCCAGCCTTCTGATCTATCATCACTCTTCTCAAAATAGTATTTTCGTGTGTCTTCAAAAGGGTATTGTAAGCCATGAATCTTCCTCTGAGCAGATGTTTTTGTGTTAAAAGAAGCTATTAGTTGTTTATTTTCATCTAAACGATGACCTCATTTGGCAAGTTCTGCTTCTCGTTTCAAGCCCATGCTTTTTATATAGGCGTAATTGAGTGAAGCTCTCTCGTTTTCTGAGAAACTCAAAAATCGGGCATACTTTTGTGATTTAGGTGATTTTGGAATGAATGTGTGTATGTGTATATGTCTGTCCGGAGGTACTTTCTCCAATTTTCTTAATTGAAAATGTCTTTTCATAAATGGAGTGTATTCTTCGAACAATATTAAACTTTAAAATGTATTCTCTCTTTTCATTCACTCCAAAAGAATATTCCTATCGGACTGACTCTTTATCTTGAGCTTCGTCTTCTGATTCTTCTGAATTAGATCACAGTTTTCAGCGCTGTTCACATTCCCACCGCATATTTCATGGCTGCAAATTGTATTTCTTGTGATCTTTCAACAAATCTTTTCATAATTATTTGCCTTTTTTAGATCGAAAAGATAAATTGTTTGACTTTTGACCACATTCAGCTTCCGTTTTACTACGAATCCTTAACATTGCTTTGTTTTATTCGATTAGTCAAACGTCTCCTCGAACACAAAATAATCTTTTCACGTTTTGATTGAAATTTTGGCGATTTGCCGAAAGTTCCTTGAAAATCTGATGAGTTAGAATATTTTGGAGTTGATGGTGGATTTATGTGTGTGTTGAGAGAGGAATGAGATGGAGAGAGAGAGAGATATGTAATCTATCTGGTTGAAATTAGAGAGAGAGAGAGGAGGAGGGTGGGCTGTGGGGAACTCCTTTGTTTTGCTCTCAATCTTCATTTTCATTAAAACAATCAGAAGTAACGAATATGATATCTTATGTATTTTCATTTGTTCGATTAATGATTTCCATCTCCATTTCACTCGATATGCATCTTCAACACTGAAGTCTAAGGAAGGGCCCACTAGATGATGAGGGGAGAACGACTCTTTTGTTGTCATAGTAACATCTTCTATCTATCATCCCCCTATTTCTGTTTGTAAACGAAAATTATAAACAAATTAAATGAAAATTCTTTTTGTTTTTTCAGCTTCAAATAGTCATTAGTTTTCTGTTTTTGATTTAATCTCAATTAAGAAAAATGCATTTTCGAGCTTATTATCGCATCAGAGACGGATAGCTATATAGGGGAAGAGAGAGAAAAAGAGAGAGAGGGAATAGGAGTGGGAGGAAGGGTGAGGTTGGGAGAGCATTTAGCTATTGATTAGTACGATCAAGCTTCGAACTAAAAACTTTCTGTGAGACGTTTGGATAACAAGTGAAGATAAGAAGGCGAGAAAGACAATTACCGTTTCCTGTTTAAGAGAGAAGAAGCATATGACTTGACAGAGAATGTAAGAGAGTAAGAAAACGAGAGAGAGGAAGGGAAAGGGGCGAAGGGAGGGATGAGAATGAAGCTCCTCCTCTTTAATCTATTTTCTATGACTATATATAGAGAATGTTCTAAGTTAGGTTGATTCACAGAAGTCTTCGAGATGAAATATAGGAAAATCCTTTTAAAGCTTCAAGTGTGAAATTGACACATTTCTCTGATTAATTAAAAGGAGAAAATTGTATTCACCATCTTCTCTGAACTTTGAAGGATTGCTTGTACTTGTGGATGGAGTTGCAAGTGTATCTCTGTCTCTGTGTGTGTCTCCGTCTGTGTGTGTGTCTACTCGTAGTCGCTACATACAAAAAAAAACTGATTATTTTCAAAGAAACTCTAATTAGTATTGTTGATCTATCGTTGTTTTGCATATGAAAACAAAGATTTTTCGTTTTCCCTCTATCTCTCTCTCTCTCTTCCTCACCCTCTTTCTCTCTTTCTCTACCCCCCTCATAACAATCTTTTTTTATTTTTTCTTTCAGCTTCATTAATAGTTATAAAATTATCAGAATTTGTGTTTTTATTCGAACATGTGGTCTTTTCTCTTTCATGACGCCTCAGGCGCTCTTCAATCTACATTCCCTCTGAACTTTCTGACGCGTTGATTCAAGCTCTCTATAATACTTTTTGACTTACCTATCGTTTTTCTTTATTTTGTATGATTTCAGTTCTGGAGACTGGGTAATGGCATCGGTGGCAGCATGGCTGCCGTTTGCTCGAGCGGCAGCAATCGGATGGGTTCCCATATCGAGGCAGCCAATGCCAGAAGCTCCCATAGCTATTCGTGTAAGTGTTTCAAAGAAAATCTTCTTTTTCTGTTAATATTGCTTTGAATTGCCAAAACCTTGAAATAGACATGTGGAAATATTGGAATTTTTGATAAATTAAATGGAAAAAGGAAGATTTTAATCTATTTATGGACTAAATGAGAAGCAAATATTGATAGAATAAGCTTGAATCAATGAATGTCATTCATCATCTAAGATATTCTGAATAAAATTGTTGAGAAAACATCTCTTAACAAGCAATATGTTGTGTGTTGATTGAAGTTATACGGATAAGATATGCACAACCGGTCAGCGTATGCATACGATGCAAGAATGATTCTCACGTTTGATTTTTGAATTCCAAAAAAGCTGTAAAAGCTGGAGGTTGTATTTAGATCAGTTTGATGAGCGTAAAGCTATACTTATCATCAAACATGTGTTCTGCTTTCTCTTTTTATCTTATCCGTTTCTTTTCTTTTTCTTTTTCTTTTTTTTTTCTTACAAAAATTATTTCTTTCTTGTTCCTTGGACTGCTTGGACGTCTTTTCATTAGTTTTTCCTAAATTTTGCCTTTTCGAGAAAATTTGCGGGAAAATATGCAGGAAATCCGTTTGAGGTATTTAGACGGCTGCTAAACGTCATCATCACATGTCATCTGATTGCTTGAAAGTGCTAGGAGAATGAAAATTTTGTTTTTTCTTTGAAATTTGAGATGAAATTGCGCTATACGACATGTGTTACTGCCCTTTTCAGGTTTATGCAGATTTTAGGAAGTAGAAAAGATGATGTTGAGATGGCTTTTCTGCTTAACATACAAGGGGGGGGGGAAGAAGCATAACAGAGGTGAATAAGGAAAGATTAGCTGATACATTTGTAGAGCCGGAAGCTGTCTCAACTCCAGCTTTTTCCATTTGATAGCAATTTTAATATTTGTTGACGACCAAATGAAGCAGATACATACATGTATGTCGTTGTCGAGCTCAATTTTTCAGTGAAAAAAACTGAAACAGAGAAGGCCGGAAAACGATGGAAACTCGAATCGTCATCGAGCAATTATGAGTTGGAATCGAAAGTTTTTATTTTCTTGATTTTACTTCCACTCTAAATTAATGAAACTTTCATATGGAAATTATAATTGACGATGGATGCTTGATTAGTTAACGTATAAGACAGTGTGTGGATGAGAGCTTGAGGGGTGAAGAGGGAAGATGAGGGGGGGGGGATAACGGAGAGACACTGACTTGACAGATAGCTAAAGCTGTTACAGCAATTCTCAAAATAACTAAAAATCTTCCAGTGTTCGAAACAAATAGTCTAATTTTGGATATTTACTTAATACATTTCTCATTTTCTATATATATATATATATATGTATATATAAATGTATTTAATAATTTATATATTGTAGGCTAAGGATCTTGCCGTTGATCATGTCAGTGATGAAAAGCTGGCCATCAACATTTCTGGTCGAAAGTTTGAGACGTGGAAGAATACGTTAGAGAAATTTCCGGAAACACTTTTGGGCTCAAATGAAAAGGTAATTAGCATAATTAATATATCTATAGTATATGTATATATAATGATATTTTTAGGAATTTTTTTATGATGAAGATACCGGAGAATATTTTTTTGATCGAGATCCTGACCTCTTTCGTCACATTTTAACATTTTATCGAACCGGAAAATTACATGTTAGTATCTCATTTACTTTATTTTTCCTTCATATATACTGAGAAACGTTTTTAGTATCCACGACATGAATGTTTAGTAGCTTATGATGAAGAATTATCCTTTTTCGGCATTATGCCCGATTTAATAAGTGATTGCTGTTATGAAGATTATAAAGATAAGAAAAGAGAAAATCAGGAACGTCTAATCGAAGAAACGATTGAGCCTGGACATGCGACAAAGCTGAAAATGAATTTCCAGGTATGACATACAATAACTATATATACATATAAGATGTATAATGCCCTATTATAGGAGAAACTTTGGACGGCTTTCGAAAATCCACATTCAACGTCGATTTCACTAGTTTTTTATTATGTGACGGGTTTTTTTATTGCCGTTTCTGTTATGTGTAACATTATTGAAACAATTCCATGCTGGTAAGTTATATATGTAAATGAGTGCCATATAGAGACACTTTACAGGTACGTTAATGATCTTCCCGTCTCTTGTGGAGATGCTTATGAGAAACAGGTCAGTTGCATCCTTCTGCTTCATCACACCCTCATCATGTTATCTTTCAGTTTTTCGTACTTGATACAGCTTGTGTTATTATTTTTACCGTAGAATATCTACTGAGGTTATATGCAGCGCCAGATCGATGTAAATTCTTTATGTAAGTTAATTTGTACTAAACAAATAACTTTTCGTCTTCCTATTTCAGAACCATAATGAGTTTAATTGATGTTGTCGCAATTTTACCTTATTATGTTGGACTAGCTCTTCCGAATAACAAAGATCTTGGAGCTTTTGTAACTCTCAGGGTTTTCGTAAGTTTATTTTAAAATCCTTTCTGTTTTCTATTGTTTATCTAAGTGTTATGTTAAAGTACAATCAGCAGATCCCTTTCTGTTTCTTTTTCAATCATCAATCATTTCTTCTGTTCTTCGCAGCGCATTAAATTCTTTTTCCATCTTCACAATCAGCTTCTCCTTGCTTCTTTTTCATCTTCTTCTTCTTCATCTGCTTTTTCTCATCAAAATTAATTTCATTTCATTTAGTACTACAGCCTTTTCAACTTTTTTTTATCTCGTCTCCTCCGCTCACTTTCTTCTGTTACGCAATTTTTGAAATAAATTCAATTGGCGCTCAAATCAACTTCATTTGCATATTACGTGGAATGTACGTGACGAGTGCTATTTACTTGTTGTGCTCTCTCGTCAATCGGCTGCGTTCTGTTTCCTGAAACTTTCTGCTTCCTTTCCTATTCTTATTTTCTTCTCCTGTAAGGAAACAAAGTAAAAGACAAGCCGTTACTTTAGTCTTCTGATTTCTGATGCTTCCGAAAAGTGAATGAGGAATGAGAAAGCCACCCTTCTACGTCATCGCACTTAACGCAACAAAATTCTCAAAGATTTCATACTTTTTTCCCCCTTCTATTGAAACATCAATGAGATTTACGGACAAAACGGAACTTCATTTTTCAGAGAGTATTTCGTATTTTCAAATTCTCAAGACATTCACAAGGATTACGAATACTTGGATATACACTCAAATCATGTGCATCAGAACTTGGTTTTCTTGTTTTCTCATTAGCAATGGCAATTATCATTTTTGCCACAATTATGTACTACGCAGAGAAGAAGGTTGATGGCACAAGGTATGCTTATATGCTCGAAACGCTTTCATGGTATGCTCACATTCAGGTTCACATCTATACCTGCTGCATTCTGGTACACCATCGTTACGGTAAGTACTCCTGCTGTCTTTTACGAGAACTATTTGTAATCTAATTATAGTTGACAACGCTCGGTTATGGAGATATGGTACCCTCTACTGTTGCTGGTAAAATTGTTGGAGGTGTTTGCTCACTTTCCGGTGTGTTGGTAATTGCCTTACCTGTTCCTGTAAGTTGTCCATTTGAGATTCTGATCTTATAAATGTCTCTTCAGGTTATTGTTAGCAACTTTTCACGAATTTATCATCAAAGTCAGCGGGCAGATAAACGAAAAGCCCAAAAGAAAGCACGGCTGGCACGTATTCGTGTAGTTAAAAATGCCTCTGGACAGGCATTATTCAACAAGAAAAAAGCACATGAAGCTCGTATGCAAGCATTTGAACGGGGTGAATTATCGTTTGACGCATTGCGAGATGAGGATATCTTTGAAATTCAACATCATCATCTACTTCAATGTCTTGAAAAAGCCACTGTATGTTGAGATATATAACAATCACATTGCCATTTATTTGTTCAGGAAAGGGAATTCGTTGAATCTGATGTCATATTTGAAGGAGGCAGATCTACTCCACCTATTAGTGAGGCTTCTTCACTCAGTAATGAAAATACTCAGAAACGACGAAGGGCATGGTAAGGAAATCAACAACAAAAAAATGGTTTCTCATTAAAACATTTTCAACTTTCAGGTGTTGCGTTCAGTCCCAAGATGAAGAAAATCATGATCGTAATACTCGTGTGACTTTCAATAATAACTTACATCAGGTATCATCTAAACGTTCATCTAAGTTTCATTTATTTTTTTGAGCAGGTTCGTGAATGTACACCAGATGATAAACATCCAGATGAAGCTTATTGCGTTTCACAACTCTAGAAGTACTTCCTCTTTCAATTTTATTTTTTTTTTCAACTCTTCTTCCTCTTTAAACTCTCTCTCTCTCTCTCTCTCTCTCTCTCTCTCTCTCTCTCTCTCCCTCCCCCTCTCTCCTCTCCCTCTCTCTCTCCTCTCCTTCTCTCTCTCC